GCCAGACAACGAACGCTTGGTGCTGTTTCTGGGATCCATGGCGGGCTTTGGTGTAGGCGGCGTTCTTGTTCCTGCTGCGACGGTTGCGATGCTGGTTTGTCCGGATGCGCTTATCACAACCGCTGCAGCGTTGTCGTTGTCGATTCGCACGGTTGGCGGCAGTATCGGGTATTCGATTTACTACAACATTTTCGCGGGGAAGCTGACTGCCAATCTACCCAAGTACACGGCGATGTATGCGGTGCAAGCTGGGCTGCCGCTGGAGAGTGTGGAGGCTTTCGTGGGCTTGTTTCTGACGGAGCCGGAGAAGTTGGCGGAGGCGGGTATTCTGGGTGTTACGCCGCAGGTTATTGAGGGGGCGACGATTGGGACGAGGTGGGCGTATAGTGAGAGTTTGAAGTATGTTTGGGTAAGTCAACGTCCGCGAATCCTTATGATACATATCACAGACACTGACTTCCCCCCTCAACAGTTTACGAGCATCGCCTTTGGAAGCATAGCGATAATCTGCACGCTCCTACTACCGAGTACGAAGAAGTACCAGACAAACCGCGTCGCAGTACGGATCTAAGAGACTACCTTCCGCATACTTAGGTCTACGTTCTTTACTAGTCAGATTCACAGTTACCACAATATAGATCAGAGTACACACATATCTCACAGAATCATCACATCATGCATTGACGGAGGACAGTAAGAATAAGCGTTAGACAAAACATCCTCATTTCGGTATTCAAAGATAATGAATCTATGGTATAAAGTGGGTTCTACTCCAACAGTACGCAAAGCAACCGATAGAAAAGCCAAAACGTGACACCCACCCATTCCTAGAGAACCAAGTTTGGTTGCGCATTTGCATGATTCTGTTCGGCATGCATCTTGTCTCATCTCATTCCATCCATCCATCCCTTTCCTCATTGATCGTGCCATGCACACTTACCGTCCTCCACAAAGCGCGACGCCAAAAACACCGCTTACCATCCCATCAATGATACCCACCCAAATCCATCTCAAACTCATACTCCACCCTCTCCACCCTCTCCGCACTCCCATCCGCACTACCACCCCCACCCCCACTACCGCTGATTAAAGAACCAGCTCGTCCGCTTCCCCTTATTCGCATCCCCTCCATCACCGTCCTGCTTCTGCAGATTGCCAATGACAGGGAGGACAGGCCCGTCCGCGACGGGCCCACCACCGCCGCCACGAAGCGGTTTGGCGATGCGGGACCCGACGCCGCCGAAGCCAGCGTAGCTTGCGCCGCCAGCGGGGGAACCGAGACCGCGGGTGGAGCCTGCTTTGGCGGACTCGAGGCGCTCTTTGACGGCTGTGAGTTGGGCTTCGAAGCTGCAAGGAAGAATAGTAGTTAGTATGCTGAGTGGTTTGTGAGGAGGAGGAAGGGGGGTGGGGGACGTACCGGTGATTCGCAGCTGTGAGTTTCTCCTGAGAGTCTTGCAACAAGCTTTCCAGAGACTGTATCCGCTCGTTGCGGGCCATGAGTTTGCGTTCGGCGATAGCGACTTCCTTCTTCAGGGAGCTGTTCTGCTCGACGAGTTGGCGCTGGACGACGGTGAGTTGCTCGAGGTTGCGCTCGAGGAACATCATCTTCTTCTGCTGGGCGCGGTTGTTGGAGGTACGGAGCACGTTGTTATACTGCTCGCGTGTCTCGTCTAACGAAATCTCAAGCTCGACAACCTGTGGCTTATTAGCAATGCGTCTTCGTTTGAGAAGCTCAGTCTGCTCACTCGTTCACAGCGGTTCTGGAGGTCGCGCATGAGGCTCTTCTTCATGTTGTCAAACTCGGCAATCTGCTGTTGCACAGTCTTGCCGTTGATGCCGTTGGCGACACCGTTGGCAATAGCGCCACTCTTAATGCGCTGTTGCAGGCTTTCGTTCTCGGCCTTGAGCTTCTGGTTCTCTTCCAGCATACGTGCAGTATCCTGCTTGAGGCTTTCGACAAGTTCGAGGTTGCCTTCTTGTCGGGCAGAGTAGGCGTCGGCAAGGCGTGCCTTGAGCTCTTCCTTGTCTTGCTCTGATAGGTTGCCTTCGAGGAGTTCCTCGTACTGCGTCTGCAAGGTCTCGCAGCGTGCCTCCAGTGCTTCGCGGCGCTTGGCATATGTGTTGTCTTCCTCGCTGCGGGCAGTAAGGGAGAGCTCGGCCTGTCGTACAATGCCCTGTGTTTCCACAATCTTCTCCCGCAGGCCCTTGATCGCATCCGGAGCAATCGCCTCGCCAGATGCGCTCATGTCGTGAAGCTGGTCTAGCTCCTCAATGATCTTCCGTATCGTGCGCTCGTTGTCACTGAACACCTCGCCGCCGAGATCGAAGCCGGCCATCATTTGTGCCATTGCCTCAGCCTTCTTCCTCTTCTTCTCGTCCATAGCGGCGGAAGTCTCCTTGGCGTTCATCTTCGCGTCCAGGAGCTGTTGCTTGACGTCGTCCAGCTCGGTGGTCAGCTCAGAGTTGGCTTCCTTCAGTCCGTCCATGGTGATTTGCGCCTCCTTGCTCTCGAACTGAATCTTCTCAACCTGCATGCGCATTTCGTTGAGTTCCATGGTGATTCGCTCATTGTCCTTGTTCGTCTTCGCGTCTCGGTCTTTGTAGTATTGGAGCTCCTCTTTGGCAGACTTGAGTTGGTCCTCGGCTTTGGCGAGCTGCGATTCTTTCTCGGCAACCTGGTCCTGGAGTTCGTTCTCCCTTCGGAGAAAGTCGTCCTTCTCGTCCTTGTCTAGTGGTATGCTGGGTGTACCAGCGCGTTCCAGGTCCATTCGCGAATCAGGTCGTGGCGTTTCCGAGTTTCTCACACCTTCCAGCCTCGATGGCGTTCCCGGACGAGGCGTTGTCGCTGGCTTTCTGCCTGAAGACGGACTAGTCTCCAGAGGTGGGATCCATTTCTCCTTGGGGACGCTTTCGCCTCCACGCCAAAGCGAGACTTCCCCTTCGAGCGAACCAATATATGTCTCGTATGACGTGACCTGTCCTTGTACCTTCTTGAGCATGGCCTTGAGCTCAGCCGGACTGAGTTCGGCGTTGACCTTGGCCTTGTTCTTGATAGTCTTTGCGCGCATACCGAACCGAAGTGTGCCCAGCGTTTCGGCGTCGTTGTAACTACTTGGCGAACAGTTGATGATCAAAGTTGTCCGGGAGTTACCACCGAGCGATTCTTGGAGAATACGTGTGAGCTTCGAGTCTCGGTAGGGGATATGTTGCGTCTTGCTGTCGGTCAAGCAGTTGATGACCATGCCCAAGGCACTCAGACTTTTGTTGATCTTCTTTGCTTCCTCCAGCGTCTGTCCACTCGCTCCGGTCTTGCCAACCTTCTCAGAACCAGCCAAATCGACCAAGAAGAGCTGTCCGCTTTTCAATGACCCGGTCTCGACGTTCTTCTGGTTCACCGTTACGACAAAGATGGAATGCGATCGCGAGGATTCGGCGTTCATGTTGGTAGCTGACACCGCTCGTGCAGATCCACCTCTTCGGAGGACCTCGTAGACTTCTTCCTCGCTCGAAACGTATACTTCCAGCAGACCCTTGACGTAGACTCCCCTGTTCTTCTCTTCGTGCACCGGCAGATTGTCGTTTTGGGGAACCAAAAGATCGCGGATGCGCTCCATGTAAATCTCCATGTAACTGACGCGGACGGTATATTCAATGTTGCTCGGCGATGCCAGAATGCTTGCGAAGATTTGCTGGATGATACGCGGGATGACTCCCTTGCCGACCTCGTCGTCCATATCGCTACCCATCATGGTGTACGACTTCCCCGCTCCTGTCTGCCCGTAGGCGAAGACTGTTCCGTTGTATCCATTCAGAATATCGTCGACGGTGGGGCGGATGGAGTAGTCGAAGACGTCGGCCTGGCGGGAGTTCATGTCGAAAACGCGATCGAAGGTAAAGGCCCCGGAGGCCTCTTTCGACTAACACACAGCATTAGTGGCTCTGCTTTGCATCCCTCGAGCTGGCATGCCGTACCTGGATCGTACATGTGTCGTCGGATTTGAATTCGACTATGGGCTCTCCACCGCTGGCTATCTCGACCTTGTTCTGCGGGCGGAACCGCGCCACCACTGCAGTCGTACCGTCAGTAACCCGTCTACCATGCGTGTCTGTGTCTCGTGTATGGCGGCGCACCTTTGATAGTATTGGAGCCCCTGTCGCCCGTTTTGTTAGCCATGCCGCCCCTCTTCGCCGCCATGTTTGAGCTACTTACGACATGATTGCTGCTGTTCAGGCGGTGCGGCCCAGAGGCCTCGCTCTGTTTGCTTCGCTCGCGCTTCGGGGCAGGTGTTGCTGCAGGCCCGCCGGGAGGTCCTGTTGTGGCACCGTCACGTCTCGCTGTGTCTCGGCGCGTGGGAGGTGGGTAATTACAGGCCCCGCTATGACTATGGTTAAGGGGAACTGCTGAAACGGCCACGGATCCGTCTTGGGGCTCGCCGGGGACTCCTTCGCTGCTCGCGCCAGGAGAAAGTGAGGGGACAACAGCACGGGGGCGCGCGCGGTGAGGGAGACGAGCGATGTTGATGCCGGGCTACTGTCGAGGTGCGGGCTCGGGCTTGTGTTGATACGCCCAGGGTCTGCATGCCCATAGCGCGCCTTCCTCCTCCCCGCCGCCAACGGCCGTGACGCAACCTGCCTGGTCAAAGCATGTTCTGCGCATCTTCCTTTACGGTGACCTCTTTGTCCCGCCTACTTGCATCGCTTCATGGCATTGTAGCAGTTGCAGCAAGAAACCGCTGCATTGTGCCCAAGACAACTAACCAGGATCCCTGCATTAGTGGAGAGACAAAGACAATCACGCTTCTCTACATGATCAGCGATTGCAACGAAAACGGACGTATATTGGCTACGCCACGAACATAGAACCATAGTGAACCAAACTCCACGCCGCAGAGCCTCAAACAAAACGCCCCTGGCTCCCAGTAACAAACATGACATTGTCCCTGTTCCTTGTAACTCCATTCCATGCCGTCGTGTCGTGATATTCGTACCCCAGTCGCCCCTCAGTCCTCCCAGCTCTTCTCCACTGTCTCACGCACGCGCTTGGTGTACTCCTTGCGGTTCTCTTTGTACAGGTTCGATGCTTCGACATTGGCGGGAGACGAGGTGTTCGGGTCGTTTAACAGACTGGACCCTGTTAGCATGTGTCGCGCTGCAGCCCACCAGCTCTACTGTGACGTACCTCTGAATACTGGTCAGGATGGCTGCCACGTCGTACGTGGGCGACCACCGGTTTTGCAGAATGTCCAGACACAGCTCGCCAGTCCCGTATACGTTGGGATGGAACATCTGGCTAATAAACTTGACGCCCGGCGGCTTGTTTGGGTATGCCTCCTCGAAATGCATTATAAGACGGAAGGTCCCGTCTTCGAACGGTGTGTCTGCTGGGCCGATAATAACTGCGTTCCTGTCTATGTGTCAGCATTCAAGCTCAGACATATGTTATTGCCGCTGCTGTGTGTCCGAATGTCGAGAACGACTGCGAGGCTTGGTGTCGCGTGCGGGGGAATGCGGTGAGCCGTACCAGGTCATGACATTGTCCGCAACTGGAGACGCAGAGACACCAGCGGGAGGATCAGTTTGCATGCGCTGTTTTTGTCAGTACGGTGTTCTCTATTAAATTGCGCAAACATCCAGAGCTTGCTGGTGCTGCTCTAGTGGCGTACCTTGAAGTCGCGCATCAAACGGCGGCGGGCTGCAGTAGACATGGTTGTGCGTAGTTGATGGACGGAGCTCGAGGTAGTTGAAGAGGAGTGGGAGGTTGAGGTAGAACAAACACGGTGGATATGGCTACAACTGAGGTTGGTGGTACTGAGTCGCAGACGTAACTGGCACCTTCCGCTGTCGGTCGCTCGGCTTGTGGAGGCAAACGCCACCTCACGTGTAGCTTGAAACTTGGCTTATCGCAGTCCCCCAATCGTCGTACTCACCATTACGCCCCTCCTTGTCCCCGCCGCTTCGCACCGGAGTCACACAGCTTCGCAGCACCACCCTCCATTCTTTCACACATGATCAACGCCGACGTCAATTCACTCTGCACCGAGGTTACGTTTTCAGTTCTATTGTTGTACTGTGCTATAGATAGCCAGATCACCCGCCGTCGACCATGTATCGCCTGCGCAAGATCATCATCACCATAACGCCCTGCCCTCATATGCCCCAAAACGCCGTAAATGCAACTCACTCTGACCATGCTGTTTGCAGAACGCTTGACAATACACACCCTGCGTCGTAAAGTCATACGCCATGAGTCGCTAATAAAACTGGACATTAACAGCATCGCTAGAAACAGACTGGAAAGATGGAATGTCGGCATCTGTAATAACACAAATTGATCGAAAGGAAAAAAGGTCGTGGGTGTTTGGGAAACGTGCCCTCACTGGCCAGCTGCTCCAGCAAGACCATGGTGGGATGCCTGAGCTGACTTCTCACGGCCCAAGTAGTCGACGATGGGGAAGCGGGCGCGACGCTCGAGCTCATCCAGAGGAATGTGCGAGCGGATGAAGCGGTTCTGGTCGTTTGCCGGCGGCTGGTAGTCCCACGACTCCTTGCGGCCAATCTTCAGTGCGCTGCAAGCAACCTGGCGCATGCGCTGGCTTCGGACGACGTCGTTGTGGATGGTCTTGAAGTCCCACTTCTCGCGCGCCTCCGCCTCGAACTTGGCGAGCATCTTCTGGTTGTGAGGCTCTGGGGAAGTGGCAAGGTCATGCAGCTCCTGCGGGTCTTCAACCAGGTTGTAGAGTTGCGGTCCGTCGGCAAGGGAGTAGGTGAACTTCCACTCATGACGACGGATCATGTAAGTCGGAGTAACGGTGCCCTCGCCCATGTACTCGCCGAACACCTCGTCCTTGCCCGGCTTGTCTGAGACAAGGTACTCGTGAAGGCTGACACCGTCTAGTGGCAGACGATCATCAACTTGTCCTCCGGCGAGGTCGACGAACGTGGGCAAGAGATCCATGGTGGACACGGACTCCTTGACCTTCTTGGGCGCGATGTTTGGCCCGTTGATAATCATGGGGACGCGCGCACTGTTCTCATACCAGCTCATCTTGTACCACAGGCTCCTCTCGCCAAGCATGTCGCCGTGATCTCCAGAAAAGACGATAATGGTGTCCTTGTCGAGCCTGCAGTTCTTGAGGAGACGAACGAGCTTGCCAACCTGGTCGTCGACAAAGCTGCAAGCAGCGAAGTAGGCACGGCGCGCGCGGATCTTGGCCTCGTCTGGAACGGGGTTGTCCCACAGGTCGATGGTCTTGAGCAGACGCTGGGAGTGAGAATCCTGGTTCTCTTGGGCGATCTCAACCTTGGGCAGGGGAATGTCGACGCCCTCGTATCGGTCCCAGTACTCCTGGATCATGGTGTAGGGGTCGTGTGGATGGGTCAAAGAGATGGTCAAGGCGAATGGCCGACGGCTCTCGGGGTCAGACCGAACGTAGTCGTAGAGGTACTGTTGAGCCTGGAGGTATGTGTTAGAAGACTTCCTTATACCGCTGGAGTATATTGTACTACTGAGATTCCTTACCTTGTGCATGACATCTTCGTCATAGTCGAGTTGGTTGGATCGCACACATGGTCCGGCTTGCATGACCGAAGCCATGTTGTGGTACCACTCTTGACGCTCCTCTGGCTTGTCCCAGTTGACGGACCATCCCAGGTCGCCAGGGTAGATGTCGGAAGTAAGTCGGTGCTCGAAGCCGTGGAGCTGGTCTGGGCCGATGAAGTGCATCTTTCCTGCGAGCGCGGTCTCGTATCCTTCGCGGCGGAGGTAGTGGGCGTAGGTCGGGATCTCTGGACTCAGGATCGAGGCGTTGTCGTATCCTCCGATCTTGGATGGCAACTGACCGCTGCACATGGTGAACCTAGATGGTGCACACAAAGGTGAGTTGCAGTAAGCGCTCGCGAAGTTGACGCCGGTCCTAGCAAGCTCATCAAGATGAGGTGTCTTGATAACTGACTCTGGGTCATTGAACTTTAGCATGGGTGCGGCCATCTGATCGGCCATAATGTACAAGATGTTGGGACGCTTTCCGTCTCCCGAAGTGCGAGCCTGAGTCGCATAGCTGTCCGATTGTTGACGAAGAGTCTGAGCAGTAATGAAATCGCTTCCGCCTTGCTGAGCATCTGAGAACCCGTTGCCGGAGAAGCCATCGCTACGGTTGACATGGCCGTTACCATTACCGTTCATGGCTGTAGAAGAGAAGGAAAAGTCGCCGCCAACGGGAGCCTGGGCCTCCTTGAGTGAGACACCGCCGTCCTGGCTGAAGGCTTGCTTGGTGGTGTGGACATAGGATGAGGGCGGCGACTCTGGGTCTAGCAAGAGACTGGGTGCCATACTGTAGTGGCAGTGGTTGTGGTGGTAGACTTGAAGCTTGGATGGTATTGTAGGAAGAAGCAATTAATTCCTGAAAGTAGGTGAAGGCAGGAAACTTGGTGGGCAAACTCTGGTTGAGATGAGGGCAGTGGGACCTTTATAGATAAGCTGGATAAGAAGAGCGACGCCCCGGAAGTCGCGTCGGCCGCACGGTGTATGTGGGGAAGTGCGACCCTGACGCGCCTTACAAAAGGTTGGGTCGTGACTTTCAGCGGTCACGCAATCCTACGCAATCCACGCTTCGAGTGACCAATCCCGCCCGAACTAGTCCCTTTTGGGCGATGGCGAAATTCCACCTCTACGAGCACACCGCCCTGGTCTGACTTCAAAAGGCCCGACCGGCCGCAGTTCGATGTTCGATGCTGGAGGGATCATCATGGAGCGTTTCATCGAGCACGCGATCTTACCTCACGTCTTGGCTGGGGTATTCACCATTTAGCGAGCAGGGTTACCTCAATTCTAGAACAAGATGATGTATCTTGTAATTCATAGTGATTGTTGCAAAACTCTAACATGAAATTCTTTCAGTGATTTCGTAGTCGCCTCGCCATTTCTGCGTAACATGCAAGTTGTGTGCGCGGCCAGACTCTGGTAGCGCTCAGTCATCCTCCCGCCTTCCGCTGCAGGATTCAAGATTGCCACGCTGCATCACCCATAGGTAGCAAGCCTGGCCAGACCAATCCCTTTACAATCATATCCGCACAGCCATGCAACAGAATACAGCATGTCTGCCCGTTGCTAGCGCATGTATTGCCAGTGTGATCAATCCCTTTCGAGGAGCAGCGACCACGGACGTCGAGATTGACAACGCCATGCATATGATCCGTATGCAGGGTAGTCGATCAAGTCGGGACTACGTAACAGCCAAGCACGCAAGCATGTACATCCGCTAGATTTTGAGCACACGAGGAATTGATGAAGTTTGGGTAGGAGTCGTGGAGGACTTGGCACGTCGCTTGGCACCGCAAACCTTACCTGTGTAGTGTGCGACCTTAGTTGCTCATCTTCTACCTACTGACTGAACATCATCTTGACATTATTCAACTAATACTGTATGCGATGACTCAACTGCATGCTGCGCGTCCCCTTGCCACCGTTATCGCGAGCGCCACTCGGTCAACTCCTCGCGACCTCGCGACTCCTCGGGACGTCGCTCCTACGTGAACATGCATGGCACGCGAGCATTGAAGTCGTCCAGGCTCCACCGGTATACACTTTCGTGTTCGGATCATCTAGCGACCGGTGCGAGGCGGAGTGTCCGCATGTTCTTCCAGATCCCACCGTCATTGGTCTGCTGCGTCCGCCTAGCCCGAACGAGAGATGTCTCGTTGCATTGGCGAATCAACACTATTTGATGCCAAGTGGCTGCAGGCTACTGATAGCGCGCTGCAGTCTCCAACGACACATGCATGCGGCTCTCCGAAGGCTCGCTGGCACTAGAGTCTTCGCAGGATTCACCGGACAGGCACGTGAACATGATTGTTTTGTCGGCTCGACCCGTTTGTGGTCTGACTCCTTCAAAGTCTCTCCGACCTGCACGCAGATTGATGTGTTGGCATCGATGCGCCGAGAAACTACTGTAATTGGACGTCGTATCAGTTCGGCCAGACTTGAGCTGCCTCGTGGTACAGTCGTCGTTCGGTTAGAGAACTGCAGGGGCAAGGGGCCTTCGGAGCTTATCCATCGTGTCCACAACTCCAGATGCAGTTATCCCCACGCGATGGTCTTGATTTTCGACTCGAGGGCTAGATCGCGCGCTGGACATGCATGCTCGCTCCGCTCCACCACCACTGTAAGCAGCATACAAACAGTTCTAGGTTGAGTGTTGAATTGAAGGTTTACCCACCCACACCTAAATGTCATGTTTACATTCCAAGTCCACTAAGCTATGCAAGACCCACAAAAAAGTAGTTCACCACATTACAACCCAGCAGTGATATCACAACTATCCTGTCCTCCAACACCACGACTAGCACAGAACAACATCAGTCATCATGCTAGCCACTCCATTCTTCCCTGGACCTGTTTCCCTCTCCCGGGCAAAAGTTCCTCGCAATCTCGATAACAACCACCTCCCCCACTTGCGCTAACACCAGCCCTTCATGCCCACCTGGTACGAATCGATAATGAAATCTTGCAGGCGCAGAGCTGCGTCAGCCTGCCAACTGCATCTCCACATACGCTAGACTCCAGCATCCGCGACGCACGCACGACTTGCAGTGCTTGCAGTCCCGTCCGTCAACACAAGCGCTATATCCAGACATACCAGATCACGAGGACCCTCAAAACACCAAAACACCAAGGCACCCAGCCAATCGCCGGCGCATCCGAAGACAAAGTCCGCGAGCTCAGTCTTCTTGGCATTTTCCCGACCGACGCCCGATACTCTCGAATGACTCTTGATAACCGGGCGGCGGGTTGTCGCCCGAGCGTTGAGCGACGATCCGGTCGGTGAGAGAGCGACGGGCCGGGACCACGACTCCGAGACGACCGACGACCGAAGTGCGCATAGTCGCCACCGAGCCTGAGCCTTGGGGTCCACATGCGCTAGTGTAAGAGGAACTTCACGTTTTGGGAAGGTTTTCGTGGAAGGGGCTGATTGGTGGGTATGACGTCCAGCGCATACGGAGCGGGCCTTCCAACTCTACGCGACTCGACTCGACTCGTGCGAAGGAGCATGTGTTGCGCGAGAAATTCTCGCCGTAGTTGCTGGTAAGAAGAGTGCAGCCGGAGAGCTGCCTTGCTATTGACGTGCTCGAAGATATGGCTGCCACCACCCATCGCATGACCATGAGACGCATCGCTTTGCCCTTTTAACACAACCAGACTAATAAAAACGTTAAGGGTTATCATGCTACCATACCATCATGAGTAGTCGTGCATCTTCTCCTTCTCAGTACAGGCTGCCCTCATGCGACTCATCTGCTAGTAGAACAACTGAAAGTCTACTTTGTCACTCTCACTTAGCTAGCATCCCTCGGAACATGAACCCCAACTATAATGCATCTGTCAAGGTATCAATGCTCCATATTCATCTTCATTATGAGACTGTTGCAAGACTTCCACCTCCGCCCCTCCGCCTCCCCCACCCACCCTAAATTCTCGCAGTAGTTGCTGATAAGGAGAGTGTAGCCGGAGAGGGACCTTGCTAGGTCGCGGGCTGGCGTTACGTATGGGATGGTCATGAGACGTGCAGGGTAAGGTAGGTATTTATGACACCGCTATTGTTGAACGAAATAGCATAGCATGACCATACCTGCAAGGACGGTGGCTTATGGACTGTCAGTATGATAAAATCGTGAGGCCATGTCGAACTAGCTTTGTTCACTCTACACACAACATTTCTAATCAGCACGACTCCATGACCAGTACAGCAATCATCCCAACGTCAACAGTCGACTTCCTGAATCGATGTGTCATGCCAATAGTTCAACGAAGGCGGCGTCCTCATTGTCACGATGATATAGGAAACAACATGGATACGTGGGCAAAGACGCTCGTCGATCACGATCACGATCACGATCATAAGTAAACCACCACGACTACTGCGTCTGTAGCAGCCAAAGCTGACCTCACCACTCGACAATGAGTAAACCACCACACAAGCCACATCACGTCACACAACACACCACAGCACAAACTCATAAGAGACCAACCATCTTTAACGCACACAATCTCAAATTCCCATAAACACCATGTAATGCTATAGTACAAACACGACTTCGAAAAGAGCAAACTCATCCCAGAGCCCTACTAATCCCATGCATAAACTTCGCTGTATACCCCCATTTTGATAACATCTTTCATCCCTCGGAAAAGATAACCATGAACGTGAAACTCTGAAAACATTGACAAAAGAGAAAATATATATGCTCGCATCCCCATCTCATCCTCGTCTCATCCCATCCTCATCCCTTAAAATCCCCGACCCGTGTCGTGACGGTCTCTACTCAGCGCCCGCCTGCCCTCCATTACCACCACCGCGTCCACCCCTCGCCCTCTTCCCTCCCCTCGTCGCACCCTCACTATCATCTTCAGCACCGCGCTTCTGTCCACGTCCAGCTTGACCAGCTTGTCCAGGTTGAAAGCCCGCAGCACCGGGGTTGAGGCCACGAGCAGGCGAGCTCTGATTCTGAGCCTGATTCTGATTCTGTTGGCCGCGACCCCGTCCACCACCCCGGCCGCCTCCGCGACCGATTTGCGATGCACCTGGACCTTGGTTTTGCTGTTGTTGCTGGTTCTGACCTTGCTGACCTTGATGTTGTTGCTGCGGCTGGTTCTGGCCTCGTCCGCGTCCGCCAGGCATGGGGATACCGGTTCCGCCGCCGCCGCCGCCGCGGGGGATGTTGGATTGGAGGGCGCCGCGGAGGGTCTGGGCTCCGGTTCCTGCGCCGCGTCCTGATTGCTGTTGCTGCTGTGCTTGCGGCTGTTGAGCTTGGGCTTGGCCTTGGACTGTGAAACCTGGCTGAGGTAGTCCTCGTCCCATTTGGTTCTGGGTTTGCTGGAATGGGTTTGGGGCGGTGCCGTGGCCGGCGGCCTGGAGGAAGGGGTTGGGCTGTGTGGCTTGAGTAGGAGTAGCGTTGTTGGTGCCGTTTGCTTGAGGTGTGTTGGTCGCGGAAGGCGCCGCTGGCTGTTGCTGTGCTGGTGTTGATGTATTCGGCGCAGCTTGTGAGGGAGCAGGCTTGGCGGGTGTGGTGGGTTGTGCAGGCTTAGTGGCTTCCACAGGCTTCTGGGTCAGCGCAACAGCGTACACCTTTGCGACCTCCTCGGTCGGCGTCTCCTTCGCAGCCTTCTCGACGTAGCTGAACCTGGTTCTGAACAGTTTCAACTGTGAAGCGTTGAGTTTCGCCTTCAATTCATGCGTCTTGGTCAGCTTCGCTTCTAGTTCCTCGAGCTTCTCCTTCAGCTTCTTCTCCCAAGCAGCGTTGACGGCAGCCAGGTCCTCGCCCGAACCAGCCGCCTTCGGTTGTTCAGGTTCCTGCTTCACACCCATAATGCCATCGATAGCCTTCTGAGTCTTGAGCTGATCGATCTGTGTATTGAGCTGCTTGATCTGTTCGTTGAGCTGCTTGATCTTCTCATCCCTCGCAGCTGTTTGCTTCTCGAGGTTCATATGAATCTGAGATTTCACCACCGCCAACACCCCACTGTTGGTCTTGAACCACTTCCTGAGCTGATCTTCCGTGACTGCAGGTCGTGGTAGATCCTGTGTGTTGATCATGCCATCCGGTACAGATTGAGTCTCGGTTGTCCCTTCACTGGTAGCGTTTTGAGTCGAGGCAGCGGCCTGCTTCTCTTGTCGTAGACTCTCGAGCTCGGCTTGGTGAGCCTCCTTCAAGCGTTCGACCTGTTCGCTGGATTCGGCCTTGGTCTTCTTGATAGACTCGTTGTATTTGTTCTTGATCTTCTCCAGGGCGCCTTCTCTCCTAGTGATCGTGTCTTCACGGGCTTTCAACGATGCTTCGAGTTCGTTCAGCTCGGCCTCTCGCTGGTCGAGTGAAGCCTTCAGGGCTGTGATCTGATCGTCGTTGTGCGAGGCTTCCGGTTGTGTCTGGCCCTCGGTGGGTTGTTGTCCAGACTTCGCACTAGCAAGTTGAGCCCGCAAATCGTCGACTTCGGCGGCCTTCGCAGCGAGCTCCTCCTTGAGCTTTTCAGTGTCCACGGCCGTGGCGGAGTCGGTCGCGGGCTCGGCAGAAGCCGGGTTCGATGACGGTTGTTGCTGTGAAAGCTGGTTCCGAAGCTCGTCGATGGTGGTGTCTTTCGTAGCCTGCGGAAAAGTTAGTCTCGGGCATGTGACAAGAACGTCACTGGAACTTACGGCTTCCTTCTGGAGCTCGCCCAGTGTTGACAGTTGCGCCTGTAGCTCGGACAGTTGGTTTGCAATGGCAGATCGGCTGCTCTCGGCATTCGAAGCCTTTTGCTGAGCTTCACCCAGCTGCTTCTGCAGAAGAGCCAGCTGGGCCGTCGTAGCATCAGAGTTCTCGTTGATCTGACCCTCTTCGCCCGCATCTGCATTCTCAGCTGCCTGAGTAGAAGTGTTCGCCTGAGCAATGGCTTCGTCGCGAGCAGTCTTCGCGGCATTAAGCTCTTGCTGGGTCGTCGCCAGTCGTGCGCGGGTCTGCTCCAACTCTTTCTGAAGTGCCGCCGTTCGCTCCTGGGATTGTCCGGCGTTGGCACTTGTGGCTTGGGCGTTGGTGAGCTCTTGGCGGATGCGGTCGACCTCCTTTTGTAAGCTTGTACTCGATTCCTGCGCCTCCTTGAGCTGTGCAGTGAGTGCGGTGATTTCAGCCCTCTTCTCTGACATGCGCTGATTATGTGTCTTTTGGAACTTTTCTCGCTCGGCCGCCTTGATGTTATCTCGCTCAGCATTCGCCTTCTGTACGTCGCTTGTGAGAGCTGTAATCTGTTCGTTGAGGCCGGCGACCTGCTCGAGTGCCTGGTCGCGCTCCACCTTGTGGTCTTCGATCTGTTGTTTGAGATCTTCGAGATCCTTGGGGTCGATGCGATCGTATCGCTGGAGCACGTCCTGGTGACGCTTCTGCCAGCGGTCGCGATCCTCCTCAACAGCCTTGAGGTGACCTACATTGAGCTCGAGCTCGCCCTCAAGTTCAGTCACACGAACTTGCAAGGGTTCCAACTCAGCCTGCAGATCCTCCAGTGCCTTGGCCTTCTCAGCAAACGAGGCTTGAAGACGCGTGTTTTCGCTGCGCAACGTCGCATTGCTCTCGCGGTAGACGTTAAGTTCTTCGAGGTTCTTGTTGAGATGTGCAAGGCTGGAGTTGCTCTGCGAACCCGAGGCCTTGGCTTGCTCTTCCAGTAGCTTCTCTCGCGTCTGGTCGAGCTGACCCTGGGCGTGTGTGAGTTGCTGCTCGAGACGCTTTGACTCCTGCACTTTGAGGTTCAACTGAACTTCCAAAATCTCCTTCTCTCGGCGGAGATAGGTCTCGATGTCCTGGAGGTTGTTAGAGCCGGACTCCGTATTGCTTGGCTCCCCAGTCGATGCGCCCCGGTCGTTCTTCAAGCTGTTGATTTGCTCTTTGTATTCGTCGAACTGCTTGAGCAATGTCTGGTTGTATTGCTTCAAGTCGTCGTGGCGGCGTCTGGCTTCTGCAAGCTGCTCCTCATAGCGACCCTCAGTAGACTTCCAGTGTTCTTGACTCTGCTCCAGCGTTGTGCGTGCAGCTTCTGCTTGCGTCTTGAACTCTGTGATCTGGGATTGAAGCTGATTGAATTCGTCGCGCAGCTCACGGAGCTTCGTCATGCTCTCGGCGTGCTTCTGGAACTCGTGCTCGTAGTCCTTCTGGGCGCGCTCGGCGATGTCGGCTTGAGTCTTCACGTATTGCATCTGGTTCTCAGCCTCAGCCTTGTAGTCGGCTACATCATTGTTGAGTCGGGTGATCTCTGCTTCCAAGGTTTCCTTCTCTTGTCTGAGGACCAACGTGTCTTGCTCATGCTTTCCTCGCAGTTCGGTAAGCTCGGTGCTGCTTGATGCGAGCTCAGAAGAGATGTCTTCCACGCGCTGTTGCAGATCGCGGATAGTAGCATCCTTCTCTTCTTGTGCAAGGTTAAGTTGCTCCTGGAGTCGTTCGTGGGCCTCGACAAAGGTCTGCAATCGGTTCTCGGCATCCTGAGCGATGTCCTGGAAGCCGGCAATCTGGGCAGTCACGGCCTCCAGATCCTCTTCCTTGCGCTCGATCTTGCGCTTAAGATCCGAAACCTGTTCCGCAAGCTCTTCCTCGCGACTGACAGGATCTTGCTCATCGTTGGCCTGCGATCGTGGTTGAAGAGCCTGTAAGCGCTCCTCGGACGACTGAAGTTGGTTCTGGAGTTCCTTAAGGCGTTGCTCCAACTGGTGGCGCGTCGTTTCAGCGGTCGCAGACTTGACTTCGGCACTGTTACGTGCTGCAATGAGGTCGTCGATGCGTCGTTGCGTTTCGGTTCGCTCGTAGTCTCTTTGCTGGGTCGCCCTCTTGTGCTCGGCGATCTCGTCCTCCAACTTGCTTTCAGCGCTCTGCAAATCTGTCCGAAGCTTGTCCACCGTGTTCTGCAGCTCGCGTCGGCTCTCCGCGGTGGCCAACTCAGCTTCGTTGCGCAGACTCTGAATCGAGGACACCATGTTGCTCAACCGATCGCGCTCGGTCATCAACTCCTGGTTCCTTTCCTTAAGACGTGCTTCAATAGTCGCGGACATTTCCCGAGATGCCTTGAGCTGCACCATCTCGCCCTGCAAGCTCTGAAGACGTGCCTCAGCTTCCGCAGCGTTCTGGGTGGCCTTGACAAGCCTGTCGTCCTGTTGGGCCATGGTGGCTTGGACCTTGTTGTAGCGTTCCTGGAGGGAGTCCTTCTCGGATTGGAGCAGTTTGATGCTACCCTCAAGACGGGCATACCTGTCCTGCTCTCGACGCACCTGCGACTCGAAACGGAGTTTGTCGCTCTGGAGCTGAGAGTTGTCCTTGGTCAGACTATCAACCTGCGCCTTGAGTGTAGTGCGGTCTGTGGCACTCTCCTCTTTGAGCAGGTCAATGTGGGATTGAAGGTCCTTGATAAGCTTGCTGTACTCGGGGATCTCGCGGGATGAAGAGCCGTTCTCGAGAAGCAAGGGAGCTCCGCCTGCAGGCACAGACTGTGCGAAAGCGGATGTTGACTGCGAGTGAGACGGCAACTGACCCCGACCGCCAACTATGCGGCTGTACATGTCGCGCTCGGTCTTGAGGGTTTGCGAGCGAACGTTGAGTGACTTGATCTCTTCTTCCTTCTCAGCGACCACGGAGCGTAGACGGCCAAGCTCCTCGACGTCTTGCTGGTATTGCTCAGACTTCATGCGGACCTCTTGCCTCTCCTGTTCGTCGCCCACTTGTCGGAGTGTGCGCGTCAGTTCGGCGTTCTGTTGCTGCAGGGTAGCAATGTCCTTGTAGAGGATCAGGTGCTTCGTGATCATCTGGTGTGTAGGCGAGTCGTCTGGTACGTGCTTGTCCGGTACTTGGTTGTTCTCAAGAGCGTTGACGATGAACTCTTGCTGTTCCTCTGTGAGGCTGCCCAGACCCTGCTCTTCAACCTGGCGACGCCATAACAATGTCCGCAGCTGGATCGTCATGTCCTGTACCTGGCGACGCAGGAGAGCAGATTCGTTGTGTACGCCTTCCAAGTCACCCAGCGCCTTGCGTGAGTCGCGTTGTGCTGCCTCGCGTTCGGCAATGGCTTCTTCGAGAAGCGCGCTGATTTCGTTGTTCTGCTCGTTCAGGGCATCGTTCTGGCGGCGGAGTTCGTCGAATTCGGGTTGGTGACGCTCCAGCTCCTGCAGCATGTCGTTGAGGACACCGGTGTTCTCTTCCAACTTCTCACGGACCTTGCGAAGCTCTTTCTTGAGGTCGTTGTTCTCGATCAGTAGCTGAGTCTTGGACGCATCGGTCTTGAGCTGCGAGCCGCCAGGGGAGAAGACGACAGCAGGCGAACCAGCTCGGCCGGGCGTGCTGAAGCCACCGTTGATGCTCATGCCGTGTCGCGGCGTTCCGGGTACGCGGACGGAGCTTCGAAGCTCGGAGTTGTCGCTCTTGAGGGTCTCGACGAGCGTCTCGAGCTCAGCAGTGCGCGCATCGGCCTCGGCAGCCCTCTCACGTTCCGCCTCGACTTCGGCCATGAGCTGGCCAATCTCGGTCGCGGCTTCCTCTTGTACGCGGCTACTGTCCGACTGCAGCTGCTCCAAGCGCTTCTTGGTCATCTCGTTATTTTGTTGGTGCAGCGTCGACAGGCGGCGCGCGCTGTCGAGCTCGATGCGGAAATGGGCCTCGGCGGCTGACGCTGCATTCTCGAGCTCCTCGATGCGCAGACGGTCCTCCTCGGCCTTGCCCTTGAGCTCTTCAATGTGTTGTCGCAACAGCGTCTCGGAGCGGTTTAGGGTGTCGATGGTCTCGGCGGCGTCGGCGTTCTCGCGCTGGAGTTGGGCAATCTGGGCATTCTTCTCTTTCCGGTACTTGCTGTGGTCGTCTGCACGTGTCTTGAGCTCGGTCGTGTACCAGTCGTTGTTGCTGCGGAGCTGCTCGATTTCCTGCTGCAGGTTGGCCTCGCGGAACTTGACATTGGTGGCGGCGCTCTCAAGCGACTGCGTCTTCTCCTCGAGCGTCGACACCTGCTTGCGCAGCTCGACCGACTTCTGGTGTTGCTCGGTGAGCTCCTTGGCGAGGCGGTCGTGTGCGGTCGTCTTGGTCTCGTGCATGGCCATGAGGTCGCGGTTCTGGGACTCGAGCGTCTTGATGCGCGACTCCAGCGCCTGCGTCTCAGACGTCGAGCTGGTGGCCGTGGCGCGCAGATTGTGCAGTGCCGACTCTGCCTCTTGCCGTGCATTCTCTGTAAACGCGTCAGTATCAATTGGACATGCACGGCGCATGCATCTCGTACCCTCTTGGACTAGCTTCTTCTTCAATTCCTCGGCCTCCTTCTGCGCCTTCTCTGCGGTGGCCTTCAGGGTGCGCGCGCGCTGCTCTCCGCCCTGGATGGCGGCTTCGAGCTCGACATCGGTGCGGATCTTCTCCGATTGGAGGTCATCGTATGCGCGCGCCTTCGCTTCGATCTGAGTGAGGAGCGTCTGGACGAGCTCGACGGTGGGCTCGGATAGTAGTGACTGTAGGGTTGTCTCTGGGACGGAATAGGACGCGGCCAGGTAGCCGACGTCGACGGTTGCCGCCATGATGGTGTATTAGTTTATTGCAGGCCTCGAACCATTCTCCGATCGGTCGAGTGCGTCCCGGGGAGAAAAGAGACAAAGGAGGGCGGTGGTGTTGACGCGAACAATGAACGGGTCCGCGGTCAAAGTCGCGAGTTCAGTTGTTTGACGACGGTCGCGCAGGGGCCAACCACTAACGCGGCTGCCTCCCAGGCTTGAGGTCATAGCACATGTGCGTCTTTCTCCGACGCCTTCACTCGACGTCTTCCATTCACTACCTCCACCTTCACCCGCCGCACCTTCCGCGCATCCACGCTCACTACTACCGGACCTTCCCCGTTGTCTGCCGTGCGACTCTTTAGCTAGACGCTGCACACTCGACTGCCGACAGCAGGTATCCTTGACCAGGCAACAGCCACCCACGCACCTCCGACCGCATCTTCAACTTCTACCACCACCACCACTACCACCATGTCGTTTCTCAAGGCGAACTCGGCCACAGGCATGAACGCCCCCTCACCCACGCCCTCGAGCTCCTCCGCCAGCGGAAAGCGCAAGCGTCCAGCCGATGGAGCGCCCCCCGTCGTCTACTCGCAGCCGCAGGACACAGGCACCGGCGAGCACGTCTTCACCCGCCTCACCTACGTCAACGACTTCCTGCGCGAGCGCAAAGAAAAATGGCACACCTTCGACGACATCATGGAATACCTCAACATCCCGCCAGGCCACATCCAGCGCGAACAGCTGCGCCAGCTGATGCGCGCCGACAACGCCGGCAACCGGATCAGCTGGGACTCTGCGAACGAGCGGTACAAGTACAAGAGCAAGCTCAGCATCCACGACCGCGCGCAGCTCAAAGGCCATTTCCAGACGCAGAAGTCGGCCATGGGACTCCAGATCAAAGACCTGAAAGACGGCTGGTCCACCGTCGCCGACGACATCACCAAGATGGAGAACAAGAAGGAGGTGCTGGTGCGACGCGCCAAGGACGGTGTGCCAAAGACTGTCTGGGGCAACGACCCTTCTCTCATGCTGCCCATGGACCCCGTCTTCGCAAAGGCCTGGCACTCGGTCCAGGTGCCCGATAACCCGGATGAGCTGCGCAAGGCCCTTCTAGCCAACAAGCTGACCGCCGCTACGCAAGCCAAGGTTATTGTTGCCGCCCCTACCAACAAAAAGAAGAAGGGTCCTCGTCGTGGTGGCAAGCAGACCAATACCCACATGATTGGCATCCTGAAAGACTTCTCCGGAATGAGAAAGTAGACGAGTCTGAGGCTTGCAATCTCTCTCATTTGATGTGGAGTACCTTTTGCGTACGTGGTGGTTATGTTATTTCGGGAGTCATGAGTGGCTCGTGTCGATCTGCGTCATCGCAGTACCATGGATGGCATGGAAGGAACTGAGATAAAGTAGACCATGTTTGTTTCTTAACTGCATAGCGACGGCGTTGGCACATGTTTTCATGTATACTGGCGTTTTCATCTCTGGGCAACGTGGGAAGACCGTTGAACCTCCTTCAAATTGGCATAAACAATAAACATATGTAACATTATGCATTCCCTCTTTCCCAATTACTCTCTCCCTTCAAGCCCTCTCCCCCAATGCAGTCTGTCTCAGTGAAATCATACTCCGCAGCAACTGACCTACACGGCACTGTTAGCAATGTCCTTCTTCTTCTTCTCTAGAGTAGGTAGGGTACTTACACCGCAGCTAGGACAGTCGGTACCACAGCCGCACGGCGGCACGAATCTGGTGGCGCAGCAGCTCTCGAACTGCTGGCGGGCTTGTAGGTCGCCTTCTACGACGTCGTAGGCTTTGATGCTGCCGTCGACTTGGAGGACGTAGTTCGTGGCGGCGAGCGTGGTGGACGCGCAGAGGAAGGTGAGGATGGCGGTGAGCTTCATGGTTGTTGATATAAGGAGGTCGTAGTTGTAGGTAAACGTATTCTTATTGTCTGTCTGGATAGGAGGGTGGTCGTGGTCGTGCTATAGCCAGCTACTTATACCCACACAGCCCATCCCCCATCTCCTACCCCGGCCGACCATCCTACCCAACACGTACCTTTCATATATCCACATCTCCACATCTCTACTGATCCAGCCTCGTTTGTTTTTCGTCCGTTGCATCACAGACACTGCGTACGCATTCTGTGGAGACGAACCCCTTGCATTTCGGCCCGTTGGCGCGTGGTTTGCAGCCTAGAGGCTGAATCACATCTAGGCGGTACTGGGCATCACACCATGAATGAAGTGATGCTGCGGTGAGGAGATGGGGTCGGAGGTGGCCGCTGGTGGCTTTGTGGTTGCTGTTGTGGTTGTTAGTGTTAGTGTATGTGGATGTGGATCACAGCTAGCTACGGGGTGTTGAACTAGGTATCCGGTGAAGATGGTTATGGAAAGCAGACGTTGATATTGAACTTTTCGAATTCGTTCTTTCAGGCCAAGGCGGATAGATTACAAACATATCCCAAGTTTTTGCCCATAAGATATCATACACAACCCCAATATACTCCTCCCCATCCTTTCTCCCCTCCTCAAAGATTTCAGCAAGAAGACTACACCCAATCCATCATTTCATTCATTTCACAACAAAATATACATCACAAGCATTCTCATACGCCCTCCCACACCCACAAGGCGGAGCGAAATTATTCGAGCAGCAATCCGGGATAAACTGGCGTGCATCCAGCTGCGTATCTGGTACAATCTTGACAGAGCCGTCGAGTTGGGGGATGTGCTTTGCGAACGCGGTGCTCGCGCAGAGGGCGGTGAGGAGGGCTGTGAGATGCATGTTGGCCGGGTGGGTAGATGTGCTGGGTTATTGTTGGTTGGATTCGGGATGTGGGGATGTTGTTGGTGGTGTGGATATAAGTATGTATACTACATGTGTTCCCAAACAGCTCCAACCTTTCTTCCACCTCAACACCACACACATACCTTGCGCACCTCCAGCCTCCCTTTTCTTCCCTTCCCATCACCTCACCTCATCACCTCACCCACGCACACACAAGCCGGCCCATTTCCGCACACCACCCCCATCGTTTCGGCCCGTTCGCGTCCGCTTTCCAAGCTTAGTCTGTACCTAGGTATATAGGCTGAATAGCCACGTCTAGCACCTGGGCAAAACCGCACACCACCACCTCTGTCGTCTCTACTGCTTACATGTGGGTATCCCTTACCGCGGGCGCAGGAGCCGTACAATGACCTGCAGCAGTCAATGGCAGTTGGATGCGCCTGCATAACCCGGGCCTGGGAAGCGGGAGAGTGATGAGGGAGGTCGCGGTTTGGGTGGGCGGGAGGATGGGAGGATATGGTGACGATGATGTTGTACATACGCGTAGTAGGTTTCGCGCCGTTGGAGTAGAGCGGTTTTAGTGTCGTGATAGATTGCTTGGGTCGACGATGGTAGCTGGTAGCCTCGTTTCGAGTATCTGGTCGCCACTTGACGGCTTTTGGTAGTGGTTTCCAAGGTTGTCGCATGAACATTCACCGCCTTTCTTCCCTGTCCTGTACAGTGGTTCCACGGTTGTTTCTCGGTCGCTCGATCCTACTTAGTTACCTAGCCTTGCACGTCGCAATTCTGGCACGAGTGACGAGGCTGTACATGAGGTGTAGAGGACCAGTTTGAAGGGTCTTATCCTGGGTGGAATGTTTGGTGTATGGATTGGTGTTATGGCGCCATCTCTGGTGTACTGTACTACCTCGACCTTTCCAATGATTCGGGTTCCGATCTGTTCTTGTTGTGATTTGTAGTACTATTTAGGTAGGAGGCTGGAGGGCTGATACACATCTGGGCGCCTCTGGGCATCACATTGCGACTTTTGGTGCGGTGCGGTGAGTTGGGGCGGTGGGGTGGAATGGGAGTGTCGTGCGACGATATTGTTGTTGGGGTTGATGGTGGAGGTGGTGGTGGTTTGCAAAATCCACTGCCATGTGTGTGTATTGTCGGACCTGGTAACTGGGAAATACAAGGCTGGAAAACAGTTCCTAAATTTAACCGAAGCTGTGGCTCAAGGTGGTCTGGGTTGGTGGTCAGTGGGCAGTGATACGAGAAGCCATGTCTGTCGTAGTCCTGTCCGTGTCAGCCATTATTGCTTCTGGTAGCTGTTTCCTTCAATCTTCGTGGCACTCATGAACTTTGAAATGTTGAGATCTGTACTTGCACGCTACCTAAAGTAGTCATCAGCGCAGATGTCCAATTCCATGCTGACATAAGGCTATCACCCCCTCGGTATGCTTTCTCTCTCTATCGTCATGTCTTTGCCTCTCTTCCCCCTTTGGCAGTCATCTCATACGTCTCTTCTCGAAGAATCCCTCCTTTCCAGAGGTGACCGGTCATGGCGGACTATCGCACCTCTCTAAAAACCGCAGCACTCAAGCTACACCCAGATATGTTAGCAAAGCGTTCCTTGATGCACTTGTCCCTCTCATTCACCCCCTCCAGGGCTCTCTAAGCCCTCCTTCTTCTAGATTCGACTAGGAAATACGTACACCGCAGCTAGTGCAAGGCGCAGGTGGGCAAACACAAGGCCCATTGAAGTTGGTGGAGCAGCACCCTGGGATTTGGCGTGGTAGCAGATCGCCTTCTGCCATCGCTTTGATGGAGCCGTCGGCTTGGAAGATGTCGATGGCGAAGGCGGTGCTTGCGCACAGGGCGGTTAGAATGGCGGTGAGCTTCATGGTTGGCTGTTTTTGTGGTGGGCGCGTGTGGATAGTAGGGATGTTGTTGGGACGAGATGTCGATGGCGGTCGTGGTGGTCGTGGTGCATGTATTTATATTCACCTACCTATCTGCTGTACAACGACCTGCATACAACCTTTGTTACTGCTTACTGTATTCCGCTTCCTCTGATTCTCCGAGTTGTTTTGCATTACGTCGTATTGTATCGCACCGAGTAGGTACGTACATGAGTGTTGATCCCCCTCTTCATTTCTTCGGCCCGTCGTCGTACGAGCTCGTCGCTAACCTGGGTAATATAGGCTGAATAGCAGCTGGGCGAACTGAACATCTTCATTCTTCTGTCTTTACTGCCCCTCAACCTGGTGCTTCTCTTCTGCGTGTCATGCATCCTGATCAAACATTCTTTCCGTCCGCAAAGCCAAGGTTTGGTTTATCGTGATGCTTTCTCGCCTGATACGCACATGTAGTTCTGGAATATCGGGTTGAAACGAAATGTCTTTCGTCATCGTCGTCGTTACTGCGGCGAGTTGGGGTATTTGAGGACTTGATCGCCAGCGCTTTATTCGTGCTACATGGATGTCGCTTGCTCGGGTTGATAGCTGAAGATGCGCACAGCATGCGAGCCTTGGAGTGCCGTTTGAGCCCTTTGGTCGCGTATCACTGAAACATGTTGTGAAGTGCTGTTGGTAGTAGCCATCTTATGTTACGTCATGTACACATGTATTCGCTAACCCACGAATAGTGCTAACGACTACTACCACACGCAAGATGCGATGAATATACTCCAGAGCATACATGAAGACGCAGAGTTTCTTGGCGTGACGAACACTGCGATCCAAATGTTCACCGCTACCTTCCCTACAGGGCCCTTCTTCGGTTACATCTCGGCTGACTAACTCTAGGGCTTACATCAATTATGCCACGGTTTGATTTGCTCGCTCTTCTCGATTTTGCCAGTGTTTCCATCGTCTCGCAGAACATTGAGATACAATACGACAACACGACATGTATAATTCGTGGCGTCGTTATTGGCATCATGTCACCACCTCAGGTTTGGCACCGCGACCTTTCCAATACGGTTCTTGTCCCAGCCGCTCGTCCACGAAGCGTTCAGGTAGGCCGATATCTTTGCTAGAATCATAGTCTCCACTGAGTTGACAATCCGTACACAGCGCGCCCAGCTTGTTAATCCTATCTCTCGCTTCTGTATACCGCTCATTCTCTTCTTGGAACCGGGTCTTCATGTCTTTGAGTATGCAGGCAAGATGTTCCTGTCGCTGCGGCGTCACCTCAATCCATATCTTTGGGCATTCTAAGTTGTCGCTGTAGCGCGATGGTTCCCACTTGATGTCTTCGTTCCAGCCCCAGTTTTGCTCCGCGCTTATAGGCCCGTATCTGCTGAACATGTTGTATAAGATGATGGATGTCTGGATCCCCTCGGCGGCAGCGGCTCGGCTGATCGATGCCAGGCTATCCAGCCAATCGTCCTTCCAGTCCAGGAGCGGAAGTTCGACACGCAGGTGCGCGAGCTGGGGGAAAGATGTCCGCTTGTTCTGCACCACCAGATCGAGTGCTGGGAGTAAGCATTGCGGTACAAACGCGGTAGCTCCGATGTTTTCACGCGATTCTTGCGCCTGAGCTCGCGTAATCCAGAGTTCCTGGAGGGTTTTGGGAAGTATGGACCAAAGCCTGTCTCTCGATGCGCCAGTCCGGAAGGTCGTCTGGTCCGTGAACCCTTGATGGCCCCATATGTACACAGGTGCGACTTTGAGACGCTTGAGGGCGGTGAAAGACGTGAAAGAACACGGATAAGCCTTCGAGCGCTCGGCACTACCGTTATCAACGTACGGGTAGAAGTCTTCGTGGCTTAGCCCCAGCGTTTCCAGCGTCTCGTGATGTGGCTCCAGGCTTCGCATCATTGCCGGATGCGCTGTGTCGCACCACGCCCACGGGCCTCCAAGCTCGTAGTTGAAGGTCTTGAGTCTTCCGGGTATCGTCGCGTTCAACATGCCTTGGAAATTCTCCATGTCCAGCTTCGCGCATCGCAATTCCAGATACTCTACTGGGCACGATCGTGGCTCCAGTTTCGAGAACTCGTCATTTTGGTCGTGGACTTCGCCGTCGCCGTGCTTCCATCCGTATATAGAGCGCACATTCGGGAGATGGAAGAAGGCTGCGACGTGACTGGTGTCGCTAGAATATTTGTCGTCTGCTCCAGCCACCAGGATATCGATGGGTTCTGACATTGCTTGCGGCTTCCTACGGATGACCTTGGGCAACAACGAGACGAAATCATCATGGCCATACAGGTCGCAATTGATGTTCAAACGTCGAAGTTTCGGGAGGCCTACGAGTAATAGCGCCATAATAGCATCCTCATTCTTGGCCGACTGGATCTTCCCATACACATCTTCAGCCTCTTCGACGGTGGAAGTGTACTCCGCGCACTTCTGCCTCAAGATTTCGTGGACTCCAGGATCATCAGATCTTGGCCAGGATCCGTTGGAATATCTATCTTCAACATCTGCCCAGGTACGAGGCACGATGAAGGATTTGACAAGACAGGCATGGGCGGGGGAAGTGAAAACCAAGTATGCAAGAGCGGCAAGGTTGTCGGTCTCTCTCAGGTAAATCTCCGAGTAGAGCCATGGTGTCGCAAGCCGATTGAGTGTTCTGGAAGTACGGCATACGCTGAGGAGAGATTCGCGTGTGGATAAGGAGACAATATGTTCAAGAAGCTCGGTAGGAAGCTTCTCTTCAATAGAAAGTGACATGGCAAGAACAACGACTTTGCAATGGCAGTTCGCACGAATGGAGAAGAGGAATTAGTAGCCATCTTGATATTTAGAAAAGGCTTATCGTTTTGTTGTTAGCTGTTGCTCGTTATGCAAGGCCGCCAGGGCGTATCGGATGCCTGCTTGGCATCACGCTAAACAGTTGCTTACGTGACGTCATCGCTGCGTCGCCCAATCACTTTGTGTTTGCAGCCTGAAGCATCCACCACCCGAAGATTTATAATCGTTCTATTTCAGAAGTAAGGCGACTTTAGATTAGAGATCACCCTTTTCTGCCTTCGCTATCATCATCTAGTTCGCAGTCGCCCCAAATGGCCATCCATTGAGATCGATATTGAGCAACCTCCCCAACCTAATCTCCTCGGCACGAGACTTGAGATCGTCGATATCCCAGTTACACCACAAGAACTTGCCCTTGAGGAAGCGAGCCTCTGGTGTCGAGAGCCAGAGATTGAAGCTCGCAGGAAGAGTGACTATACAAAGAACAATTAGTCTCATCGTGGTATGCAGTAGGGTCGTACGCTCACCATCATCAGTCTTGACATGCTTGAAGCTATCTGCTCCGCCAACTCTACGGTTCATCTCCGTCAACACAACGCCAGGCTGGGTATGGAAGACGCTGAGATTAGGTTTCGCAAGGAGTACCATGTCCCACAAGCGGTAAACAGCCATCTTCGCAACGCAGTAGGAGGCGTAAGCATCGTTTAAACTCAAATGGGCGCCCCAGGAGTTGATAGCGACAACATGCGCATCAGGTGCAGCATGGCGTATGAAAGCTTTAGCGACCCACAAAGAACCCTCAATATTCCCAGTAACACCTTTGAGAAACTCACGCGCGTCAACCTCAGCGAAGTTCTCAGTCGGACCAATGACCGCAGCGGCGTGAATAAGAGTGTCAATCTTGCCCTCTCTCGCGAAACTGTCAAAAGCCGAATTGACAGATGCCTCGTCGGTAACATCCGTGCTTTGGATAAAGACCTTTGTGCCAGGACACTCTTTCTCGATAAGCGCTTTGTTCTCGAGCAGCGGACCCTCGCGGCGTCCTAGGAGACCGATACGTGCGGCACCTGCGCGGGCGAAGAAACGCGCTGTCTCCCCTCCGATGCCGGTGTTGCCGCCTCCGGTCACGAGAATGGATTTGCCTTTCTGAGAGAGGGCTGGGAGGCTGGGGTCGCCGGCGGGTTGGGCGCTGTTGTGCCAGCGCTTGACTGGAGATGGGAATGGAGGAGTGGAGGATACCATGATGATGTGGATGGGCTTTGGTGGAGGAGAAAGGATGGGTTGCTGCGTGACTTGCGACTGATACCACTTAGAAAGATGCGAACGTCCTGGGTATTCGTAATGGAGGACGACCCATCATCCTTATAATGTTCTTGTACCCAGGTCGGGGAAAGAGACACGGCGGAGTTCACGAATCCCGACGTACAATTTGTTCCGCCCGACACTAGTGAAATCCGACCGCACTGATTCAGTTCGGGTGGGGTGGCGCTTTCGTCGTTTGGTATGTCACGCATACTTGTACACAAATACTCATTGATATCTCAATGTTGGTATAACTCGGTACAATCCATCAAGCCATGTCGCTAAGCCATAGAGGCCGTGAGCATGATCAGCCCACCCATGCTGTCCATACCAGAACACCATTCGGTCCAACAGGCCGCGCTACGACTAGCTCTACTCGTATGAATCTGAGATGGCGTCTCGTCATTCGATGGAATGTAGGGCAACCACGCATCTCGGCAGGACAATCGACGCTGGTCCAACTTTACAATCTCACCATCGACAGCCAGCGCAAAGGATGCCTCTTCTCGCAGCTCGTTCTGCCGTTGCCTTTGCCACTCCTCCGCATCACGTGCTTCCCAGAGTTGCCGTCTCGCGGGCAGAGGCGCAACTACGAATTCTGTAGGCATGTCGCACATGGCTGCTGGGTCGAAGAAGACGAGCTTGTTCAGGACGCGATAGATTACCGCGAGTCTATCATGGGTTTTAGTGAAGGAATATGGAACGGTTATCGGAATGATCAATGTACCTTCGCCTGGATTCTTTGTAAACCCAGTCTTGCCAGCTGTTAGTTGACTTGCTGCGACATAATACGTCATGCGTATGGCAATCAAAATCGTCGCGAGAAAGTTGGATTGCGACGAGCTAGAACGAATATCGTTAGATGTGTTTCCTAAACGTGCGGACATATTGGACTCACAATGACTGCCCTCTCTAAAAGATAATCCAGATTATTGTGCTCAGTCTCGCCTTCGTCGATGCGAATCAGAATGTAGACCGAAAGAGCTTGCATAGCACCTAGTAGTTCCCATTTGTTTAGAGTTTGGTTCTGGTCACAGATGCGTTCACACTCGGTTCTCACATTCCGCCAGAAGAGCTTTCGGCTGCCTTTCACTCGGTTCGCCATCATGTGCATCAACGCGATGCAATTCTCAAGTGGTTCTATTGTTGTCCCTTCATCCATGAACGACACGTAGCTTGGATGTATGAAAGGTGGCAGGTCATTTTGCTGCAGCATCAGCGGATAAGACTTTAATGTATAGAAGATGAGACTGGCCGCTCTTTCCGCTCCGTGGTGCATCTTTGGTCGTTGTATCATTGATCTGACGTTCGAACTAGGGCCGGGTGAGATGGCAAAGCACAAAAATTGTTGTCTCTGGGTTCGATGTTGCCGCTCCCGCTGACGAGTAACTTCATTCTGTTCGTCGGAGATTGGGCCTGTTAATTCCAGCAACGATGAAGGAGGCGTAATGGTCGTCGGGCTGGCTGATCCTGGTGAAGATGATGTGACTGAAGGGAAAGCCGACTGAGGCGTAGGTATCATGTAGTCGTCAAAAGCCGTCATATCGTCGAGGCTCCACTGTAGGTCTTCGAACACGGGGTCAAGGCTGGTCAATGTAGTAGCCAGAAGACCTTGAGATTGATCGGCTACAGTTGGCACAATCGAGTTTGCATGACCGTCAAGGGGATTATCCAGGTGGTCGGAGGTAGCATGACGCACAGCATGACGCTTTTGCCTTGTAGATCTGGAAGGATAGTGACACATGAGACCCCTTCGGATACAACGCGAACATCCTGGTAGTGCGTTATTGCACGCGGTCTTTGCCTTTACGCAAGCCGCACACGATCGCCGTCTCTGGACAGAGGCTCTCGTGTTGGACCGACAATAGTAACCATGACGTTTCAATGATGATTCTTCGAGAAACGGTCAGTCCAATAGTCGTTGTCGCAAAGTTGGAGCAGCACGGCAAAGACACTGACGTTTGGTAAACGGCTTGTCGCACTGGCGGCACCAAAGCACACCCGCAGGTACCTGCTCCGCCATCCGGGGCTGATCTGAAGGCGAAGATGGTGGTTTGTGACACTCACGAGACAGCTGGTTCGGGATAAATTGAAGGCAAAAAAGCATTTGGGTGGCGTGAAAAAGAAGCCTGGTCGTGACAAGCACAAGGTATCTAGGTAGTCCCGAGGTTGGTGGTTGGTGCTGACATATGCGGCAGGGACGCGCCCCACCTGCATCCTTCGGCCGGTACAAATTGTAATTCCCACTTGGGTCAACATGACGCTAGCGCGTCGACTTAAAGTACTTCCGAACGTAATTCTGTTTCGGGCAAGCACGCTTATTATACCTAGATACTTCACGGTCTGACTTCCAGCCTTTGCATGCCCAGGTGGCTATCCGCGTCGACTAACCCTGGGTCCTCGGGGCCTCGGGAGTCTCGCACAGAGATGAAGTACATGAGTCTGTTTGGTGAGACACCAGGTGCACTACTTTCCAATTGAACGAGTGTGTATCTAACAACCAGCCGTCATAAACCGCTATCACCCCTTCTTCCCCCTAGTTTCAAAACATCCCTTCATCCCCCTCTAGCTACGGTAGTTAACCGTCACATGGCACTTATCACAGTTACCAGTTCCATAGCTACCATGCGACTTTCCACAGTGAGCCAAGATATACTCGGCCTTGTCCTTGATAACCTGACCCCGCACTGCCTGCTGGCCAGAGCCGTTGGTTGCGTACTTGATGAAGCAGCTGCCCTGCGAGAACTCTTGCTGGTCGTTGTAGTACGCGTTTACATCGATTCTGGCGATGCCGACGTAGCATTCGCTTAGGTTGGGGGAGCGGCTGGAGCCGTCGCAGCTGGGAGGGTAGGTTAGTATAAGTAAAGATAATAGGGAAAGGAGGGGTTGAAAGTCTGAGGGGTGATGGGAAGGGGAAGTGGCTTACTTGTCGGAGTAGGCCAAAGCAGTGCTGCTAAGAGCGAAGAGGGCGAGTGCAATTTTGGCGAACATGATTGCGGAGTGTTTGTGAGTGTTTGTGATGGTAATGAATGGGAAGTTGATGTGTTTGATGCTTCTAAACCGCTGTGCGGACGCAGTATTTATAGACAAAATGTCTGCGTACAAGCGGACTCACACTCGCCACCCCTTAGCTGACTATACGCTGTCCTTACTATTTTGGAAGTCGAGATACCGATGAGGGTGCGTCGATGCTGATGTGCATGATGGCCTGAAGCATGCGTGTTTGGGATGAGGCCCCCCATATGCTCGATGCACACACTTCGGCTACAACTCCGATCTGGAGATCATGTTCTTAAAATGTCGGTCAAGAGCTCCTAGGATCTACTTCCTCTCTTGTTGTGAAGAGCAGCCAGTTAGTGAAACCTCACAAATTACGGGTCTTCGCAGCGGACGTTTTGATAGAAGCCTTGGAGCAGTCTGCCTTGCGAACCTGAATGGATACACAGTAAACACAGCTCTGCGTCTTAGAGTGCACGTGAGCTTCCGTAGCACATTACCAACGAAAGATGCAGTCGGAAGGTCCTCCGCTATTAGGCGAAAGCGTAAATATGTGTTGAGAGATCCGCCCAATTCGGGTAATCCGGGGAGCGCCGGTCAGGAACGAACGCTTGATCCGGTCAATCGCAGCATGTAGCAGCATGATTTCGTAGTAGCCCTGATATCATGGAGTTACAATGTAGTAATATGATGCAAGCAAGCGGGAAGTACATCGTTCTCGTTGGCTAAATTGGTAGTGGAAGGTGTGAAGGTTTGCGGGCCGCAGCGTACATGCGTACAGCCTTACGGACGTACGGCCCCGGCATTAGCTTGGTGTATGTGCATTAGTACCCGTCCAAAACACGACAAGCTTCCGAAGGGTCCAAAAGCTTGTGGCGTAGATGGGTCACGCAGGCTGACGTGAAACAGTTGCTTTTGCAGCAAATTCATCGAAGAAGAGCATGTGACTGACTCAGACTGCGATCTGGTCTTCGTCTACGCTGGCCACCGAAGCTTTGTGTCAAGTTCATGGTGGTATCCATATTCAATTAGAGTTATCATAAGCCTTTCAAACAAGCTACGGAGAAGCATTGCCCAGGAACGGCTAAACGAGTAAACGAGGGGCGCGAGGTGATGCACACCAAGGCTATCGTGTAAAAAGGCGGGGAATCAGGCGCTAAGACATCTGAGTGGATCGTGAGGCACGCTTTAGTACTGAATAGTTAGGTGTTTATGATCAAGACGCCGCAATGGGCTGTCATCCCGTAGCTAGCTGGCAGGCTGCGGCAGCGCGGCGCCGTACCGGCGTTGTAGACTAGAAGACATCTCCAGAATGAGCTAGCATACACACAGAGTAGGTGGACATACCGTACGATTAGTGATGAGAAGCCGTCCGTACCGAAGCCCCGATCAGCTCGAACCTAGCCATGAGAAAGGCCTTCCTCCGTGCGATCTCAATTGGATTCGAAGTTCACCGGTGTCTTGTTCCATGCGTCTGTTCGTGCAGATCGGGCTACACGGAACGCCTGTCCTTTCTCTCGGGTACCAGAAACTACACACTCCGAGCCAGAAACGGACAGATGTGGTCATGATGACATTGACTTCGCAGGAGCGCCGCATACACTGAGGAAAGCCTTGTCCAGAAACGGCCGCATAAGACTGCCGATCACCAAGTCCAGTTGTAAAAAATAGCAACTTGTTCAAACTGATGCAAGGCGGGGAGGTACGATGCGGGAATACGGTGTAAGCAGCCCGTTCGTGCAGTGCATACGTTCACCGCCGTGGATGGTGAAGATTCCGGAGCCGCATGACAGGCTTACATTCGAAACCCTGGGCAAAAAGAACAAAAACATACAACAGCGGGGATTCGCTAGTGGTCACCCACCTAACTACTAATCCGCCGGTATCTTGCTTAAGTACCGCTGAGCGAACGGGAAGCGCTGAGTTCAAGATCCTATGGTCGTATGTACAAGAATGCCGTTTTGAAAGGAAATTGATCTGCGTTCATTGCCATTAGTAACATGACAACCACAGCCTTGTTCGGGTCAGCCCAAGGTACGGTCCAGGAGCGCCACACAGCCTGATGCGGCTCTGGAAGTTGCTTCTGTATGGGGCGGACCCATGGCGCCTTGCCACACCAACATTGTAGAAGTGTTATTATAAGAACTGTGAGCAAGCTAGGGACAAGCCTTGACCTAGAACGGCTGCATGGAGGCACAAGGCTGCGTATGCCGAGTCCGTCTTTCCGCTAGCGGCCACCAGAGTACCAGAATGTGTAGATACAAGGCGGAGTTGTAAGACACCAAATGCGTTGGCTCGATTCAAAGGGACGCCTTAGCATATAAGGTTGGGTGTTGGCGGTCCGCATGACATGATGGGCTGCCAAGTGGCGGCGGCGGCGCGACACGACGCGATATTGTAGCTGGGTCAGGCTGAGGATGGCGTCCCGCCTCGTACGATTCGAATGGGGTTGAATTATGTCATGGGTATCTCACTTGATTCGTCTCTTCATGCTGCTGGGACCATACTCATCACCTGGCGACTATCCACTCAGCCTTCCAGCGCCTTTGTCCGTCCATTCCTCTTTCTCCAACTCTGCACACCTCTGTCAATCTCATCTCTTGTCACACCGTCTTTTATAAGCTGCATAGTCACACCCAGCACCTCGACGTTCTTGTTCCTACTCTCATCGTCGAAGAAAAGCATCTCCTCGTACTCGATCCCACTGTCTCTATGTATCCTCTGGAAATGCGTCGTCTTGCTGCCGGGGTATATTTGCATGTGATCGAAGTAGTCTATCGCGCGTGAGGACGACCCGTTCGCGCTGGGTATCTTGAGAAGCTTGAGCATTTCGCGGCCGAGATCGGGGGCGCACGTGCGCGAGGCAGCGGCGATGAGGATGTTCTTGTGTTTGAGCTGTCGTTGCGTCAGCTTCGTCATGGAGATGATGGACATCGAGTCATCTCACTGCTTCTAATACGCCGCCAACATCATTGTAGAAGCCGAAGCCCTCGCCATATTTGTCCTTGACCTTCAGGCCACCTTCGACAGGCTTCAGCGGAGGCGTGACGTGGGTGTCAACCCAGAAGGGCCATAATGTGTAGTCGAGATCGAAGACGACAATTTTAGGGAGCGGTAGTCCGTCTGTGAACGTTGACGGCCATTGGACCTTTTCTGGGAGCGTTGTAGTCGTGGTCGTGTCGGTGGATGCCGACGAGGTCGCGCTGCGGCGGGGCATCGTGGTCTCCGGTATGGGTGGGAAGGGCGCTTTGAGGAAGAAGGCCAAGACGACTGCAGATACGGCAACGGTTAAGAAGCGTGGAAAGGCCAGAATAGAGCTGCGCAGGGTGACTGTGAAAGCTGTCGCACGTGGCGCGCGTGGCAGAAAAAAGGCGATGACGTAGACGCGTAGGACTGCCCGATTGGGCGCCCGGCACGTGAGAACCCTCGTGGCACGCAACAACGTTAAACACACCTCACTACGAAATACCACGATCGATCGTTCATTCGAAAAAGCAAATTCCCTCAAAGATGGCATCGGCGAGTTCGCTTGTACTACCACAGTTTCCGCTGTACCAATTGGCCGTCGTGAAAATTCAAGTGTTGACCTGTATCACACATCAGCCCCCATTGGCATCACTGCCATCATGTAGATGTTCACGATTGCTGAGTGCAGTTCCCGACGTACCCATGCATAGCACATGCACAACATGAGGAAGATGATGGTCTCGACCACTAGCGCAAGCATCCGTGAACTGCCGATGAACTCATCGCCCGGCCTGACCAGGACCATCCTGAACCTTGTCCGGCGCACCTGCAACCTTAATCCAGCTCTAGCTATTTTGATACTATTGCCAAGTGTATCAGGTCTCTTCGGGGTTAAGCGCGCGATGCGCTCGACAACAAGAGGTACCTCGGTACCCGGAACCAGCGCTTTACGGACGCTCAGCACCCTTATCGCGCAAGTCCAGAACTAGATATGCAGCGCGATGGATGCAAAACACCGAAACATGCAACTGTGCGATGACGATTGGGATGATGGCCGTCTTGCATGTGTTAAAATGGGTTGCGCTGCACACCTTCCGTTCTAGTCGTCCAGCCACTGCCAGCCCCGCAAATAACGGGCAGCGGAAGGATTCCCGCCTGACTTCTGCCTGCGTCCACCTCTACACAGCTTTCTCGAGCAATGTCGCCGTGATCCGACCACCAACGGGCTTCAATGGCGGCGACCTGTGCTCGTCGTACAATTCTTCACCGCGACCAGGAACAGCACCAGCTCGTCACCACCCCACGACCCGCAATTGCGCAGCCTCCGCGTCTGCGAATCAAGGCGCGCCCCATTGAAATCCAGCGCAACAACGGGTGACACCACGCCAATCAATCGCCACAATGGCCGACTTCCATGAGACAAGATCGCCCCTGACAAACGAAAATGTCCAAGCATGGGCGCGTGCGAATTTTGCCGCGCCGTTTCGCGCCCTGCCACGCGCCGCAAGACTGCATTGGATCCAGTTCGACGAGAGCTTCACCATCAGCAGAGCCATCTGGCGAGGGCTCGGCCGCTCCACCCACAAGCAATTGCTTGTCATCGGCGGATATGCGCCAGGCCCCGCGGGCGACGACGATGAACCCATAGATCGGGTCACCGCGCACGTCCACGAAGATGAGGCCGAGGTCAGCTTTTATCGCATTACCGAGTTGGAGGACGGCGCACACGAGTTGCAAGCTGTGAATAGTACCAGTACTGTTGCTTTCCATGCGCCTTTTTGTGATGTTGGAGACGATACCGGCGGCTCCAAAGCCATCCATCGTGTGTCGGCCCTCATTCTCTACTATTTCTTGGCTGCGGGCCACGTGAAGGAGTTATGTCGGACAAGATCAGATCCTACCATGTTTACCAGGAATTTCCGCGACGCATGTTTGTGGGTGCAGAACGAGGGGGAAAGACCATTGCTGCCGCCGTCTAGGAAATCGGAACCCAGTACGCCCATTGAAAAGGATTCGATCGCTGTTCGGCCAAAGCGATCATCTACCGTCTGTACGTCGATGTTGATTGTCATTTGGTTGATAATGTACTGACTAGAGGCAGCATCATTATCAAGATCCATACCGGAAGACATCCAGGTCCAGCCGCCATCCATCAAACGCGCAGCAACCGACAACTTGAGTGTCAAGATCAAACGCGAGCGCGATGAAGACTACCCCAGCATCGCATCGGCTATTCGTCCAAAGAAACACCGTCGCACCGTCAGCGAGCAAATCGTACCACCCTCAAATCTCAAAGACTCAACTTCCGTCCCATCACCGTTATCCATCCTCAGCCCGCGCAGCCCAGCACCAGAGCGCGTAAACCGTGCACTAACAGATCGAATCCAACACCTCAAAGACGAAAACGCCGGTCTCAAAGCCTCAAACACCAGCCTAGAGACCGAAAAAACCGACCTCCAAAAGCGCATGGAAAAAGAATCCCACGCCTACCGCGGCCTGCAAATCGAATCCGACGCGCTAAAGAAAGAGTCTGAGAACATGAGAAAAGAGATGATGGCCATGAAAGAGCGATTGGAATCTGTCGAAACATCAGGCGAAAAGCTACGGGTGGAAGTCGATCGATTAACAGCCGTAGAAGAAGCAAGCAAAGAACTACGAAAAGAACTAAGGAATGAAGTTGAAAAACTGAGAGGGCGGGTCGAGAGAAGCGAGAAAGAGGCTGAAAATGCGAAAGAAGAGCTGCTGGCTGTGAGGCGTGGGTTAACGAAAGAGCTGGGCGAGGCGGTCAAGAAGTGGGGTGCGTAAGCGACGGGACGTGTTGGGGAATAGCGTTGGCTGTTGATTACTTTTTGTTCTTTTGTCAGATGATTTTGGCGGCAGAGGCGGCGGCTTGTGGCAAGTTGTACATGATGTGCAAGGATGGGGTTTAGGGCATTTTCTTTGGTTTGATGAAGAAGCGGCATCCTCGGCGTATTATTCGGCGTCTCTATTTCTCCTTCGATAGGGTTGGGGGCAGCTCGCAATTTCAATGGGATAGCACTGCAGCGGTGTTTTCCGGGCTTGTTATTGGAATGGTCATGTGTTTGATGGCTTTGTTGATGCTGACATGTTCAAAAAACTTACTTGGGATTATCGATACTATCTCCTACTTCTGGTGTTACTACAGGAAAGCAAGAGTCCATGAATGTATACTCCATCGGCGCATCAAATCCCACGCCCTGCTACGCTACGCCTTTTTCCAGAAATCGGGTATCTTGGTTTGTTTCCCACCACGAATCGCAGCCTGGAAGCCAGGCCCATCCTCGTCTTCAATCTCGGCTTGATCTTCCTCTTCGTCATTATCCACTTCATCGTCCTCGTCGCCATCTTCTTCGTCATCATCTTCGTCATTCTCGTCACCGTCATCCTCATCCTCATCCTCATCCTCAGACTCAGACTCAGACTCTTCCTCCATCTCCTCCTCGACCTCGATTACAACGTCTTCCTTAACCTCCTCCTGAACGTCCTCGTCAATCTCCTCCTCAGCCTGTACCTCAGCAGCTTCCTCGGCCGTTCCATCCCCTTCTGCCTTCTCAGCTTTTGGCTTCGCCCTCCACAGCGCCATCCCAATGCCCTTACTCTCCACATCCTCCGCCTCTTTCAACTGCCCCATGATACCATAGTACTCGCAATACTCTTCACTCGCTAAAACCCAGCGCTTGGGATGCCGAATGCCCATCTCGCCGATGAGTCCATCCGCACCAGCTACTTCGTACTTATGCGGCCACATGTTTTCATATTTGAGCTCGCGGAGCTGATCTTTCCTACGCATTTGCCCCGCGTGTTGGGCGGTATAGGTGTGCATCTTACCAACAAGTTTCTCGGGAGCCGGCGTAGTACTAGGCAGGAAGTTCCAGGCGAAGTTGATTTGTTTGGTCTGAATACGTTGGCCCGTTCTAATATAGTCGCGGAGAGCTTGTTTCTCGACATATTTCCTCGAGCCCCTATTGCTTAGTCGCTCGTGCTGCACTTGCGCAAAGCGGAAGAGCTCTGCGGTCTTGTACCACTTCCGCTTTGGCGTATCGTCGAACTCGTCGTACTTGTTGAAAAAGCGAGCGGGCGGATCGCCATATTCTGTTTCACAGATGGCGTCCCAGTCGAGCGAGTTTTGGAACATGAGCCAGTCGTGCCCGCAATTTTCGCCCATGGTGTTCAGGCTATCTCGCAGCATGCCGACGACGCTGCGATACTTTTCGATCTGAGTGTCTGTGCCCTTTTTGCTGTTGTCGGACGCATTGGTGATTAAGAGTGTGACCTTGTCGAACGGATGAAGCAGCAGTGCGCGCCATTGTGAGATTTCGCCTCTCCAACCTGTACCGGCGTGCAGCTTGAGCTCTTCTGATGCTTCCTCATGACGCCAGTTATCCTTTTCAGCCTCAGGAATCATCGCAAGCTCAGCGAGAGCCTCATCGAAGAAGCTGATGTCCAGGGTGAACGTGACGGAATGCAGCGCCTTCCATCCCTGGTGAAGAGGGACGCTTCCGTGTAGGCTGATGGGATGCCTACACTCTTGCTCAAAGTCGCCGGAGAATTCATCGAAGAACACTTTTAAGTGACGAGCTGCTGCTTCAGAAAGTTCCTGCGTCATGTTAGCGATCAAGACCTATCTACTCTTTCTAGAAAGCAACAACTCACCAGATTAGCCTGCTTGCAAGCCAGCACCATACCACGGCAATCATCCTCTTTCTGCCAGCGCTTCTTATACGGTAGAGGGGAAAGCCATCCGTATAGAAAGTCGTAGATGCTCATGCGTACATCACGATTTAGCAGAGTGAAGAACATGGCGTCTTGGACTACCGGGCTCGGTACGGATAGTGCAGCGTCCTGCATAGTCTTCGGTTGTAGAGAAGAGTCGCTGGGGGCTGCGGTGGTCACTTGCTCTATCGTAGTGATTTTGTGGGCGGTTTGTTTGCTCCAAGCTTGTGGTTGATCGGTCTCAATTGAGGTGCAGCAAGCCTGGAATGATTCTAGAAGTGTGACGGGCATTATATAGAAAGAGAAAGCCCGGAAACATGGCGTCAGTGCGCGTTGAGACTGCTGCCTCGCTCAGGGGGACGGACTAATCGATAGTGAAAGGGCGGCTCAGTCCGACCCGCTTTGGCGATGAACGCACGCGCAGTGGCTCGAGCGATGCATTTGACGTCGTGTGAGACGAGTGTTGTTGTAGGACTGAATTCGTCAAGGAACAAGATCACCTAAGCCTATCTTGAGGAAAGTAGGAAAAGCGGACAGTCGCATGCAACAGAATCATCCTATACAGCTATACTACCACCCACACTCAATTTTGTCGCGTTTCGTACAGCTTACTCATCACCTACCGCCCCGTGCCGAACACCGTCACACGACATGTGCCCAGGACTCATCACCCTCTACCTTCGCACACCTCTCCCACTCACACAGCGGTTCGTCTACCAGCTGCAGGTGCCACCATCACAGCACCCTTCCTCACCCTGTCCTTCTGATGCGCCTCCCTCCGCAGCTGCTCAATCTTGGCATGTAGCTCTGGTACGCCGACGTCTTCTACATGTTTACCATGAATCTTACGGTTCGCGTTCTTGCCATGGCTTGCACTGTTGTTTACAGCATGATCATTGGTGGCATGCTTAGAAGCTGCAAGACCGGAATGCTTGGTCGGAGTCGTGGAACTTGTGGCGGCGCATCTGCTGTCGCCGCGAGGAGCGGGCCTACGTCGTTGTTGGGCTGGTCGATGGGGTCTGGGGTATGGCTTGGTGGGGGCGGGGGTATCGTCTTCGGTGTCAGAGGCCCATGTGAGCTGCGAGTGGCGCCGGTTGGTGCAATCCTGGGTGGGTGTCTTCTTAAGGACGGAAGCCTTTGGCGGGATTCTGCTTTCGATCGGTGACGAGGTCTTACACTCGATGCTAGGAGACGATGGTGGCGAGGAGGAGGAGCGACTGGAGGAGATCTGCACCTCACTGGATCCTGGACTGACTACTGAAGTGCAAGATGACTCAGGGCTGGGTGGAGGGGCAGGAATATCATCAAGATCGATGAGCAGATCTGATACTTGGCTAGCACGACGGATCGGCTGCGGGGCTGGCGCTGGTGGAGGAGTCAATTGTCCCAATGCAGCCGGTCTTGGAGACGGGCTCCTCTTGAGAATACCACGCGGCTTCTGCACGTCGTCATCAAGTAGATCACGCTCTTCACTCTTCCTCGTTCGAAATGTCGAAGGGTCAGGAAAGACTCTCGCTTCCGGTATCGCACCATCCTGGTCAGCATCCTCATTCGCCGCCAGCCTTCGCTGCATCCAAGTAGGCGGCCTGGGACCGATAGCCGACTTCTCCTTCCACCATTTCGGTATGCCTCTAACGAAACCCAGTTCACGAAGTTTCTCGATACCAGGCATCTCGTGCTTGAACTTGCACCCGATTGCTGTCCAGTCACACTCCCCTGTCTTAATCCAGTGTGTGCAGTACTCTTTCTTGGATGGATCGGGCTCGATGCCGGATGGGTGTGGCACGCGGTATCCGAGGCGCTGCGCATCTTTCTGGTAGATGGAGGCGAAAGTGTCGGTGAGCGAGGACGGGCGTCCATGAGTGGCATTGGGTGTTGGGCGAGGTGGCTCTGGCGAGTTGACGATAGCTGGAAGTTGATGAGACGATCGATGAGTACGAGTGTCGCTCACGGGCATAGTCTGCGGCTCCGCACGTACATGGTGGTCTGGTGCCAGGTATCGTGACTGCGTCGTCGTAGTGGAGCGAGGCGAGAAGCTGCTGGCTGTGGGCGCTTGGATCAGGAGAGCCGAAGCAATCTCGTCCGTCTCTGAGCAGAGCTTCCAAGCTCCGTCAGAGATCTGGCGATGGGTCAACTGACGCGGGATCCCTTGTAGTTGAAATGGCAGCTGGTCTACTGGTACCAGCGGTACCATAACAGTGCCACGAAGGAGATAGTAACGAAGGCCCTCCGGAAGTGCGCAGGTATTATAAGCTTGGGTGGCCATATCGACAAACAAACAACAACGAAGTCGTCGGGTTCAGATCGCGGTGATGAACTTCCTTGGTGTAGCTACTATACAAAGAGAGATGATTGAGATACGACTTGGGAGGATTGTGAGACTCTGAGATCGGAACGGCTGTGTTCCATTATATTCGCGGGTGTGCGACTGTGCTCAAGACAGCAATTCGATGTCTCTACCCGACGCAAGCAGTTTGCCGGCATCTGCAACCTTGCTTACCCGCCAGACAAGTCATTGCTATACACCGCAATATCCAGCAATAATTGAGGGGAAATGCAGATTGCGTGTGAAGACGGGACTGCCTGTGAGTAAATCAAAGAAAAACACAAGCCTACCTAGGTACCTAGGTGGAATACGAGCAACAAGTCCGCAATGTTTGTAATATAATGATTTGTCGCTACTCTACACTGCGAGCAGACGAGTGGGTGAATTATCGCAGTGTCGATGATAGGGGTCTGTCCTCGTGGCTTGAACAGCACGCAATCGGCCCTAAGACATGGCGTAACGGCTGGCGGGATGGGGAACTGCGGTGTCTGCGCTTGCGATGCCGAACCACTCGCTCTTCGCTCCTCAAAACGTCGAAGTCGTGATGCTATTGTGGCGATCGCGGTGACAATGACGAGTAGATTACAAAATTGAAAGGCCTTGAAGATGGCGTACCGCACTGCCATGTGGCCAGGCCAGGTTAACCCTTTCGCTCAACGGGTATCCCTGTGCCGATCAGCCGCGGCACGGCAATCGCCGTCCTGCCCAGACCCGCCTAACCACAACTCCAAAACATTAGACTGCTTCAACCCGCGTTGGGCCATCACGGCTTTCGGATTCGGATCTGTGCCTTGGCCGTGGCAGCGTATGCCGTGTATCATCTTTTTCCCAGCCTGAAGCCGCCGCTAGGAGTCTCCCTCCGCATCTCAACGGTTGGCCCTCCGGTCGGTACCGATGATGTCTGCACAAAGTCAATCTGCAGATCTACCACCTAGTCTTCCGGCAGTTCACGTCTCGACCGAACATGTCAAAAGTTACTTGCATGATATTAACCGTGTGGCTTGTCCTGAGGAGATGCCTCCGTGTTGAGGTTGGCAGCTGAGGTATGCAGCCTAAGAGGCCGCCATCGAAGTTACCGCTCTTTCGCAACGAATAGACCGTCCGGCACATCGTTCATGACTCGGTTAAGAACGCGATCTTCAATAGTGGGTCGTTGGCTTCCACTGGTCTTGCGCGGCAGTGCTTCTGGCCAGTTTCGGAGACTACGCGCCTGGGACGACTATCAACGGTCCCTATGCTCCAGGGTCTGCTAATATTGGAGCCTTCCTCGGCATCCTGTTGTTTGTTGATGAAGTTTTCCTGCGCGTAGGATACGACCAGCAATAATTCGGATGAACGACTGTAGGTAGCTATGAGAGATCGCATCGCTATAACGGAAAGACAACGAAGCTTCAATAGCCGGAAAGCATCTCCGACATGAGCAAAGACGACCGCAGTCCCGAAGTGTTCGCTGTGGCTGCACCGTTCTTTGTGCTCACATGGACGACTGTTCTCCTACGGATCTACGTACGCGCGGTACTGATGAAGACATGGGGAAAAGATGACTCGTACATGGTTGCGGCACTAGTAAGTGGTCACGTCTCGCGTTCAATCGAAGTCATGCTGATCAAGCTTGTAGTTAACGTTCACCATGTATCTTCCATGTCAGATCATTGCCGCGATGCACGGAACCGGACGCCATCGATGGGAGTTGAGCGATAGCGATGCGAAGACAGCACTTTTGGTCAGTCTGACGTTCTTATCGCATCAACTGATATCTGACTCGATATAGTTCTGGTATCTATGCGAGCTGTTCTACGTGATAGCGAACTGTCTGCTCAAGTTTGCCATCGGCTACTTCTACCTGCGGGTCGCGATCGAGCGCTGGCATATCTGGGCCATCCGGATACTCATGCTAGGAACTGTACTATGCGGTCTCGTTTACTTCTTTCTAGTTTTGCTTCAATGCATTCCAAGTGAGCATCAATCAAGCGCTCGTTGTCGCATTCGCTAATGGTTATAGTTTCGGACTTTTGGAACGTGCATCCCGCCTCAGACAGATGCATACACAACGGACCAACTCTGGGCATCACGTATGCCCTTGCCGCCATCAATGCAATGGCTGATTGGGCATTCGGCTTGCTTCCTTTCTTTATCGTCTGGGGCTTAGAGATGAGAACGAAGACAAAGCTATTGGTCGCAGGTATCCTTGCATTCGCAGCAATCGGAAGCACCGGTACTGCCATCCGTATGGCGTACATTCACACACTCGTTCAAGGCCCCGACTTCTTGTATGCTACCACTGACGTCGCCTTATGGAGCACTATCGAACCTGGCATCGGCATCACCGCAGGAAGCATCGCGACACTCCGTCCGCTCGTTCGCCACTGCCTATGGAAGATGGGTCTTGCCGACGCACCCCGTGAGGAACGAGGCCGCAACTACTATCCTTCAGAAGAAGGTGGTCGCAAACGAAAACATCGCCGCGGATATCGCCGTAGCCTGAGCCCTTCCGATCTGGTGCCTACGATACCTGGCAATATGACGACCATACAGATCCATGGACCTCACGACATAGACCTAGAAGAGAACTTGTCCCCGCCGAAAATTGTCGTTACAGACGATGATGTACCAGAAACTCCAGAGGGTCAGATTATACATACTGTCACGGTTCAGCAACAATATGAAGGTCCTGCGAGGCTTCCCGAGGCGCCCCCGAGGCTTCAACTGCGCGATAGCTTGAGACATAGTTTCACTCGCGGGAGTATTTTGAGCCTTGGCAAGTTTCGCGTACCTGAGTGAGCGTCCAGATGGAGTACTCGATGTCTCTCCGCCATCTCAGTTGCGCAAGTTGGTGATAGTCTCACCTCAATCGCTTCAAAGACAGACCGCAGACAAAGCAGATACACCGCCACTGCACAGACGCACAAAGGCTATGTTGTCTCATCGATTCATCATGTCGCGACGCTCTGACGGACACGCGATACACCGTCACTGGATCGGTCGTCAGAAGAAAGCGTGAGAGCATTTCTGGATCGTTGCGTCACCTGCGCAAAACACATTCACCAACGCTGGCTGTCATTCACGTCATACGCAATTCTATCTCCAGCCGCCGCTCCTGAGCTCTCAGTCTCACACGCGAGACTTCGCTTTACCATCATAATCTTAGCAACACCTGTTCAGCTCCTTAATAGTACGTGACCAGTACTACCGCATCCACACCAGGCAGCCATACTGATAACGGTATGGCTGAGACTCCCACACCATCGACGAACATCTCCAGTCAGCCTCACGATGGTGATCCAACAAAAGACGACGAGTTACCCACCTTACCACCCAACAAAGAAATCCTCGCCTCCGCCATCCACATGACAAACACCACCCGCTTCCTCCACCTCCTCTCCCACCCAAAAGCCCTAATCAACCACCACGGCCCCTACACCACCCTCCCCACCACATCAGTCTTCTCCCGCTCCCCAAAACCACGGTTCCCCCCCCAAACCCCTCTTCCCCAACCCTCAAATCCCTCGCCCTCTCCCTAGCCGCAGCCCAAGACAGCACCTACAGCGCGCAGCCTCCCAGCCTTGCGAAATCCGACCTCGACTTCTTCACGCTCCTCTGGGACAGTTCTGTCGTTGTCTTGGAAGAAATACTCTGCAGGGGTGATTTACCACAAGAGTCTTTCGGGTGGGGGATTTATGGGTTGGCGGCGGGGTACATGCATCCTCCTCCTCCTTCATCTTCTCGTTTCCATGACCTGAGTCAGCAGAACATCTTCATGCGGAACAAAGAGAGGTTGAAGGATGCGCTTTGTATGATGCCGAGTTTGGACGTGGGTGGCATAAGAAGGGGGATGGGGATGGGTGGAAGGACAACGACGGAGGCACTGACGAGGGCGAGGCGGGATATACATACTCTAGGCCATATTCTTCTGTACGAGTTTAGGAAAGGGGGGTGGAAGAGGGTGAGGTGGGGACATGCGGTTATGGTTGCGGAGAGGTGGGTTGGGGCGTTTGGGGTAGGGAGGAAAGAAGGGGGGAAGGAAGAGGTAGCGAAGGTAGAGACGAAGAAAGGGAGTGGGAAAAAGGTTACTTTTGAGTTTCCTTGATGGCTTGGATTTGAGCAAGAATAATGGTTTTGGATAGTTGAAAGGGTGGTGTACAACCCCAACCGAAGTAGTTAATAGGAATACGAATACTCGTCTCCAACATCTACCATGCAATCGCACTACATATTCAACTTGCCACATCACCTAGCCTTTCTCCTTCCCTTTCTCTCCCACAAGCTTGCCTTCCTACTCCTTCCCCTCCTCCCCGCCAACCTTCCCCTTCCCCGACACAGCCAACCTCTCCGCCACCTTCTTAACACACGCCTTCCTCTTCCAACACCCGCGATACCACTCATCCAGCTTCGCAAATCGTGCCTCCTCCCAGCCCTGCCACTCCCCAACCAACCCATGTACAACCGGCCAAACAAACGCATCCGCAATACTAAACCTACTCCCCGCTACAAACGGTCCCCCGTTCCTCTCTACAGTTTCTTCTAGACGCGCTAGGAGGTTCTGTAAGGCGAAGTTGGTGGTGGTGGTAGTAGGAGTAGGAGTAGTAGGAGTAGAAGTAGGAGTAGTATCCCCCCGTATTTCTCCACTCCCCTCGGTTCCTCCACTTCTCCGCGGGTTCTGCTGATTCCGCCAAACCCGCAAGATCTCTGATGCTAATAGTATGATAGGAAACGCATTCGCAGTAGCCAAATTCGCAGAATGGCTTTTATCGAGGGGGTGATATCGGTCTAGGCACAGTAATATACCCATCGGCGTGTGAATCTCTGAATGCTGGACGTCGACATCCCGGAAGGTGATTTGGCGGTTTTGTTCAAACGACGGGTCGAGGTTTGGTGCTTCAACAACCGTATAGGGCACTTTCGATTCCGCTAGACAGATAAGCACTTGATCATTCTCCAGGCTGTTGTTCGACAGGAAAAGCAGCGGTGTATCGTCACCCGGCGGCTCATGGAGGTGCAAAACATCAAACCCCTCACCATACCACTTCTCCCACTCAAACTCGACATTGTGATTCTCGCGGCTGAACGCAGTGATGAGGCGTTTCGTCTCCGCCTCGTCATTCGCAACGATATCAGCGGCGTCGCGTTGCGTTTTCGACGTCGCGCCTTGGCCCCAGATGATGGTGCTGCGGCAATCGAGGTACGTGGCTATGTGGCGGAACGTCAGACTGATGCGTATGCCTCCATATGCGTTTTCCGTTTCGCTGCGTTCGGCGGGCAGGCGCTTGTCGGGCTGGATGCCGTGGAGCCATTTTGCGTTTGAGGCGAGGCCGAGGGTGAACATGGAGTTATGGGGGAGGTGGACGCGCTGGGTTGAGCGTGGTGAGGACGCGGGTGAGGGGTCTTCTTCTTCTTCTTCTGGTTTTGCTTGTGATTCGGCTTTCTTGGTGCGGAGCCGCATCGTGCGTTGCGAACCGAAGCTTACGTTGACGATGGAGGAGCCTTTTGCGATGTCGAGCGTCTTGTCCGAGTGCTCGGAGATGAAGTCGTTGCCGGAGCGGTAGAGTTGGATTAGCACGTGGTTTAATGGGTGGCCGACGAGCGCCTCGGCGCGCTTTCGTATGACGTGGACTTTGGGGGAGAAGCGCATTAGGGGCAGGGTTTGGTCGGATGGGTGCCGGTATACGGGCATTGAGCCGTCGTCGCCGAAGGCGCCCTGGCAGCATACTAGACGGGGTACTTCGCCTTGTTGGTGGAGCATCTTTTGCCATCGGACTTCGTTGTAGAGTTGGGTGAAGATGGTGTCTTTGAGTGGTTTTGCTGGTTCGGACGGGTGGAAGTAGTCGGCGGGGAAGAAATCGTGGATGATGCGTGAGTCGCCTTCTGCAATGTGATCGCCAGGCCCTAGGACGGGGAACGTTGCGAGTGACTGCAACTTGGGCGGCTTACCCATCGTTGCGGCTTTTGTAGGTGTCTTTGTTGATGATGGCGAACTGGCTTCTGGCGTGCTGACAGGAGGTTGTTCTGGCCGTGCAGCTTCTACAGTCGGTAGCTTGATTTCCCTGTCGTCTTGCTTCGGGGTGGTTGGTGCAGGCTTTGCAGAACTGATGGACCCTCTCTTTGACTCAGACCCCGACTCAGACTTTGGTGCCCTAGTGAGTGACATGCGCACGCGATCCGAGAGTTCAGTCAACCTGTTTTTCTCCTTCTCATCACCAGCCTTCGCGGACAATGCAGGTACCGAGCTAGCATTCTTCAGCATATGCTGCTTGCTATCCTTCTGCCGCAAATCTGCAACACTCCCAGCTTTTGCAATCTTGGACATTCGTTGAGGCTCAGCCGATGCGGACTGTGGTATGACTGTCGGTGCCGTAGTGATTGGCGGAGATGGATCTTTCGTAACCTGGTTCGCCGTCGTGCTCGGCTCGCCATTCGCCTCTTCACCATCTTCCTTTGATGCTTCTCTGTCCTTCGCTTTCTTCTTGCTCTTCCTATTCTTCCTCATTCGAACCTTCGACTTGACAAGTTCCGGCTTGTCCCCTTCTGTCTTATCTTCCGCGGCACCTGCAGCACCCTGTGCAGCCCTCTTCTCTATGATGTCCCTTGCGAGAGACAATTTAGCCATACGCTCCTCCATAGTCTGCTCGCTCTTCGCGCCATCCGCAGGCGCTGTTGTCTTTGTCGCAATTATCGTCGTATCCTCCTTGAGTATCTCTTCACTGTTGACCAAATACGTGCTGAAGAAATCTTCCATGCGCTTCAGCGCCAGTTCGTGTCGGTTTTCCCTGCGGAAGCCCAAGCAGTCTTCTATGACATGAATCTTGACACCATGCCGCGCTGCATCGATGACAGTTGCAAGCACAGAAACATTGGTGATGCATCCGCAGATGAAGAGTTCGGTAATGAGTCTTGCGCGCAGTGTTATGAGCATGTCGGTGCCCTGGAAGGCGGAGTAATTGGTCGTTTGTATCACAACGTCTGCAGGTAGCTCGATCTGCTTCGCGATAGCATCTGCAAACTCGGCGCCACGCGTGTCGGGTACGCATGCTGGCGTTCTCTTCTCGCTCTTCAACAGGAACAGCTCGTCGTCTTCTTCAGCCTTGGCTTTTGCGACTTCCTTTGGCAGCGTCTTTCGTCGTGCTGACACGCGTTTCAGCAGGGCTAGCGCGCGTTCCTTGTGTTTTGAGGATCTGGAGGGCGCTGGCAGCGACGCTGCTTCCTTGGCTAACTCTTCCTCAGCTTCATTGTTGTTTTCCTCGCCGTCGAGCAGCCCTTCTACGACAAGCGTGTCTCCCGCACCCGTGTCGGCGCCAGTCGCGATGCGATCGGCTTCGTACAGCGTCTGGACCCAAATGACATTGCCGCTGAGCTCTCTGAATTTCGGAATCAAAGTCTGGATGCGCTCCAGAAAGCCCGTCTGGGTGTCAACGGGAAGTCGTCCTTCTGATGTCACAAAGTCGTTCTGGAGTCCAACGAGAACAAGGGCTTGGTGTGTTTGGAATTTGGGTTGGTTTTGGGACACAAGGTCCATCAAAGACGCCATGTTGGAGTTCATCGTGTCAGGAACGCGAACGGCTAGGGTTGAACGCGGAAGCGACAAGTCTTGGCATCAATGCTAGTGAGCGGGAGATTGTTAGACAAGGGCTTCCTCAATACGAAAGCGAGCGGAAGGCAATGGTTAGGGTGTTGGTGTTCTACTTTTTGGACGACAGCTGATATTTGATCACATGGTGCAAGCAGGGTAAGGCCAAGAGGGCGTTCAGTAGATTGAGTCAAGTCGCCGCATCTTCAGGCCATGCAGGGATAAGCATTGGAGGAACGCGTCCCGGATGTGTTGCGCAGGGCGTTGAAAGCTCCAGCAGGCAGGATTGGCAGTGTTTTGGAGGTTTCGACGGCCGCTAGATGGCCCCTCGCCCGTCCCCGCCACCATTAGCGCGGGGCAAGGACGGTACTTCTATGTTTGCGCCCATCTGCGACCGCGGACATGCTCACTCCGCAAGGGCTTCCCTCTCATATCCTCCACCATGTACATCTCGACGACCGCATCTCCGCGCACACGTGTGTCTGCGCTGCGGCTTGCCCCCGGACTATAGGTCGGACGGCATAGCGCACAAGGCAGGAAGCCTAAACGGACCTCATTCTTCACCGCCAAACCACCTAATGCTCTGGATGGTGCTCGGAAACATGTTCCAGCATGTAATGTCCCGACGTCGCTCTTGCCGGGCCCAGGATACTGGAAGCAAATTCTTGCGGTCACTTGTTGCTGAAAAAGGATGTAATCTTCCGCGAACCATCCGCCTTGGACGTCTTTGCTGCGCTGCCGTTACTCGTGGCGCTTCTGGTACCTTGCTTCTTCGCGGGTGTTGACTTCTTCGCAGGGCTTTTGGCAGGCGAGACAGACGCGGTCGGTTTGTTGCGCTTGTGCTGTGGCTCAGACTCTGCGTTGCCATCAGCCACGTCGTCGTGCTCTCGCTTGATGCCTTTTGGCGACGTCGCTGGGATAGGCAATGGCGCGTTATCTTCGGTACCTTCGACGCGATCGGTTGTGTCACGCGTCTCATCAACGTCGTGCTCGACCTTGATCTGACCCTTCTCGTCTGTCGAGGCGTCCAGATCATGCTGTGCCTTGCCGACAGATTGCTCCTCCACCTTCGTCTCAGCAGCCTTTCGTTGGTTACCAAAGAAATTGGCAATGTTGTTTTTGTTGGCTGCGCTGTTGATTGGCACGAGAAAGGACGGAGAGTTGTTGCCGACTTTGCCTACGTCTTTGCTGACCGGGTAGCACTCCAACTCACCCTCGTATGGTTTCAACAGCGACTGCAGTTCTGTGCTCCACTCTGTGCGCGTCGGGTCAAGCCAGGTATGGATGGCATCTGAGCCGTTGTCGAAGATGACAGGCATGCGGTCGTGCAGGAAGCTGAGTTGCTTGTTCGAGTCGGTGGTGATGACGGTGTAGGTGTAGAGCTTCTCGCTCGAGTCCTCGAACTGCACACAGTCCCATAGTCCAGCGAAGCACATGAGCTTGCCGTCTTTGCGCTTGGTAAAGTGTGGCAGCTTCTCCTTGCCTCCGTTCTTCTTCAGCCACTCATAGAAGCCCTGTGCCACGATGATGCAGCGCTTCTTCTTCTTCATGGTCGTCCACATGCCGCGGTCTTCGAAGAGCGAGTCGTCGCGGCAGTTGATCGTCTTCATCTTGGAACCGTAGTCGGGGTTGCGCTTCGTCCAGAACGGTACGAGACCTGTCGCATGCTGTCAGTGACGTACGAGGTCATAGGTGGATGTGCCTACCCCATTGCATAGACTGCAGTTTGTATTTGGTATCTTCCGTCGCGCCTTCCTCCTGGCCGCCAGTCTCGGGACCGTCCGCTCGGTATACAAGCCCATGATAGCCTGGGGCGAAGTTGTAGCTTTGGCGCACGTTGCTGTCGTCGTCGGGTGCCTCTTCGACTGGCATCTGCGACTGTTCGAGCTGCTGGCGGACCTCCGAAGGCCTCTGGTATCTTTGTCAGCTGTCACATTGTATTTCGCGTGACCACATATCCTCACCAAGGCCAGCGCATACCGTCCACACATAATTAAAGAGATTCAGTGCATCGTGGTGAGGTCTACGGGCAACGCGATGCGGCGCGTTGGTGATTGGCTACGTCATGACGAGCCTCAGCCCTACGCGGAACGCACGCGACGGGCACTAAAAGTTCGTTCCGTCATGCACTCGCTCCACCAGCTGCCAGATGCCATCGCCCACATCTTTTTGCCTTTGCCCGGCGCACCATGTTGAGCAGGACGGCCCCCCGCGCCGTGCCCCGAACGAGCGCAATCGCACGCTGCGAAGCGCAAACCCCGCTGACACGATGCCGGCGGCCAGTACAGCAGCACCTGGGGCGGCGCTATGGCTCGACGATGCGGGAGCAGTTCCGGGAGCAATACCACAAGAGCCCCGTGTTGTTCCCCTTTGCGATTGGGTCCATTGCCCTCGTGGCCGGCATCTGCGTCTTGTACATACCGTGGTACTACAAGAACGTCATCATCAAGCCCTACCACAACTTCCCCGAGCCCGTCGCAAAGAAGCTGCGCAGAGCCCTCTTCTACAGCCGCGGCCAATGGCTCGACATCCGCGAAGCCAACAAGCACTTTCGCCAGGCGCTCGCCCTCGCCGACGAGATGGGCATGGATCCTTTTAGCGACGAGATCATGGGCGTCAAGTACACCATCGCTGCGCTGTTTGAGGATGCGGGATACTACAGTTTGGCTATCGATGTGCTCGAGATTATGCGCAATGATTGCCAGAAATGGGTCGACGAGTTCTCGGATAGACATTGGACAAATGGGAATAGGAGCAGGGTGAAGAAGAACATGGTGCAGATCAATCTGAAGCTGGGCCAGCTCTACGACGTGAGATATGTCAACGAGCCTGAGAACGGCGAGAAGCGACTGGTCGAGGCTGTGGAGAGCGCATTGAAGGAACAACAACGGCGGGAGAAGGACGGTGTCAAGAACGGCGAGGGGCCTTGGCTCACCAACGACGAGATGGGCGGTGTACTCGAAGGTAGGCAGCTACATGGCCGAATACCGCTTATGGCATGCTAACACAATCAGCCCTCGGAACACACTACGAACAGTTCGACTCGCACTACCTCGCCACCCCCCTCTTCGTCAAAGCCCTCCAACTCTGTCCACCAACCTCATGCCACAGCGTCGTCCTAAGTACGTCCCCACACCCCTTCCCATCCATCCCGACTAACCACCCCCAGTGAACAACATATCCACCTGCCTCGCCCAACAAACGCCCCCCACCTCCTCCAACGCAATAACCATGTCCGACGCCCCCACCTCCTTCCCCGTTACAAACTCCGCGCCGCGCTCCCTCGCCATCGACCAAGCACGACAATGGGCAGAACGAGCCCTCGCCCTCTCCGCCCAGATCAAGTCTTCTTCCTCTGAAAGGAACGAAGAGTGCGACATGGGCTGTGCCGTCGCGACGCATAATCTCGGCGAGTTCTTGGAAATGGAAGGGAAGATTGGGGAGGCGAGGAGGAAGTATGAGGAAGCAGCGCAGTTGGCGAAGAAGATTGGGTTTGGCGAGGGGGTGGCGAATGCGAGGGCGGGGGTTAAGAGGTGTAAGGGGGTGGAGAGGTGGGGTTGAGAGGGGGGGTTGATGATGGGGGGAGGTGGTGTAGTATGTGAGGGGATATATTGGAGAACGCTTGAAAGTCTATTTGAACATTGTGTAGCGAGCGCAATGAGCCGTTGCGTTCATGTGCCGGGACGCAGACCGCTGGGTTAGTAGGCTTAGAAGTAGCTTTGAGCTACAAGTCAACAGCGGAGGTTTATTCTCACCTCACCAACTACACATCGCAACACGGAACGACCTCACCACATACCCTCTTTCCATGTCAAATCCCTTACCAACACAACCTCGCCCCCTTTCCACCTCTCCATCTCATCACACAAAGTCTTACTCTCCAGCTCCACACAAAATCATCCCTCTAATATATTAGTTAGCTCTCTCCCTCGCAACCAGTTCCATGTGCTCTGTTTCTGATCACTGTTCCACGATAGTCTACTATATTTCTGATCACTGTTTCACGAGACTAGCGGAGAGGAAGAGGAAGAGAATTGATTGTTCATGAAGAAAATTGTTGACATTAAACCCGTTGACTATGATAGGGCCAGCTATTCCCTTGCCACCGGTGACAGAGAAGAAGCCTGAGAAGATCATAAGCCCCTCTCTCTATATCTCGAGAGTAGGCGTCGTACTGGTCTCGCAGACCAGATTGTATGAGTATATACACTGTACACTGTACACCAACATCCCTCCCCTCCATTCCATATCCCACCCCCATCAGCGTCCATCAAAGAGCCCAGCCTAAGAGCCCCCCGCCGCGTTACTACTAACCGTCCTCTTCCAACCCCCCCACCCCCATCCCCCACCCGTCCCACTCGCCGCCTCTTTAGGAACAGGACTAGGCGTCACAGCCGGCGTCTGCGTCGGCGTCGCGAAAGGACTTCCTCCCATCGGACTCCCATTCCCACTATACCCTCCTCCCGCTCCTCCATTCATACCCCCACCGCCACCACCACCACTCATAACGCGCTTCATCCCCTCGAACCTACTCCTCATCTCCTCAAGCTCCTGTCTCGCCACCGCTTCCGCCGTTTTAGCGTTAACCAACTCGAGTAACAGAGCTTCGGAGTCGGCGGGTGTGTTGTTCTCAGTCGCAAGCACACTCTGTGTAGCAAGCGAACTACTCCTCTTTGAAAACGGGACCGGCGGAGCAGGGGAATTGTAATACCCTCCTCTCTCGCTCTTCTGGCTATTCGTCCTGCCTAGCCTCAGTTCCCGCAATCCACTCGTGTTGATGCTGTCAGAAGTTGTGGAACGCGATAGTGTGGGTGGTGTGTCTGGCGCATTCCCATGGCTACTGTGATCCACGCCCGTCCAACTCGCAGCTGCAGACTGCTTCCGCGCGTTTTGGCGCAGTTCTTGGATGTTTTTCTCGAGGCGCTGGTTTGCGTTGTAGCTATCTTGCAACCTATGCCGCGTATCCTTCAGCGCGTCACGTGCGATTTGCAATTCTGCGTCGCGGTCCGACAGATCGCGGGCCAGGGCATTGGCGCGCAGGGTCTCGTTGGCGAGTTGCTCTTTCGTGCGGGACAAGTTGTCGCGGAGGAGGGCTTTTGTTTCGAACATGGAGGAGGCGCGGTGGTGCAGTGTGGCTGCTGGAAACCGGGATTCGAGCGTTTCGACGATTTCAGAGGCTTCTTCTGTGAGTTCGGGGGTGGAGGCGGCGTCATCGGAGGAGGAAGGGGGCAGCGTGGTTGCGGAGGTAATTGTTGTGCGGCGGCGGGAGGAACGGGTTGAGGGTGCGGCGAGGGTGGTGGTCTTTTTGCGGACTTTGTCGACGACGGTGCGGACGATGCGGTGGTCTTCTTTGCGGTCTTCGCGCTGCTTTTGGAGGGCGGCTTCGAGTTCGCTGTTTTGGCGTTGCAGTTGGCTGACGGACATGAGGAGTTGCTCGATCTGATAGTGTAGGTCCCGGTCTTTTGACGATGCGCCCATGGCCATGGAGCCGTGTCCCGATTTCATCGACAGCGCGTCGCCATTCGAGGCGCGCGAAATATCCGTCATGGCTGTACTTTGTGTCGCAGCAGAAGCATCCGATTCGGCAGTAGAGTTGAGTGTCGAGGCGAGACTCTGCTTGGACGCCGAGCGCCTGAGGAAGCTAACAGGGCGTGAAGGCGCGGAGAGACCCGGGCTGAGTGAAACGGACTTGGTCGAAGAGTTGGAGGGACCCCACAGGCGGCCCAGGAAGCTCGTGGCAGATTTCTGGACTTGCTGCTTGGACGAATCCTTCTCCTGGGCCTCCTTGTACTGCTGCTCCAATCCCTGCAACCTTTCGCGCGTCACGTCGTTTGTGAAACCAACGAAATCACCGACCAATTCATCCGCCGACCCCGCGTTCCGTCCGTATGGGTCCCAGAGTTGGCGCCCCAAAAGCAACTGCATCACGTCCTCGAACTCACTCAGGGACAGCAGCTTTTGCTCGTTGCGCTTCATTAGCGCGAGGGCTACCCGCATGATCGTCTCGGATGCGCCCTCGGCAAATAGTACGTCGTAGATGCGAAACAGCATGGGTAGCGGACATGTGACAGCGAAGAAAGACAGGAACCATTGCGATAGATATGCGGATTGCACTTCTAGATCGTCGAGATGCTGGGCTAGCTGAGGCATGTGTTGGTGGAGCAGCTTCTGGAACTGGAAGATGCGGAGATGGAGGCCAGAGAGGTCCGGCAGGAAACACGAGCGCAGATCGTAGTCTTCCATGAGCCTGGTGTTGTTAGTCGCTGACGTTGTGAAGAAAGTGCGATGACCTACCTCACGAGCACGCAAAAGGCTTCCTTGTCGCCCATCTGCATGAGCAGCGGGCCAACGAGGAAACCAAGACCCTGGCAGTAGCCAATCTTGTGGTCGTACAAGCTGAAGCACTTGAGCACGCGGCCGAGCATCTTCTGCCCCTCGCCTTCAGGGTCTTTGAACATCTCCACACCGGGGAAGCTGCGTCCCAAGTCCTTGTTGATGATGTTCTCGTACGGACTCGACTCTCCGCACAGCGAGTCATATTGGTCCTCGATCAGCTTCTCTCTCGAGCCAGCTGCACTCTGCCAGACGACGCCCCGCAGCGGCGCTGGTATGCCTCCCCGAATCTTATTCAAGCAGAGCGTGGGCAGTCTGTGGACGGTCTGAGGGTAATCGCGTACGAGGGCAGCCCAGAACTCGAGTTCGGTCATGGGTGGCGGCGAGGGCAGCTGGGAGAAGCGCATGGTGGAGGTGTCATCCGCCACGAGGCGCTTGAGCTGGTTGAAGGAGGGGGGCCGTGACTGGCTGCGGGCGCGGGCGACCTTCATGTTGGACTTTGAGTTTGAGAGGATGGCTTCGTTCTCCTGCTCTAGTCGGGCGAGCAGCAGGGCCATGGCCTAGATATGTTAGTATTCGTTGTTCACACAGGGGCCGGGCTACACACCTCCTCCTCGCCCTCGGGCTCCTGTTCTTCCTTTTTCTCTAGCTCAGCCCAGTCGACCTCTTCGCTTTTTCCCGAGCCATTGCTAGTACGGCGCCCCCTGCAGTCTGGCGCTGCTGTCTTGGGGGAGACGGGTGCGTCGGTGTCCCGCACTGAGATGGTAGGGCTGGTCGGGGCGGGCGTGTCGACGCTGGATTGGCTCGCCCGCCGTCCGAAGGCATTGCGGATTTCCGTTGAGTTGGTTCGTGATGATGCTCTTCGCTCCTCAACTATAATCTCTGGCCGCATCACCGATTCCCTCGCGCCTTCCTCTTCCTCTGGGGTTCTGCCGTCCGTCTCGGAGAGGGGCACTGTGACCATCGAGTCTGTCGGCAGCGGCGAGCTGTCCACGTGTGACCTGGGCGCGCGCTCGACGGCTTCTTCTTTCACCTCCATGGTGATGCTTCCGCTGGACATGTTTGCTGTCTTCACGGTCGTGGTTCGATATGACGGAGCGGAAATTTGCTCTCCGCCGCGGCAGGTAGAAAGAACAGACCTGTTTACCTGGGGCGCTCGGTTCGGTGGTGCTGGTGTAGAGCGTGTTTCACTTCTGTGGAATTAGTATGCTGGCGCCGGCTTGAGTCGTGCACGCTGTGACTCTCTGGGTATTACTCTGCAGGCGGCATTCATGCGAACAGAAGAAAGTCAGAGCGACGGCGCAACAGCTCACGGCAGCACGAAAAGAGCGCGACGGACCGCAAAAGAGGGAATGATTTCCCCAACGGCCTTCGAAAGGAGCATCAAGGAGGCCCTGGACTAGGCCCGCAGCCAGCTAGACCCTCTTGGTCAGGGTCCACACTCGCCTTTGCTGCTTAATTTACGGCGGGACCAGCTGCTGCCCCTGGCCCCGCATCCCACCTACACCGACCTCACCTCCGCCTTTCCTATGGATCGAGCCCTTGATGCCACTGATTTCGCGACCAAGCGCTGATGTCACGACGCTGCCACTGGCAGCTGTCACAGCCATGCACGCGCAAATGGCGTGCACGAGGAACACGCGACGTAAACATGCGCGCCCACGCTAATTTCGGCGCCGGAGCCAATCACCGCCGCCGACACTCCGCATCCTCCTCACCAAGCCCTCCAACCCTCCAACCCCCTCTGTCCGCATCGAGCGATTGCACTCCTCCCATGCCCTCTTGAGTCGGCAGCGTCCTCCGTCGTGCTTGGCATCGCTTAACCGGGACGGGTGGTAATAGTACCTCAACACCTCCAGGGATTAACAAGAGACCACTCGAGTGCCCCTGCAGACCGCCTCTTGCTACGGCACAGTTGCTCCACACGAACTGCCCATCTTTTCCGTCTCTCGCGCGGAACTAGATGTACTGGTGTAGTCTGGGTTCTGGATCGCGACGATCAGTGGTATTCTCCGCTGATGCTCGTCTACAGTTATCTCCGTCACCCACTACCGTGATCGAAATCTTCCATATGCTGGACATATATTAGCATACATCATACCTGGCGGCTACACCGACTGCTGGACGCGGTAGAACTCTATTTCATAGTGCCAACGTGCTCAATCACTATTGGCACATCCTAGTATGCTCCTGTTCGTGGTGTCTTGCACTTTGCTAAGCACAATTTTCAGATTGGTCCACGTGAGCATTACTACAACCGACTGACACCAGCAAGCTTGTGTTTTTCGCAAATCTCTCTCATGCCGGAAAAGATAAAAGCTGTGCACCGCGCAGAGTTGTCATTACCTTGCCTTCTTCAGCGACTCACCATTGATATTTGCACCTATATACACCATCCAGAAAACCACAAAGCGCTCTATCCGCGTCTCGATATATCGTCTTCCAGAAAGTACCATGGCTGGGCCAGTACAATGCTTCGAATTATACAATGATTGATAAACGCTCTCCTTCACTATGTCGTTCTTTTCGGATACAAGCTTTGACCACCATTGGAATTTGCTACACTGTTCTTCGCACCTTTCACAAGGGTCTAATGGCGAATCGTGAAAGGTGCACAGCAAGAAGTTAGGCTTCTCAGTCACTCTGGTCGATTCTCCATTGGCTTTATACCCCGCTTCCCATCCGTTGGTTTCAAGTTCATACCCGCTGCTGAGATCATCAACTGTAACAATCCACCACTCAGTACCGCCGCGATGCCTCCAAAACGTAAGGGCAACGCAGTAACTTCACCAAAGCCTGCGAAGAAAGCCAAGACCGGCGGCACTCCTACGCGCACATCCCCGCGAAAATCCCCGCGCAACAAGAAGAGCGGTAGTGAGACACCACCCGCAACCAGTACCGGCAAGAAGCCGAGGAAGCCAGCGCATCCCGGGTCAAAAGCAGTCAAAGCCCCAGACGAAGACGCTAACTTCGAATGGGAGATTCTAGACGGCGACGAACGCTCGACGCTCGTCGTCGGTGAGGCCCAGACAAAGCGACTAACACTCAAGTTCCACCATAGACATGACAAGAACGAGTCAGATCGAACCTTTAAGTACGACAGGAGGGGAGAGAAAGAGATCAACTGGAATAACAAGGACCACATCAGAGACATCAACAAATGGCGCAACCAAATCTTCGTCCAGAACATGAAGTTCCCACCCAAGGTCACACACACACCATGGACTCCCTTCGAGACCGCCTATCTCGAGCTGTTCCACGAGAAGCTTCTGGAAGCTGCTACTGGCAAGACAGACACCTTCGTGGCGCCACATAACGAGCTCATATTTGAAGCATTCAACGACTACTTTGAGGGCCGCACTGACGTTCCTGACAAGAGCGGCGAACCAATGGAAGAGGCTCTGGGTACGAGGCCCCCGGGTGGGCTGAATTCGTACCTCAACCGTGCTGGTACCAAAATTCGTGGCCTGCGAGATCGTATGAGAGCACTCGAGCCTAAGCTCAAGAAGAGCAAGAAGGAGGATGCTTGGATGCCCACCATCACGGACGACGAGATCGAGCAGTATATCAAAGGAGAGTGGGAGTCTGCTGTTGATACTACTGCCGCTGTCGTTACTGCTACCGCTGATGATGATGGCGAAGAAGAAGAAGAAGAAGAGGACGAAGAGCAAGCTGAGGATGAAGGTGAAGATGAAGATGAAGATCAAGCTGAAGACGAAGACAACGGTAATGTCTCCGATGGTTCTACTCTCACCACACCACCTGAAACGGACGAAGAACTTGAAAGCATGGAGATTGCTGAACGCGAACGTCAAGCTAAGCGTCTGATAATCAAGCTTAAGCTCAAACCCAGCACAGCCAGCAAGTTTCCTGGAAGCAAACGTCCAACCACCAAGCCTACGGCCATCAAGCCTACGACAACCAAACCTACGACAACCAAGCCTACAGTCACCAAGCCTACAACAACCAAGCCTATAACCAGCAATCCCGCATCAAACACGCGGAGTACTGGTAAGGCCACCTCGGGCAGGTCAAGCACCCGTTCTTCTTCGCCACCTCCCCGAGAGAAAAGCACCAAGAAGACGAGCCCCACCAAGAAGACGATGACTGATCCACGGAAAGCAACGGAAGCGCCCGAACCGAAATCAAAGCCGCGAGTTGTTAAGCCCGTTGAGACACCACCAATACCCACCCATCCAGACGTCATTGCCGATCTCAAGGCTAAGGGCTACACATGGACCGAACTACCCAAGAACAATGAGGAGGCGATTAAGGCGCATCGGGAAGCGCAGAACGCGAAGCCTAGTGAGAATGCGTGGATCGAACCAACCAAGAAGAACCTGGAAGACCGTATTGGGAGGCAGACAAGTGCGGATTTTAATCGCGAGTTCTTCAACAAGGATCTGAAAGAGAAATATGAGGGCAAGGGCAAGATGGTCAACGTGGAGGATTGGTACGAGAAATCTGCACGCAGAGCCGGAGCGGCGGAAGTTACGGCCTTGCTCAACACCGCTGATATTCCACCACTCGGTTACACAGGTGACATCCGGGATCTCCACAAGAAGAGGCTGTTATCGGAGGACGAACTCGAGTTGGCTGACGCACGCGAAGTTGCCATCCCTCGAATGCACGAAGCAGTCGAGCGCGCGCGCCAGATGAAGGTCAAGGAGGAATCTGACAAAGACCCTAACTTGAAAGCGAAGCATGATCGGGCTACAGCTATGCAAAAAGATGTGGCCTACGATTCAGACATCACGACCTCGGGGGAAGATACGGATGAGGAGGCATAATGGGGCAGATGAGGACGTTGATGGATTTGCTGGACAGCAAATCAGGTGTGGCGCAGCGCGAAAGGGCATCAACTACGAAGCTACCGGGTTGGTCGCTCGCTACTACTAGCTAGAACAATGAAATACACAGTGCACTATTCATTATTGCAATAACGTCCATGTGACGCTGAAAACGTTTCTTTATCATAAACAAAGCACCCGAGTATCGGGAGGTACCGGCACTCAAGAAGACGACGAACAAAGCGAAAACTCCGACCTTGAAAATGGCTACGTTGTCCGTATCGTCCTCGATACTCGAGATAAACATCGCTTGACGCAGTACCACATAACGCTTCGCAGGACGGATCAGAAGAAGTGCCTGACACGATGGTGGCGGCGACGAGATCACAAACCAAGGATGCGCCTGGGGCCGCGCAGACAGCTTCATCGTCCCTGCTGGTCAATCCTACCGTCCAAGAAAATTGGCCCGCTAATCCGACGACGCCAGCAGAGTTCAATGCATGGATGGCTGAAACCAAGGCCGCTCTGGAAAAATGGCTACGCGAAGCTGAGGCCGCGGCCAAAGACCCGGCGATCGAAGAGACCATTGACAACTACAACGAAGAAGCGCTGGAGAGATGGCAACCATTTGAACGACAAACGGACGTAGAAACGGGCATCATCCATGATGTAGCGCAGCAAGCGGCGATGAAAAGAGCCGTGTTGCGCGAAAGGAGAACGCGCGAGAGCATACACGACGAGCACAGGACATGGAGAAAGTTCGTCGAGTACCGATACGCGCAATCTGCCTGGGAAGACTTCCTTTACTACCAGAATGTGTGGAATAGAAGAGGACACGATCCCTGGAAAATATATACCGTAACAGCTGCCGAGCAAAGATACCAAGAAGCACTTGGATCGCTCAGTGCGAAAGCAAGACAGGATGTGGAAGACTTAGACTCCAACGAGGATACAGTAGGAAGACCACCGAAAAACCACCAGGCCAAGCATCCAAAAACCCACAAGCCGGGTACTCACAACCAGAACAAGCTCGACCGAACGAAGATCAACGCCTACACCGACGCCTTCCACGACCCTTACATGGTATGGCTAAAGCACATGATCGACCTGTACAAAGGAGCGTGTCTGGGATATCGGAAGCGCATTCCCGGCGTTGTGGCTCCTGAGAACGCGCATCGGTATAGCCAACCGCCTCGTGGTACGACACCGCGAAGTACGCCACGCTACCACCACCACCATCGTCACATCGAAGAGAGATTTCCGTGTACAAGACGGCAGCAGATAGATAGGGCTGAAGTTGAAGAGGGGTATCGGACGGAAGCGCAGAGAAGTCGCGATATGCGGCTTGCAAGGAGGGGTAGAATGGAGTCGATTACATGGAGTATCGACGAAAAGGCCTACGAAACCATGAAAGCCGAGAAGGAGAAGGAATTCATCCAAGACCCACTGACCATAAACCTCCTACCCGAAGATCACAAAACCCACCACGGCAGCCTCGAAAGCAGCTTCAACTGGCCCACATCCTTCGACACCCCCGTCTCCACCATCCTCAAGACCATAAAAACGCGAGACCACGTCTACGACCCCCTCAGCGACCACTCCCCCTACCCCTCCTCCCCCAAAAGCAGAAAAAGGTTTCTGGGCTACAAGAAATACGAAAATGGAGAGCGTATCAAGAAAATCGACAGCCGACCACACTACCAGCGCGAAATCCACATGCGCGAAGGACTCGTCTTCGAACACCAGATGCGCGCCGATGGAACAGTAGAAGGGCGAGACCGCAACGGTGATTGGATTGGAGATTGGGTACCGGGTCAGATAGCTACACCCGTTTGGGTTTACGATGGAGATGGGAACCGTATCACGTTACCGCCGCGATATGAATCCAGGAACAGATTTTCTGCTTTCTTGGTCAAGGAATCGCATGTGAGGGAGACGCGACGCCAGCGACAGCGAGGTGCAGAAAGGGAGTATGAGCTATCGGATGATGAGGATGAGGGATGTGTAAACTCGAATGCCAACTTCTCGAGATCGGGGAATGTTAATCCGGAGCAATTGGGGAATCCTTGGGCTTCCAACCTTGATAGTGACGGTGAAGGCGAAGGTGTTGGTTATCCTGGTGATCACGACGATGACGATAGTGACGACGACGGCGACTTATTTGCGAAGTCGTATAGAGAGTGCTCGGAGAGTCCGGCGACGAGACAAGCGCGGTTGTTGTTGGAGGATATGCGGGAGAGGTTTGGTATGCTGGACACATGGACTGTTGAGAATGTTAGGGAATTGCAACGGGCGGGTAATGATGGTTCCGTGGTTGTTGGAGATGAAGAGATTATAGATTGGTATAAGGGCGACGCGGAGGGGTCGTAGGTCGTAGGTACGATTGATGTTTGCTGTCTCCTTCAAGTTGGTATTACCTGTGTCCTGTGAGCTCGACCAGACTTGATACTCGACTGTCGATAGTGGACGCCAAATGATGTAGTGAAAGACAGGAATATGTGACACTATCTGGTTGCGTGCTCGAAAACTCAAGGTAGCCACCGCGCACTGACCATCACAACAGTGAGTAGTCGGTAACTATTTGCTACAAGTTAGCAACCGCCTACAATCAACTCGATAAAGACACTCGCAACCCTTTGTCGCATTCTAAGTGCCTTATTTCAACACGAACTGTCCGACCAAGCTCTTCGCATAGCCATCATGAGCGACATCGTCTTGCCAGATGCGGCGTTCCCACAGGAAAGCCGCCCCCAGGACACATCCAACTCCACCCAAGACGTTCCCAATGAAGCCGCGAGTACTCCATTGAGCATGGAAGATGCAGTCGCCACAGAAGAAAGCCGTCCCCAGGACACGTCCACACCCGCTCAAGATGTACTCGATGAAGCAGCGGGTACTCTCCGGAGCATCGAGGACGCGGCGTCTCCAGAAGAAAGCCGTCCCCTGGACGCACCCACACCCACCCAAGATATTCCCGATGAGGTAGCGCGCACTCCCTGGAGCGTTGATGAGTGCCTTTTCATCCAGTTGCAAGCTGGCTTTGCACTCGCCGCCGCCTTCCTGCCCATTTGTACAGTACTCCCGCCGACTGGTCAGAGCTACTACTACGTCTTTCGCCGGTTCTTTAGGACTGCGGATCAAGATACCTCCGAGATCACTCCCGAACAGGACGCCGCCGCAACCCCGAGAACCCAAGAAGAGTACCTACTGAAACAACAAGAGCTGGTACACTGGGCGCTGAGGAAGACAGATGAATTGGCGCGGAAGGCGATGAAGACCGGGGAGTTCATGAGGGGGAAGATGTGGATCATCGAGCAGGAAGTCTTCGACGAGTATCGCAAGATCCGCGAGGACTATGGCCTCGATTTGCCGATCGAAGACCCGAGGCAGAACAACAAGATGTTCAATTTCCTGTACGATATCGTTTGCGCAAGGTTCCCCAAGTCGTTGGGACATAGTCCTACCAGCTCGGATGCGGACGAGAATCGCATCCGTACGGAATATACTTATGACGACATGTATGAAGGCTCTACCCTTAGCTCTCCGCCTGAAGGCGAATTTGAGAATACAGAGAGCGCTTCGCCGGCGGAGGAAGACGCACCAGCCGCGGAGGAGACTACACGACGGACACGTACGAGGGTCAGGAAGCCCACCGCCGCCCTCAACGGCAACAACGAATCCCCACCGGTCCGTAAGTCCGGTCGAAAGGTCCATGTAGCCGAGAAATCGAAAGAACCTCGGACAGGTACGAAGCGCACCAGGCAGAACACAGCGGTGGAGAACGAGAGCGAAGACGAGGATGAGAATGGAGAAGAAGACATCGCGGAAGAAGACGAAGAGGAAGAGGGCGGAGCATCACCGAAGAAGCGCGCCAAGAAGGCCATCCAGAAGACCACCCTGAAGACCGCAAAGCCGAAGACTAAGAAGGGACACGGACCAAATCGCAAGCAGAACGATCCCTGGACACCGGCAGAGCGCGAGGTCATCGTGACGCTATTCAACAAGATCATAGCCGAGAAGGGCCTTATTTACTGGGCGGAAAACATCAGTTCCATCTTCCACGAGGCTACCGACGCCGTGAACGCACATAGGGCCCTGGATAAGAACACATATCCAGGTGATACTCGTCGGATGGACGGTGTCCGCACTCAGGTCCACAAGAAAGACGCTTATAAGCGCATTAAAGACCGAGCTGACGCGCTGAGGACTAAGAAGACCGACCCCAAGAAGACGGTGACAGAGGCAGAGTTGAAGCCTCGAGATGTATTCAAGGTGGCGGATATCGAGCCCCCTAGCGGCAAGAAAAGCAAGAAATGAGGACCACGAGTGAGACTTGGGTGGAGAAAGTGGTGGCGATGTTTTCAGCGGCTTTTGATGAATGGGTGTAACGTAGGTGGTCTGAGGATACGTGTCCGTCAGGGCAACATCAAGGCAACGCCTTTTGCCGATGAGTTGGAAGGTGCGAAATGGAGGTAATGCTGCAGATTGAATAAGATGTGAGTGGAGCTGCGAGACAATGATGTTCGATACCCATTTGGGTCGTCGCCCTTTACTATAGCAATGAAATGATGAAAGATATATACCCAAATGTGCTGGTTGTGCTTACTGAGTGTCTTCACGACGCGCGCCGACTTATACGAATGGATGGCGTTTGCATACAGATATTGTGTCTGTCCACGCGGTTCGTGCGTGTGTGTGATGGTATTCAGATGGGTAAGAGTATGTGAGGGAGTGATGATGTGACGATGGAAGACGATCAAGGCAGGTGCCAAGGTGAGGTTGAGGTTTGCAGCGCGCCATGACGTCATCACCGACGCGTCGACCCGAGCAACTTCGTTCCGGAATCCAATACCTGCATTTAGCCTCGCACATCGCATTGCAATGCTTCCATACTCTTTATCTCCATCGAAGGAGCGATCGAAAAATATCCGACAGTCGGCACACAAAATGCCATCTCTGGGCAGACTACAACCACAGCGTCTATTCCAGCCTGAGCTGATTTTAATACTGGACCATGCAGACTATTGTTTCACCTCTGGGCACTACAAGATACGCGATATGTAACGTAAGCCCGTCGCATACATGCACATCATGGCCATGAAATAGTCCTTTCTGATGAAAGCGGATCGCAGAAAGCCTCTCACGATATTGCGATGCTTTACAGCCCAGTAACCCTGACACAGCCGAGCATCGCTGATCTGTCCCGCCAATCTCACGAGACGTCCGCGCAACTAATACACAAACAATAGGCATGTAGGCCTGGCTCGCGGAATGATATGCTGGAGAGGGTCATGCATCGATATAAAGACGCGTGAAAGGCATCGCGTGTCGCTTGCTGGTTTAAGCGCGTGAGGAAGGTTGATCTCGATCCAACTATAAAGACTGGTAGAGTTGCATCCAGATCTACCCTCACCGCAGGATCCCGAGCGCGACCACATGCCGTCTACTGATGTAGCTCAGCCGACCAGACCATCCAGGAGGCGATGGAACGCTGTCGAACGTCGCGCCCTTTGGCGCTGCATCAACAGGTGGTGCAACGAAAACGGCGTGGACCAGTTCGCGCTACCAAAATTTAAGAGGGCCAAATGTACAGAATTTGCAGAGGAGATAAAGGAAGATTGTGCAGCCAGAGGTGAGGTGTCAAATCGCAGCGCAACTAGCGTCTACAATCAGATTAAAAATGCACTTCGCAAGGACGACCCTACGGTACCGAACAAGCGGATCTTGGATTTGTTCGAACGTGCAGAGGAAATGAGAGTGATAATCGCACGCGGCGGTCATGTTTCGAAGGAGGAAAGGCGTCCGAAAGCAGCCATCAAGGTTCCAGGGGATGATGAGTCTGACGATGGATTGGAAGGTCCTGCGACGGATGAAGACTAAAGGGACTCTAGATTAGATGACGTAGATGTCAGCTACAATGAAACTTAGCCTTCCCTCATGACCTAGCACTGAGTTTACAGGGTGAGTCTGACAGTGATATACCGAGCAGATTACGAGGATGCTGCGAACAGTGTGAGATGGTGACAACGAGTGGCGGGATAGGCAATCTTCACATGGTTTCGCACAATCAGTCTAGCCCAACGTGATCCGATCGTATTAGCCGCTTGATACAGTCCCTCACAAACACCATGACGTATAAAGCAGTAGGCCAGTATGGCGTTACCTTCGATCAGTACACGAAGTTATCACCACGACCGACAACCTCGCTACCTCAGCCACCCCGACCACCCAATGGAACGCGGATCAGCGTGCGTGGATTCAACTTTACTACAAACTCTTGTTGCAAACCAGACGCCAATACCGATCCTTCCCGGTCTGTACTAATGACAGCGTAGCTGCAATTGCTCATCGAATGTTCTACCGCAGCCCTGAAGAGAGGCAAAATGGCATCAATCCACACTCTGTAGAAGACGATGCGATCTACAAGGCCTCGTTTATTCGCTACCGGAACGCCGCGATGCCGAATCTACTGTCCCAAATTGTGCAACTCTGCACAGAAACTACCGAGTTGGACTCTCGTTGCAGCATACCTCAGGTCTTCATCAACAGGCCTATGCTAGACGAATACATCAGGATCAGCGGGACGTATGCAGGTGGCCTAGAAAACGATACTCCACAGCCTTGGGAGTCGCAGACTGCTCTCTGGGAGCTCATCTCAAGGGCAGTAAGCGAGAGATTCATTCATCGTGGGGTTCTGGACAGCCGGGATACTGTTGTGCAGTCGTTCATTCGAGTCACTCTGGGCAGCAGAAATTTCCCACCACCGCCCTCTGACGACGAGCGCGCAGAGTTGATGCTGCTGCAGCGACTCATTCAGCGTCGACTGGCTAGAGCAAACGATGGCAATTTAGACGATAGCTCAGCGTAGGGGCCATAGCAGCTTGATCCATGTAATCACTGGATATGCTGTGGTCTCGTTTCATCATCTTGCATGGATAGAAGTTTCAATCTCAGGCAAACCATCACCACATCTGCTTCATAGTCGTCCAAAATATGGATTTCATGACCCAATACTGTGCACGCGACGAGTCCTCAGTACTCTCATAGGGCCTGATCCCCGCATGCTCTTGATATGTACATTCTATCTGCGGGCGAAATGAAAATTGACTGTATGATACTGATTGGACACTCTCTCTCAAAGCGTACACATCCAAAACCTCCCTCAGGTGAGAGATAACGACTCCACAATGTTTATCTTATCCAATAGGCTGCATCTTGCCATTCGGTACCCGACGACGCACCTGAGCCCTGCCGGTACCAACATAGGGCCCACTGTCCGTGGTGGACAATGATCCTGGCGCACGGACAGCCTTTACGCTGACATGGGCCGCAAGCTTCACACTCGCCAACCTGGTGCGTAATACTTGATATCTTCCCTCTTGCAATCACGAAATTCTGCACACAGCATCCTTTTTTTTCATTCGCCGGCCAATTACTAACCCTGACCATATTGGAATAGGTATTGTGGTGGATGGCCTGGGTTGCGTCATATTGGGCGTCGTTCTTGGCGCTGAAATAGGACTGGAAACTTGCTGTAACTTTGTCTTGAGCGTCGGGAGACAACTCGTGGAGCTTATGATAGCTGATTCCACCTGCGCCCAAGACGCAGAATAGCCAAGGTATGTCATCGGCAGAGGAGATAGGCGGCATTCTCTGGGATGATAACACGTCTTTCTTCCGCTTGTTCGATCGCTGTGTCGATGACTGATCTTGGTCAAGTTCGTGCGATCGCTTGTCGATGGTTGATGTGGGCGCGATGTTGAATTCGTTGAGGGCTGGGCATCGTGTTAGTGCTGGTGACACTCTAGGCTTGGGGGAAGCATGCGCTACTCACTGTCTTGTTCCAGGCTGAATCGCGAGCCATTAGAAGTATGTGACGGGGACGGAGGAATCTCATGGCCTTGGTCATGACTACCATGCGAACGAGATGTTCGCTCCAGCCTCAAAAAGGGCGTTACCGAAGACGAGAAGCTATCCATTTCTCTGCTTTGACTCAACCGCGGCTTGGTTGGGGGGTGCGGCTCTACCATCTCACCGCCTCCCGGCTTGGGTATGATATCGCAGAGTATCCGATACTGCTTTTCCAAGTGGAAGAGCTGCTTCTTAGTGTCGGAGAGTTCTTTCGTGGTGTTGGAAAGCTGTTCCTGCGTACACAATTTCTCTGCGTGCTCTTTCTTGGTGGCCGTGCGAGCATCGCGCAATCCCAGCTGGAGGTAATTAATGATAGTCTCATGCTCCTCTCTTATCTTCGCTATCTCCGCGGCGTGCTCAGAGTCCTTAATTCGCAAATCTTCCTCTGCTCTAAAATATGCGATACGTAACCCGGCCAATGCGACGTCCTCATCGGGATCATTCTTGGCTCGTGCGCCTGTTATGTATCACTCGTTAGTCTGCACACTCAACACAAGATCACACTTTTTCATTCAAGGACCAATGTCTTTGTTCTCTTCGGATGACTCACCTACAGGGCCGAGTTGCTCTTGAAGTTCAGCTATCTCAGTCTCTTTCACCTTGCATGTCTCGCAAAGCTCTTCCTTCTTCCTCTCTCGGTCCTTTAAGGCCGCGATGTTCTCCTTGAGAGTATCGTTCTCCTCACACAGCCTTCCGATTTTGATGTACAGGTTGTTCAGTTTTTGGTTCTGTTCGCCAACGGTGCTAGGAGTGGTATTGCGTTCACTCCGAAGTCGAGACTCGGTCTCGTCGACCTTACTTACTAGGTCCATTGGGCCTGGTGAGATAACAGTGGTATTGTCATTGAGGCGCGACTTCAAGGCGGTGACGGTAGTGGTGAAGTCTCGGGTAAGTTCACGGGCTTCGAAATCCCTGCGAGTACTACTGGATTGAGTGTCGCAATGCTGCTGAGCAGCTTGCCCATTGGGGAAACTTGAACGCGACATTTCTCACATCCGGGACGGCGGGAATGGGCGAGAGTGGAAAGACAGGGTGAATAGTGACAAGGGCGTGGAGGCAGATATTTCGCGTCCTACGAGGAGAGCGGTGGGATGCGACGCGTCCACGAGTACGCTTCAGGAAAGAGCAAACGGGCGTAATCACGTGCGTGTTAGTCAGCGCGAGTTGAGAAACAGCGCATCAATTGAACTTTGGCGTGTTCGATGGTCCGTGTAGATGAGAATAGTCGAAGATGCAATACCTATTGACTTGATTCGCTCAATTAATGTTCCAATAGTGCTATCATGAACTACCACAGCTTCCATGAGCTCCGTGCTTCAACAGTACTGTTGCAAGGGACTGCCGTGCCGTTGCTTGAGCTTACAACACCCTTGCTCTGGATTCCAGTACCCTCGCTCGTGCTTTCGGTACCATTGCTCGGGCTTCCAGCAGTAGTCACCATGCTGTTACCATTGAACGCAAGTAGGTTCACCGAGCCCATGGGATCCGTCACGACGTTGGGCGTAGCTAGCGCATACACCCTCGCCTTGACATCGGCAGCAGTTGACGGCCCTTCAAGACCACGGAGGTACGAGACCAAGCCCGCTACGTGAGGAGACGCCATGGAAGTACCGGTCAGTGTCCTCGTCTCTGTGTCGCCCAGGTTGGATGCCGATACAATGTTTGTTCCAGCAGCAAAGATGTCGACCGCAGCGCCGTAGTTGGAACCTCCACCGCCGCTGTGCCTCTTGTTGGTGATTTCGATGTTTCCAACACAGATGACTTCAGGAGAGCGAGCTGGCGAGCTGTTGATAGCAGGGGAATCTTCATTTCCTGCCGATGTCACGACGAGAACGCCTTTCTTCCATGCTGCAGTGATGGCGGCGTCCCATGTTGTCGACGCGGAAGAGCCAAGGGAGACGTTGATGACAGCGGTGTTTTGGCGGCCCTTGGAAACGATATCGTTGACCGTCCAGTCAAATCCTGCGAAGACATCTGATGCGCTTCCGGTGTCACTGTCCAGAACCTTCACGCCGATGATGTTGGTCTTCTTAGCGACACCGTACTTGGCGCCACCCACGGTTCCAGCCACATGCCTAGACATTGTCAGGATGTGAAGATACATGTCTTAGAGAGTGTGACTTACGTTCCATGGCCTTCGTTGTCGGCGTCGGCGGTGCCTCTCACGGCATTGTAGCCCCAAGTGGCTCGTCCCTCGAAGTCGCTATGACTGATACGTACACCAGTGTCTTGAACATAATATCAATACCAAGTCAATGTATTCATCAGTTTCGTGACTTACCCATAACGTAAGAGAAGGTGCCTTTGCCCGCAGTGTCATCATACACGTATGAAGTGGCTCCTGCCTTGCGGGAAGAGATGCTGGCTAGGCCCCACGGTGCGTTCGCTTGAGTCACCACCGCGTTGATCCTCACGATAAAGTCCGGTTCAATGGTGAGGACCTCAGGGAGAGCCTTCAGCTCTTCAACGGTCGCCTCATCGAACGACCCAGCGTAGGCTTTGAAATCGCCAAACCCGTACTCGCGGTCCACTGGGGCACCAACGGGACCATCGTCGCCTCGTCGAGCCAGGTTGCGGGCATGTATGCTGCGCACAGTGTTGTGGTGGGCTGCGATGGATGCAACGTCGGTATCAGGCTTCAGCTGAACGATGTATTTTCCGGGGATGATCTCGTTTGCTGGAGGCGCCGCGACGGGAGCAGCTTGGGCCAGAAAAGGGGCTGCAGCTGCAGCGAGCGCGGTGAGGCGGTTGAAGAACTGCATTTTGCCTGTTGACTGTGGATGCGGCGTGTGGAAATCAAGGTCGATTTGCCTACTACTGCTGGGCTACGTGCGCTTTTTGACTTGCACTATCTTCTTCGCATAGGCTACGGTACGACTAATCGTTAATCCAAGGATCGCGCTTTTCTTGACTACTGCCTGTTTGGGCACAGCTCCCGTAATGCAATTCGTATAAGAGGCGATGCCGGTAGCGGTAGATGAGAATCTTCCGACTCATGGTCGGCCAAGACGGTCGCGCCAGGGGTAATTTTGGAAACGGGATGGGAAACAACCCTGTTCTTCCGGCCAGCGCTGTCCAATTCGAGCGTGACTACCGGGCGCGAAGCGATGGACACGGGATCCGGCGTCGTATTTTGTGGATAGATCCCACATCGGAATGCACTCCGCAAAATCGGGCCTTGTAGAATCAATGCCATTGTTCGCGACAACAGAACAGGCAGGTTCCAAGAGTCTGTATATTGCGAAAGGCTCGTAAATTTGGAGAGAGATAAGGATCAGTCTGGGCAATAGAGGACTATCAAGGGTAAAGGGCAGTAGATGATGCAAAACGCTGTTCAGAGTGGTGGACTTTTCGGAGAGAACAGTATGCGGTGCATCTGGAGCCGTACTGCATCAGCCCAACAGACGCAACGAGAAGGAGACCATCCAGTCAAGAGGTTACAGCGTGAATCGTGAACTATTGACGATTTGAATTGCGTGATGGTCTCGTACTGGGAGAATCCGCTGGGCGGGCGGTCCCGAGATCTTGAGCGCATGCGGCAGATATCGGCGCGACTACGGAGGTAGATAGCGAAGACTATCAGTCCAGTCTATTGAGCTGGTAGTTGATTTGACACCGGGCAGTCGCTGCTTCGTGGTATCTGTGTTTGCTGGCCCGCGAGGGGCTGGCTGTCGTCGACGCATAATGTTTGTAGATGATGGGCATGCGGGTAAAAAGGAGTAGCGAGAAGGCCGCTCCGGACGAGAACAGGCTAGACAAGTTGCGCTATGTGGATGACTCAGCAACTCCCGAGGTCCCTTGCGCCAGGATGGCGCGTCGAAGCTGTTGCAAACTTCAACACCACGAACCAACCTTCACGTGTCTATGGAAGATGCGCCGAACTCAGACTATCTAGCTGGTTGCGATCATACACAACAACTGGGTTCTCTCTGCTTGCTAACGCATCAGGAACGTGCCTCGATGTACCTACCTAGGTACCTAGTTAATGCCCCGCAGCTGCGAACGCTGATATCTAACACCCTCGTTAAGTCGTGCTGCATCCTTCGGCGTCATCATTTAAAGCGTGGAGACGACACTAGGAACAAGGAACAGCAATGACCAATCGGACGGTGAAGGTTCCCAAGCAAGCAGATTATAGCCCTCTAACTACCCAAGTACAACCTTAGGATCGCGCTACCAGATCGCGCATAGATAACAACCGACCCAAGGACTGGACGAAACATAAATGAATGACGGAGAGTTAGTCTCGAACAAAAAACGCATACACACTTCGAAGGCCCCCATCGAGACCAAGCTTTAGCCCGCGCCGAGATTTCAATCCCACGTGATCACATCCGAGAATTCCTTCTGGCTCCTCTTCCCACTCCGCATAAGCTCTTGTTTGGTTTCAACGTCGAAGCAATCCGTAACGACACCGTCTCCACAGACCGGAAGTGTGCGGCGCGTGTCCATATCGCAGTACACGTTCTCGTATAGCGAGACGAGATCTGGTCCCCTAGAAGTTCCACTCGCGCATAGCTCAGTCGCGTTATGGCCTGGATCTGCGGTCACAACGATGCGGCTGTCAACATCACGTTTGACATTCTGCGCCAATGCATCAAGCGTGTCTCGTGAGAAGATCGAGTTGCCGCCGCCATTGGCGTTGGTGTACGCGCGGAAGGAGGGAAAGTGGCAGTAGTCGTGCGCATTGGTTCCGTGGTCTGAAGTATCTTGGAAGCTGGGGAAGTGTATGAAGAGCATGCCGGCTTTGAGGCCACTGTTATGGTCCGAGTCGATCCATGTGCATCTAGGCTTCCTATATACACGGTCAGTATATTCTGGTAGCGGCCGAGATGGGATGAGAGGTAAAGCATGCTTACGCTTTGCTGGCTGCAACCTATCGGAAACAGTCAGCATTCGTGTTATTGAGTAGCGTCTTTTGGGTACTTAGGACTAACATATAGATTGCCATAGTACCAGTCTAGGCCGCAAACAGCGCCGAAATCACCCACCCAGGCATATTTGTTTCCATCGGCCCAGGTAGTGCTAACGTAGGGAATACAGATGGCATTGGTGCCTGCGGCGACTTGCACGTCTGAGAAGTACTTTAGTCATTTGCTCACGCCACTTTCTCGCTCAAGGGTTGGCTTACAAGGAGCCTGCTTGTTGTCTGCCTGGTTGATGGAGAAGTCCTTGTAATTCCCAGAGCCCACATAGTTACCTCCCGTATTGCCAATTAGCTGCTGGGATTCGCTGTACAACCGAATGGCTCCAACGTCACCATCACCGTCGGAAGTGTAGCCACTTCCACCATTCAAGGCTGCTGCGACTCTGACCACTGTCTTATCGCGTTGTTGCCCTCCAAATATGCCCGCAGCGAAAGTCCAAAGGCTCACTGTGTCGGCAACGACTCCGAGAGCTGTAGTCATTTTGAGACAGAGTGGTGTTGAGATAGTTGCTCGAGATCAAAGTATCGAATTGTAAGTAAGTCGAATGTGAATTGGGGAAAAGCCGTGACTGTAATGCTCTGGGATCCTCTTGTCTTTTATGTTTGTCTCGCAGGAACATATGATCTTCGTTCCGCGGACATTACACATGCCATGGCCCAAGATAGCACCTGGTCATGAAGTGCTTTGAGTGTACCTAGATATTATTAGATTGAGATCGTCGGGGTTTAGACGCTCCCAAGACTTTATATAGATATGTTCCGAATGCAGTCGAATGGGTACCTAGGTAGGTAGCTCTCGTGACTGTAGCATGGCCACCGAGGGTCTTACTAACCCGTATGCTGGAGGACCTTTTGCGAGAGTCGCGTCAGCGCAACTCGATATAGACGGGATGGGCTTTGCCTCGCTGTTGGTGGGATACACGAGGCGGCTGAACAAGATCTTGGCAATGCTGTTCTTACGACCTTGGCGACGGCTTAGACATCTTGGCGATGAACTGCCAAGAGCTGAAGCTTATTCTCACTCAGGAAGGTTTCTTCGTTTGATCTATCGTTCCACAATAGGGCTTGTTACCAAATCACTTTGTGGACAGATGCGCAGGATCTGAAATATCAACTCTATACCCACGCTTGGCAGTCTTGACCATGTATGCAGCCTTGGAAAGTTGCAAGCACTTCACTGCATATGGGCGACGGCTCTAGTACAACGAGTGTAAAATCCATTTGACCGTGCAAGACATGCTGATCTGCATGTTCGAATATAGGGAATCACCTCGATGGTGAATTGATCCAATTCAACTAGCTCACAAGTCTGGAGTTTAAAAGCGCAAAAGCCCTCGTGCTTTCAGGCACTATATTCCCAAAATCTTCAACATCAATCGTTGCTATTCTCACTCAGTCAACATGCGTTTCCAAGTCTCGGTCGCTTCTTTTATCGTCTCGACGGCGCTGATCTTCACACCAATTCTGGCTACGCCCATAGACCGGTACGACCCGCCTCATAAAGGTGTAAGTAGTGGTTTCGAGAGCAAGCTTGATGATATGTCTAAATCTTGCGCAGGTCTGTCAGCAAGAGGGTAACATCTGTTACGTCGACAATGGCTGGATACGTCCATGCCGCTCACAGGCAAGTGCAGTGGCCGTCTTGATATCTTCTAGTACTTACATACTGTCTCGGCATAGTGTTCCGGTGATGGAGCTGCTTGTTACGCTACGTCGCGAGAAACAAACTGTTATTGATCTTCGGAAGGTTTGATAGCGTAGGACGAAGATGGGGTGCTGCATTGTTCAACACAATAGCAGCAAAGTACGCTCGCATCGAATGACCAGTGTTGGTCGAGTAGCAACATCGTTTGTCTTACTAGCTTGTTGAAGCTCATCCTTCTCCTTTGCTATGTAACAGATACCACAAAAACGACGTTGTGACTGGTACAGAAGCTCAAGCATGTGTGCGCGCGTGATCGTTCTCATACCATTGTCTTCATTAGACCCCATGATTCTTAGTCAGAGGACCCTTCTTATCCCATTCCGCCTCTAACAAAAGAAAAAGTCTAGTCCTCCTCTTCAACTACCTAGGTACTTCTTCCTCATCATCATCGCCAAACTCAAAGATCATGTCAACTTCGCGGTTGATGTCTTCATCGTCTTCAACCGTCTCATCGACTTCCTTAGCAGCATATGCTTCATTGCGAGCATCCATTTCGGCCTTGGTAAGATGCACGTCTCGTCCAAGTTGTATTCTGCCTTTGGCACTAAGCCTGGGACGTTTGTCAGACTTGCGCGGGGAAGAGGGCGGCAAATCGTCGTCATCGTTATCGTCATCTTCGTCTGAGCCGGATTCGATGGACTTCTCGTCGTCGGAATCAAGCTTACGCTTCTTGCCGGATTTGTTGTGTTCCCACTGTATCTGCGGCGTCGCTTTTGCCAAGAAGCCGGCAACGTCGATAGCCTGATCAGGATAGCGCTCGTCCTCTGGGACGCTTTCGCCAGCTTCAATACGTGCAGCAACCTTCTGACCCTCAGCATATAGCATGCCCAGGGGCTCGTTGGGTTTGTTAGTCATCTGCTGTCTGGCCCAACCACTGAACGAGTCAACTGATCGCAGAAGCCCAGTCTTTGCCACAAGGGTAGCCTGGAGATCATCCCTCTTGTTCTCAATAACCCGAGGCAGGAACTTGTCCACGCCGTTCTTCTTGACCCAAGTGTTCACCCACTCGTACACAATAGCGCGCTCATCATCGGTCCAAGGATCGCGGGCCTTGGTTGCCTCGCCAGTGTCACGGTTGCGCCATTGCGAGAGCTTCTTGCGGTACTTCAAGACCCATGCGTCATCGTTAAGATCGATCTGGTCAAGGTGATCGAGGTCGACAAGGTGTTCGTGGATGTACGCATGCGTGGCTGTGTCGAAGACCATGAACTTGAAGGTAGGTGCCCAGCTCGTCTCGCCGCGCGTCCAGGTCTCTCCATCATCCGAACTCACCCAAAACGTGTCTTTTCGCTTATTCGGGATGGTGACGGCGGCGGGGTCGGGAATGAGATACTTGGGACGGTTTTTGTCGCGCCACATCCTGGTCAGCTCCTGCTCAGTGTACTTGATGGCGATTTCCGGAATGACATCCAGCTGCGCGAAGACTTTCCCGAGTGGAGTGGTGACACGATGGTGCACCCGAATACAATCGCGCTTGTTCATCACGCGTATGAACTCCTCCGCATCTAGACGACCCGTCTGGTTGAAGACCGGTTTAGGTCGCTTATGTTGCCAGTTATCGAAGTCGTACTGGAGAACGTATATCGATTCGAAGAAGGCTTTCATCTTACCAAACTTCGCCGGGTTCGTCCAAGGGTCGACATCGGGGTCGAGACCCTTCTTCCTGGCCTTCTCCACGCACGCACCATACAAAGTTACCAAGTCCTTACTCAAGAAGAGCTGCGATAGTGATTGGTGTTCTGGATTTATGTCGCCATGCACGCGGTTCTTGGGCTCGGCGTTTAGGTTCGCCTGCGACTGCTTCTTGATCGCCGCAGCCAAATTCGGGACGAGCTGGTCGCACAAGTTCTGGTATTGCCGAAGCCGCTCGGAACCGTTACTTTTGGCGGACCAGTGTGTTGCGACGCCGTCTTCGGTGACATCTCCAGCCAGGAAGGCGTCGAGCTGTCGAATTTGCGCCGGAGTATCCAGGTCCACTACTGGCTGCGAAGGATGTCGCGTCAACGCCAGCAGTGTTGAATATGTCAGGAGAATGTGTAGTTCCTCTGGGTTCAAAGGTACGTTCGATGCTGCCAGCAAGGTCTTCGTCTCATCTCTGTTGTCGCAATTTGCCGCAGTGTTGTTGGCGCTGGCCCCACTCGTTGGCTGCATCACATCAATCCGCTTGTCTTTGTCACTCGCCATTGTATATTTGCTGTCCGTGTTTGCAAATACGGAAGCCAATGTCTCAATGACACCCAGGATGATAACTACGTGGAGCCAGGCTTGGATGGCAGATCATCTGGTGGCAGTCTGTGCGTGAAGAGCCTTGGCAGTCGAGGTGAAGAAGTCTTGCGGGTGAGCAAATTATCAATTAGCTGCACGAGAACTTAATGACGCCATAGCAACCGGTATGACCATTCACTTCGAATTAACAGGTATACTGTTAATCGATAGAATGATGTATAAGTCTTTGATGTAGTTTCCCACACGGTCTCCCAATACGTGATCAGTAGGTGGTACATCGATTAGTTTAGTCGACGAACTCGGCAAAGAGATGAAACTAGTGACGACGACGATTATGTAGTTGACAACGCATTGGGTTGTTATTGAGGCGCGAGGCATGTACCATATCGACCTGTTGTGAGAGATCCAGCAACAAACGGTAGCATATAAAAGATATTGTGTATATGTGGTTACGGGTCCAACATAGAAGAGATCGACTTGCTTCACGCTGTCGTTTACGAATTTATAGAGGCGATACAAAACTATCTTACTGACTGCATAAATCTCTGTAACGATGGTACATACCCCGTCATGATGGACTGAAGCCTCTCAACTCACCCATCCCGAGGCGGAAACCGTGAATCCCAGTGCTCTCCGTATGTTCCAAAGAGATATCTTAGACGCCTCTCGAAGCCCTCGACCGTGAATGTAGCATTCTCCGGCGTCAAGACGTACCTCCAGGGACCTTCATGCATGACCGAGAAGGTGTCACCGCTATCGTTTCTGACCTGTGAAGCGGAATAAGCCGGGTTGACGACCACATGTATGTGGAGGCCGAGCTTGTGAAGGCGTCTGAGCAGCTTGAAGAGAACACGCAGAACGCGTCGCACTCGGCGGATGGTTTGAGCCTTCGTACCGTGACCGGTCTCGACGATAAAGAAAATTTTGGCGCCTTTGCTGAGTCTGCACAGTTCTTCGAGGCGGGTGATAACAACCTCACGGTTTTTCAAATGATGCTCTGTCACCAACAGACTTAATCTTCCTATCTTGGAAGTAAGATCGAGGCCACCGCGCTCGTCGGCCGCGTAGTGCTCGAAAACCTTGCCCAGTAGCTCGTATCGAGCGCGAAAATCTAAACGGGCGTCTTGATTTATCAGCTCACGTATGATGTCCATGTGTAGTCCGATACCAGTGTATTCCTCCCTGAAAGCGTGTCGCAGACTCGAAAGGCCGTTGACAAAAGAGATACTGTCGTCCTTGCTGGAGAGGAAAGTGACAGAGCTTTCGGTCAAAAGATGCCGAGCAACGATGTCGCGTAGTTCCTGCGGTAGTCGTTGATGGACAGCTTCGCAAAAAGTGCGACAGAGAGCCTTGGCCTGAGCCTCTATCTGATCGGTGAAGCTAGTCCGTGCCAGGCGTAGATCTCCCCCTGCCTTCCTCAACGCTTGCTTCTCTCGAATGAGCCTCGCTTTGGGGTTCGCTCTCTTCATCTGGTCAAGTTTGGCCGCTTTGTCATCGAAGGTTCCGCTAAGACTAGCGATCGTGTTGAGCGTCCTGTCAAAATGTCAGCCTTATGCACGTGGTGAGCAGAAGCAAGCCCACCTTTTTGCCTCAATACGCCAATTGCCGAAGCTCACGACGCCGGTAGTGGCCATATCGGCGTTTTTTTAGATGATGCTGGTGGAAGCCTTGCTCATCGATCTGATGAGAGGGAAGGGTCAGTGGAAGTTGCCGGTGATGCACACAAAGTCGCGATAGGTTCAGCAAGTGACGGCACGAGGTTCTCGGCGGTGGCTTGACGTGATAGACGTGATAGCTGCGGTTGTAAGGAAGCGCGACAAAGTTTGGTGGTTGTTGTTGATTGTGCACTAGAAAGCGCAAACGGACGCCGGGGCAGTCACGGCCCGGTCACCACATGGATGACGCGTGACGAGAGATACCGTTTAGCCAAGCATAACATCAACAGTGTGCACTAAATCTGGAGAGCTTCTGGCTTCGATGGTCTCAATAGCATGTCAGCTGGGCTATAAAGAATAGATAAGGGTTGGCCACTCACCGCCAAGCCATGCCTGTAACATTCACAGGCATGCAGTTTGTTTCCTGCTCCAACGCATCCATCTCTTCTAGACGATACTGAAATTCGTCTACCAAGCCGCGATAATCTCCTGAACCAGCAATGCTGGCGCCGACAACATAGCCAGCCTTTCTCAACCGGCACAGACACTCAATCATGGGGGCAGTACCCTCCAAGAGGAGAACATTTTGACCATCATCGGGCATCGCCGAGGAATCCATATAGTCAAGAAGAATGAGTATCGATGCACCGGTTCGCAACTGAAATAGTAGCTCGAGATCTCGAATTTGTTCTTCCCAGCTTCGAGGAGAATATATCCGAAAGAGTATATTACCGGGACGGTCTTTCTTCGGGTCGAACGCTAGAAAATCTGGTGACACGACGATACAGATCTTCGTAATGAGCTTATAACGCGAGGTGTGTATAGAAGGGGCGTTCTCGTCAAGGAAGCGCCTCAAATCCACGAGGTGCCACCGTACATTGAAGGTGTTTGCGCGGTACCAGACGGCCATCATTCTCGCCAGCATGGCCTTGCCGACATACTCGACCTTCCAGTAATGCGCGGGTGGATGATACTGGTCATAAGCATAGATGGGCTCGCAAGTCCCACCCGCTGCCACGCCCGTGCGACTGTGGCCTATGACCTGTTCAATGATCATGTCACACAACTCTGGGGGCAGGGAAATGAGGATCTTTTGGCACATGTACCTGCATGACGCTCTTCCATAGGTATCGAAATTTTTCAAATTTTGTAAGGCTCGAGTAGCGGTCTTATGTTTCCCAGAGGCATATTGCGCATGGATACGCTGACGGGCGCTGGTCATTTCCGTTAATGTGAGCCCGGATGGACGAGGGTTGTCTGAACTCACGCAACAGCCTGTTGATACAGCTTCGACACTTCTTTGGCAGTTGTTTCTTTACGCATGACGTTTTTTTAATTCTTGTGATAATGGTCTGTTTAGAATGCGGAGGGATGGTACGCAAGGTCGACTTGACATCGTGCGGGGCTAGGCAGCAGCGCGGGTATCTAGATAGCGTCTTGGCACTGTAACACGCATGCGCGGGGCGCAAATGCCATCCCAGTTGGATCGTGACATTGGCAGCGTGAAGTTGTAGGTGGTGTGCGTCTCCTATTCATTGTCAGCCGAAAGCCTACCGCCATGTTCAACCGGACACTTACAGCCATACCAGATTTGAGCCATGCCCAGTGGAAAAGCAACTTCGCGTATCATTGGTCGACTTTTCCGAAACCGAGTCATAGAGTGAGCCCTTGTTCGGCCATGCTGATGATAGCATGATACCGGTGGAAAGGCCGTATCCAGCAGCCGCCAAACGTGACAGTACGTCAGCTATAGTGGCGGTAACCTCACGCAATACCTTTCTTTCGTGATACGCATATCGATCTGGTGTCCTTGCGAGTATGGTGTAGTTATGGGGTACAATCACATAGACGTGGATGGAAGCGCCTTCCTTCAACAGGAACAGGTGCTCCAGTCGTTCTAGCATGCGTGTGCGGGATGCGGAGTCCCTCACCACCCCTCCTCCCGATGGCTGCATGTGAGTCCCCACGTCTCTGAGGTCGAAGGCGATACTGATCTTTGTGACAAGCAGCTGGCGGGTTGTGTCCAAGGGTGCTGGTTGAGACGAAAGGAAGCGTTCGAGATAACCCAGATCCTGTCCAATATGAAAACGAACCAAGCGATACCAGACTTCGAGTATCTCTTTCGAGGTCGCGTCGCCAACTTTCTCGGCTTGCCAGTAGCGAGGGCCCGATTTGGAGGAAGTTGGCTCGCTTGTCGGCAATGCAGCAACGTCGCGCACTACTGAAGACAAGATATACTCGTAGATCATGTCTCTAAGTTCCCTTGGTAGTGTCGCAATTACGTTCTCGCAGAGCTTCCGACATGCAAACTCGTGATTGGTGTCCATGGGCTTTGTGGCGGAGCGTCCGGACCTTTCCATTTCGTGTTGTGAGATCCTTACAGCAGTGGCGAAGCAGCCAAGATGAATTGCAGGCGCGCTTTTCGAGGCGAAAGTAGGATAGAGCGTCAAGATTACCAAAAGTACCGGTCGCGATGAGAGAGCCGGGAGGCGGAAGGTCAGGGGCGCAGAGCGGGGTTATGTAGCAACTGCGCCTCGGCGCAGGCATATTCACTACAGGCTGCATGGATACCTATTGTTCTGCTTTCGTTTGTTCTGATCCACATCTAATCCATCAAAATCATGTGTCGTTCAGGCTGGCGACTGTGGTTTCACTTCATGACAGCTTGGAGACCGATGTGATGCGGAGGCTCCCTAGGAAGCTAGGTAGCGTGGAAGCTAGCCAGGTCTGGGCAAACCTCACGCGTGATCACGCGCTTCTCGGCGCGTCGTCCCCGCAGCTGTTCCAGGCCACCTGGTTGACACCCCAGGACGTCGCTTGGCTCTCCAAAATTGCTATTTTTGATTGCCATGTGACTTCGCGTGACGTGGGGTTCCATCTGGCGGATCCCAACGCGACTCTTCGCTCCGTGCAACAAGACAGACCGCATCGACTGAGCAGCACCTCCACAGCTTCCTCCACCCCCACCATCACTCCGAGAGCCACAGTCTCTCGCGCAAGACGCAGATATGCCGAACGCCAAGAATATGCCGAATGGCGGGACGTAAGTGGAACCTCTCCCAAGTGTTGGAAATGTGTTGAAGCATTTGTAGCCTGGAGCAACGCCTGAGCCATTACCTTCGAGCGAAGCAGAACCGCACACAAGTCCTGTTGGCAGATGACCAGCGTATACGTGACAGAATCAACGAGATTCAGGCCGAGAAGATGTTACTCGAGGATGAATGTATGTTGCTCGAGGATGAGCTTAAAAGTAATCTGAGGCAACGTCTCGAAGATCCCGAGGGAGAGCCACTTCTACAGGAGCTGATGGCAGTGGAGCAAAGCAAATGTCGTCCGGTATGCGAAGCTATGCAGCTGAAACTGCCACGCGAAATTCGCGACATGATCTATGAGCAAATCGTGGGCCCCCCAGCCTGGCACAACGGCCAACATACTGTACCTGTGGTAGCATCGAAGGATCTCGGTGTCTCGGACCCATTCGAGCTCGTCAGCAACAGCATCGGTCTGTTGGCCAGCGGCGGATATGATCATTTCGGCAAGGCCACACGGCAAGAGTTGGCGGAGTACTGGTACACAAGAAGTACATTCGACTTCGGCACGGACTTGCATCTCATCAAAGCCTTCTTCAACGGTGTTGCTGTCGATACTAGTTGCAAAGCTCTTGAGATAGTCCGCCAGCTGGAGATTACAATCGACTGCAACGACGAGTTCGAGCCGGAAACCGAGCGACTTCTGACCAGTGCTCTGGCGGATCTTACACTACGGATCCAGCCGGCACGGTTACGAATTTACCTACGCGACATCCAGGGCGTTGTGCGCTATAATGACGACCGGCTCCTGATCTTACTACACAATGTCAGGCAACTTCTTCCGGACCTTCCTGGTTGGACGATCGAATTCGTTGTGCACATGGTCACGAATGACTGTCGGTTATCGCGAGGATGGCAAGGATATGCATTCGAAGATATCATACCAGGGCATCACGTCAACCTGATGATACCTGGGAATACAGCTATGTCACACGATGAGTGGTCGGACAAGTTCAGACAAGTAAGTGATGATCTTACCGTGGCATCACTATGCAAGCTGACTTTGGAAACGCAGCTTCGGAAAGAGCTTGAACAGTACTACGACGATACACTGCACGAAGCAGACGACGAAGACGAAGAAGAGGATGAGGAATCGGAAGAAGACGGTACTGATGACGAGCGCGATGAATACATGCCTCTTGATAGAGATGAGCTTCTTGAAATCGAGAAAGAGTTGGGCGGCTGTCAGGAGGATACGATTATATGGCGGGCCTTGGGTGCCCGATGATTTGTTGGCTCCGCTATCCAATGGGTGGCAGATTTCCATAGTCGACAACGAATATCACGAGCTACCTTTACTTGCGAACAAGGGCCTCGCGACTTCATGTTCTACCTTCTATCACTTGGTGACGGCCTCACTTGCTAGTGGCCTTATCCTCACCACGCGGCAACTTACTGTCTCTTGATCTTCAGTCTACTATTTAATCGTTCTCTTCGACCGACTCTCCTTCTACTCTCCACCAACCCACATCTTGAATTACCTATCAAGATGTCCACTTCAGGATCAACTCTAAGCATGACCGAGCGCCTGCGCGCAAAGTGCAACGAGTGAGTCGTACTCACCACTTCCTAGCCATAGCTAATGGTATCTTCAGGGCGCTGAAGGAAGAGCGCAAGACAGAGCTTCAGCTACACGCTGCCCATACAAGGATCAAGAAGCTGCGACGCCACTGCAAAGTTCTCGATGCGAAGTCGGCTACCGGTGCAACTGGAACGGCCGATGCGTTCCTAGCCCTCGCAAGGAGCGACTGCTTAGAACTCTGCACCAACATCTACACGACATTCCCTCGCGAGGTCCGAGACACGATCTACGGCTACATCACCAGTTGCGAAAACGTCATCATTGACTGTGTATGCTACGGTGTCATCTGTTTTTCCGAACATTGCTCCAAGGAGCTATGTTTTGATCCTTCCGAAGATACGACCGACCATTGGTGGAAGCCCGAACATGTGGGCGCAGCGATGGTCCGCGAGCTTGGTGAGAACTTCTACCGCTCTTCTTGCTTCGTGGTTCAGGGTGACATTGCAGCACTTGGTCCATTCCGAGCCACAGATCAATGGAACTTAGGCTTCCCGCCAGTGGATTTCGTCTCTAAGATAGAGGTCAAGATCAACTGCCAGGACTACAAGTTCAAGCTTGTCGACCGCACGCATATCGATCCTGCTGCTGATCAACATCTTTCTCGGAAAAAGGCTAGGATGCTTAACGAGAAGAACATGCGCATCAATGCCACGCAGAAATCTCTTCTCGTCGACCTAGAGTCGCTGTTTGGCTTCAGAGCTGGCACCAAGATCACCATCAAACTGGTATCCGAACATCCCAAAAAATACTCCGCGCTTGAACAACAGGAATGGATGTCGCACAACGTAGTTCCGGTCATCTTACCCGTCCTCACTCGACTTAAAGCCACAGGCTGTCGGGTTCGCATACTTCTATCGGTCGAGATTTGCTGGCGCACCGATACATTTGCTACGACATGGGATCAGACCTGTCTTGAGGCTATCGCAAAGGAGTTTTGGGAGGTATGTGATAAGAAGATCACTCGGACGTCTTCTTGATGAGCTGACTTTTTCCTAGCATGTCGGAGTTGAACAGAAGCGCATTACACAAGCTGAGCTTGATGCTGAACCCCTCGATGACTCCGATGATGGCACGGTTCCTGCAGGCGCTTGGAGTGTCGTTCCTACATCGACTGCGTGGGATAATGCGGACGATATGCAAGCCTAGTCGTTCAATGGCCCGTCCTAAATATGGAATGTTGACCGTCAAGATGAGCGACATCGATGATGTCGATTCCCAAAAGCGCATACCAACATCCCTGCTTCGACTCTTCTGGGAATTCCAGCGGTAGTCCTTTTCATTTATGCGAGCGGTCCTATCCTCTCAGATTCAATCATTTCCTGATAGTTGCTCTCTGCGAACTTTGCGGCCAGGCCGCGATGAGACGGTCTTTTGGCATTTTCATCTCTTCCAAAAGCTTTGTCATATACCTTGCTTCAACTCCGGTATCTAGACAGAGCAGAAAACACTCCACTCAAAGTAACCCTGCGCTCTTCAAAGACTCCGTGAAAGTGACACCGTGAAAGTGACACTGTCCACCATAACGACCACAAAGTGCAAGACTGACCAGGCGAGGGAACTACATGATGACGCAATGATTGCGGGTGGTCTCATTCTCGTTCGCCAGGCAGATGCACGACCGTTTCTCTCACTCCTTTCCTCGCCTACAAATTGGGGTGCATCCTCAGCATTGGTCGCCTGGTCTCACTACACGGTTCCACACCCTGCTTCAACCATTACTTCAACTTGCCAAGTCGTAAATATTACAATCCACCTTACTCGTACCAAAATGACAGCCCCATCACGGCCAGAAGAACAGGAAAAGCAGCTCCGCGACAAGTGCTACAAGTAAGTCTCGCAAGGACATCGCGATATGCGACAACTAACAGGAGCTAGCCTACTCCGCACAGAAGCCAAGCTCGCACAAAGGTTGATTGAAGAGGACGCGCGACACGAGACTCGTAAAGCCGAGCTGCAAGCACAGAAAGACAACATTATCAACGAGGTGAATCGATGCGCACAAGTAACCTGTCGACAACTGTGTGCAAAACTCTTCGGAGTCTGTCCACGCGAACTCCGCGATTACATCTACTCGTACCTCCTTCCCGACTCTCCAGTCGTCTTACAGCATTGCGACCATCGCGATTGCGATAGCAGGCCCTGCGCCCAGGGAGGCGAAACACTGTATTACTTCGTTGAACCCCACAGTCATCTCTTTAAAACCACATACGTCATTCCAGACTTCTCCACCGAGCTACTCGAAAAGTTCTACCGCACCACCACGTTTGACCTACGAGACCACTTTGCAAAGCTAGGCGCCTTCCGGAGCTTGGATAGAGGAAACCTTGGTATCATACCAGCCAACTACATCCTCAACGTTTCCTTGTTCATACAATGCGACAAGTACGACTTCGACGGGATAACGGCACCGTTGGCCAGCCCGAACAGGAGATATCGGCTCAAACCCCATCGAGCGCTGCTCGCAGACCTCGAAGCACTATTCGGTTTCAAGGCTGGCACTAAGATCGATTTACACCTCCTCGTAAACCGTGACTGGTTGTCGAATGCGTACGTTGCCGAATGCTGGGAATGCGACACCGTCATTCCAGTCATTTTGCCGACGCTGCGTAGGCTAGCTGCTGCTGGTACAAAGGCTATGTTGTGTTTTGATTATTTTGGGTGGGGGGTGACTATTGATCATGGAGACGTCACGACGGAGGAGATCAAGAGTGGTTTGTCGAGGAGGATTGGCAGATGAGCCAGTTTAAACAGTTCCTTATGTTGAAGCTGGCAAAGGCTGTTGGCAATGCTAGGCGATGAGGCTGTCTGCTCCTTGCTTCTTTCCTTCCCGTCCCAACGGGTGTGTCTTGCCCTCGAATATATGGGTAGAGTTTTCGAGGACCTGGTGGCTGGCGTAAGCGGAGTATGCTGTCGATCGCAAGTCATGCAGGGTCCAGACCGCATACGCAGGGCGTGAGTACCTGAATAAGCGATCAGCAGCACCCTGATAGACCATAGTACGACTTCTTGAAATTGGGACACGTTCTCTTTGTGATCCTCTTCGATCTTGAGTAAACGACAAAGTATGTGCATCGTGATGTACGCAATACCAAGGACAGATGAGATTGGTGGTGTGGGTGCTTGTACATGCGTGCACCTTCGGAAGCGTGCTTTGAGGTACGCCAGCGAGCTCATGGATGTGTCTTGACGGATGTCTTGTCAGACTAACACCAATGATAGAGCACTCTCCGAAGAAAATATACGCAAAGCGCGTGTCGCGAAGCTCCAGGAGGAGCTTGCAAGCCTGGAGAAAGATCTCGCCAACACCACACCAACAACAAGAGACGCAGTCGAACAAGTCGCTCGGACGGAATGCCAGCAGCTTACCAACAACATCATGACCAAACTACCGCGTGAGATACGCGATATGATCTACTTCCACCTCAGCACACGAGACCGCGAGCTCATCGAGCGCGAGCACTTCCGGACGACCCTAGATCCGATAACAAGGCTCTACTCGTACGACTTCAACAGATGGAAAGCACAACACTTCCCAGCGCACTACTGGAACACCGATTACGTTGGCCAGCCCTTCTACCGCGAGCTTGTAGAGAACTACTACCGAACAAGCACCTTTCTCTTCGGCGACGATCCAGGAGTAATGAAGCGTTTCCTTACCACCGACGAAATGAAACTAGGCATTCCCCCAAAAGCACTACTCTCCAGCGTCGAAATCGGCCTGAATGCTGTCTCGCATGATCGCGGTTCTTTCCGGGCTTACATGTTTGGCATACCCAAGTCACCGGAGCGAATGCGTGAGGCTCTCGATGGCATCTTCGAACTGAAGCCTGGTGCTAAGATTGTGATTCGTTTCGTGACAGAGGCAAAGACTAAGGAGGAGAGAGATGAGCATTGCAAGGGGGCGATGGCGATGCTGTTTGACGACACCCAGGTGGAGAAGATGAAGATGTATAAGGTTAAGTTTGTGGTGGATGAGGGGCAGGTTTGGGATTTGGCGGAGGCGATGAGGGAGGAGTGGATGGGTATTCATGGGTGAAGCCTTGCTACGAATAGAGAACATCAGTCTGAACCTGCAATCAAATGCTGAGGACGTGAGAGTAATGGGCAGCATGTGAGGGAAAGCTGCCCAAAGAAGGCCGCTAGCGTGTAACTCCTGTCAGCTCCGATTGGCCGAAGCATACGCCATCAGGGCCCGGGGGAAGGAGCACCCCGCCATGGCAGAAAATGTTATCGCGACACCCCTCGGCGCATGTTACTACGCGTCAAACATTTTCCAAACCTCTTCAAACCTCAATTCCAGCCTCGCACTTCGTTTAGACGCGTCTCAATTCCATATCGCAAGATGGCTGGCGTTCCTAGTACTTATGATGGTGCGCACCTTCCGTCCCGTGCTCGTCTGGCCAATTGCTTACCCCGTATCCAGCGCCCGTTCACATTGCCGTCATAGGCGGCACTGGTATCTCTTCCCTACCAGGCTTCACCCTCGCCGCTACACTCGACGTCGACACACCATGGGGCAAACCATCATCACCCGTCTCCATCCTACAACACCCGTCGCCCTCGACCGGCAAGCCGATCCCTATCGCCTTCATCTCCCGACACGGCCTACACCACGAACTCGCGCCTCATGAGGTCAAGAACCAGGCTAACATAGCCGCGCTGCGACACATCGGTGTACGCACCATCATCGCCTTCTCCGCCGTTGGATCCCTCCAAGAAGAAGTGCGACCGCGCGACTTTGTCATCCCCGACCAAATCATCGACCGTACAAAGGGCATCCGGCCATTCACCTTCTTTGAGGGAGGCATGGTTGGACACGTTGGCTTTGGCGACCCCTTCGATAAGCAACTGTCCAAGATAGTCAGGCAGTGCGGACACGCGCTGGAGGGAGACGGCATCACACTCCACGAGAAGGGACTCCTCATCTGCATGGAGGGACCCCAATTCAGCACACGCGCCGAGTCGAACCTCTACCGTTCGTGGGGCGGCAGCGTCATCAACATGTCTGCTCTGCCTGAAGCAAAGCTCGCGCGCGAGGCTGAGATCGGATACCAGATGATCTGTATGGCAACAGACTACGACTGCTGGAGGGGCGACGGCTCAGAGGACGTCAATGTGGAGATGGTCATGGCGCACATGAAGGCAAACGCAGAGAACGCCAGGCGGTTCGTTGGCGCCGTGCTGAACGAGCTCAGCAAGGAGGAGCACACGGAACAAGTGCTTGCTAAGCACCTAGACGGACAGATGAGATTCGCAGGCGCCATGACAAAGAAGGAGGGACGCGGTTCAGAGGCCGAGAAGAAGCTCCAGTGGCTCTTCCCTGGCTACTTCGACTGAACGCCAAATGCTACTACGCGCGCCATTGACAAAGGCGCATGACATTTGACTACGATATACTCCGATATTAGGAACGCGGAAATACCTACCCCGATTAAGAATCTATGCATGCGCCCGACGGCTGACCAAGTTTCTAGAGGTAGGACGCAGCCAGAGGCGCCGATTACGGCAGGTCGATAGCAGTGGTTACCCCAAAACTCCAAACAACTCCATGTTTACATCATGGAAAATATGCATTAGTCGTATCGATAACTATCCGTCGCCAGCAGCCCGTTCGACATCCGCGGGCACTTGTCAAGCTCGATCTCACGATTCTTTCCCTTAGCACCTTCCTTTCTCGTCTATGATCTGCATTGCTACCTGCCGCAATCGCATCGACAGTTTCCCAGCCTACATAATGAGCGCTCGAAATGTTTGTGATATTGAGAAACGGTTGAGTGAGAAATCCGGCTTTACAGGCTGCTCGAGTATTTTGTTCGGGTGACACCGGTGTATTGCGCTGATCAGGTACTAGGCTGTGGCGAGTCAATCGGAGGAACAGTACCTGCATGCCTGCCATTACCTCGCAACAACGGGCACAAATTGGAGGGTGACACCGCATATCTGTATTTCTTATCATGCAGATCAATACACTTCCAGGATCGAATTTGCATTGGCACCGCGGGGAAGACGCGCGCGCAGCATAATCCCGGTCAGACATGGGTGCACGGCGGCAGTCCTTCTCGGGTCACCACGGGAAGCATGACTATAAGACACATGATATCGTACACAGTAATGAAGCAGCTCTTGCTCGATACCGCATCTACTCGTCACTCTCCTACCGAACGGTAGCATTCGCAACCGTCAGCATGGTTTCGGCGTGGTTTCTAACAAAGGTCTTTGTGGCTTTTGCGCCACTTACGACGATTGTGTACGCACAGTACAACGTCACCACACCTCAATTGCCTCTGTTGCTGGACGCTACCGCAGATGACTTGACTGCTGGACTTGAGGCTGGAGACTTTACAAGTTTGGATTTAGTCCAGGTAGGTTCCCGGTTTTCCTGCCAACATGTGTAGGCATGGATCTACCTTGGACAGCATCGCTGACATAATGTAGGCTTATGTGGGACGCATCATCGAAGTCAACAAGACTCTGCATGCAGTATTGGAGATCAACCCAGATGCCTGGACGATTGCGAAAGAGTTGGACGAGGAGCGAGCATGTGGAAAGCTTCGTGGGTAAGTTGTGCTGCAAGAAACTGCATGGTCCTTCGCTGACTGGATGCAGCCCTCTCCATGGACTCCCGATTCTCATCAAGGACAACATCGCGACCGCTGACGAAATGAACAACACTGCTGGATCTTGGTCACTAATGGGTGCCAAAGTCCCACGTGATGCGACGGTCGCTGCAAAACTGAGAGAAGCTGGTGCTATCATCCTCGGCAAGGCCAATCTTTCGCAATGGGCTAACTATCGATCTTCGAACTCTTCGAACGGATGGACTGCTCGAGGTGGTCAAACGTATGGCGCGTACTACCCTGGTCAAGACCCAAGTGGCAGCAGTAGTGGCAGCGGTGTTGCTGCTAGTCTTGGTCTCGCCTTTGGAACACTCGGCTCAGAGACCGATGGGTCCATCATCTCGCCCAGCCAGCTTAACAACGTTGTCGGCATCAAGCCTACTGTCGGACTTACAAGCAGAGCACTTGTCATCCCGATCTCTGAGCACCAAGACACCGTTGGGCCAATGGCCCGCACCGTCAAAGATGCAGCCTACATTCTCCAAGCCATCTCTGGACCTGACAGTTACGACAACTACACGTCTGCAATTCCCTGGGCAAGCAACGCAACTAATGCCACCAAGCCCGACTACGTTGCTGCATGCACTCTGGATGCGTTGGAAGGAAAGCGAATCGGGATACCGCGTAACGCCATCGGCACGCCCAGTCCCCAATCCGCGCCCATCTATGCTGCCTTCACAGCTGCTCTCGACGTCCTCCGCTCCGCCGGCGCAGTCGTTGTCGACAACACCAACTACACCGCCTGGGACCAGTATCTCGAATCCAACGCCGAAGGCATCGTTCTCGACGGCGACTTCGTCCCCAACCTAGCGCACTACCTTGAGCAACTCACATACAACCCCAACGACGTCCACAGCCTAGAAGATGTCCGAAACTTCACTCAAAATTTCCCCGCCGAAGACTACCCCGACAGAGACACAGCCGACTTCGACAGCTCCATCGCGCAATCCCAAAACTTCTCAAACACCGACATAGAGTTCTGGGAAGCCTACCAAGAAGACCTCTACCTCGGTGGCGAAGGCGGTCTCCTCGGCGCACTATCTACATATGACCTTGACGCCGTCGTTGTTCCTTCGCGCTCTGCGTCTGGTATCTCTGCTATCATCGGCGGTCCTATTGTGACTGTTCCGCTTGGTGCGCTGCCGCCGAACACAACGGTTGTCACGAACTCACGCGGTGACTTGAATGCTACGGCACCGAATATTCCATTCGGTATCTCTTTTGTGGGTGCGCTGTGGAGTGAAGAGAGTTTGATTGGGTTTGCGTATGCGTTTGAGCAGAGGACTATGGTTAGGACGAAGGTTGTGCCGTATATTCAGCCTAGTATTGAGATTGAGAATGTGGTTGGTAGTTACTAGGCTGGGGTGATTGGGTAGGGTTATATGGGGAGTATCAGAGGACTATGTCACGGAAGAAATTTGAACCGTATTGTCAGCGTTGTGGTGAGACGGGGAATATAGTCGCTCTCTATGAGATCGGATGCGGATAAATAGGCATGGAGCTGTATGAGGTTTGTAGAGCGGTCGGGAGGATGTGAGTAAGGTCGGTGGGTGGATGCCACCGAATAGCCGATGGGAACTGTTGCGTCTTACATCATCGCAACCACTACCTGTTTCAATCGCAAACAAGGTTGTCTAAAATCTTGTTGTGGCTTATCCTCTGATTCGGTTTCCATTGGTCTGAAAATGCCATTGTTTCATTCGTTGTATTGTAGGTGTGAGACAGCAGTCGCACTCTTCGTGTCGCCAGTCTCAAATTAATAGTCCATGGAGACATTGCCATTATGTTCTCCGACAGAGACGTGCTAGACGAAGCTAGAGATCAAATGAACGTGTTCTTGATGCCGCTTCAGCGTGGCTCTTTGCACGGTCTCGGCGTTAAGCGGACTTAGCTTATACTGGCTGACCAGATCTAGAGGGACGTGAGACTTGTGTGGCTTGATGTCATTCTGGTATACGACGCGAGGTTAGCGTCATCCCGAACCTGTAAATGGATGCTTGTGTAGCTGAGATGTTTACGTGGATGGGATAAGATATAAAGATGGGCAGGAGGCAGCAATTGTGAACCACAAAGCGCCCATCAACTCCTTTTGCGACCTCAGTCAAAGGGATATCGCTCCCTCGCATCAATATAACTTTGCAAGCATCAATTTCGATCTGCAATGTCTTCCGCAACCCAGCAACTAACGCACATCCGCAAAGTCGCCCTCATCGGCGTAGGCCCCTCCACATCCCATCCTCCATCCATCCCACTAACACCATCAGGGCACCGGACAAGTCGGCTCCCACATCCTCACCCACCTCCTTGGTACGGGCAAACACCAGGTCACAGCTCTAACCCGACATACCAGCACCGCCACGCTCCCCACCAACCCCAACCTCACCGTCGTCAAGGTCGACTACGACGACGACACAGCCCTCACCTCCGCTCTTGATGGCCACGAATTCCTAATCATAACCCTCTCCGCCCGCGCCCCACTGAATCTCCACTCCCACATCGTGTCATGCGCCGCCGCCGCTAAGATCCCTTGGATCATGCCTAACTACTTTGGCTACGGCATCGGCGACCGCGCACTCAGCGGCAAGGCTGACTTACCTGCCAACTTCGAGCGCTTCATTGACGATGTGAAGAGCACACCAGGACTGGATTACACAGCTCTTGTATGCGGCTTCTGGTACGAATTCAGTCTCGCAATGGGGGAACCGTGGTTTGGCTTCCGGATCCGCGATAGGAGCGTGACGATGTATGGGGATGGGATGAAGAAGGTTAACGTTAGCACCTGGGATGCTTGTGGGAGGGCGGTTGCGGGGTTGTTGTCTCTTCCCGTGCATCGTCAAGATGCCACCGATGGTGTCGCGTTGGAGAAGTGGAGGAACGAAGGTGTCTACATATCGTCTTTCCTGGTTTCCCAACGCGACATCTTGGATAGTTTACACCGGGTGCTCGGGACGCGAGACGCGGATTGGACGATCAGATATGAGGATGTGGAGAAGAGGTTTGGGGATGGGATGAGGGAGTTGGGAGAGGGGAAGATGTTGGGGTTTGCGAAGGCGCTTTATGCGGGGGTTTGGAGGAGTGAGGGGGCTGATTATGAGAGTAAGGGGGGTTTGGATAATGGGGTGTTGGGGATGGAGGAGGCGGATTTGGATGGGGCGACGAGGAGGGCGGTTGAGATGGCGATGGGGCCGATGGGGGATGTTGAGGAACAGTTCAAGTAAAGGGACTTGGTGGGATGTGGGGTTGTGACGTTGTAATTTGAGGAAAGGAAAGCGGGATGATGATTTCGTAGACAGGAAGTTGTGTGTTGAGGAAGGAGCGATGATGTACCATCGGCCATCATGGTTCCTGCTCTAATCATTCGGCTTCTACCCCACCTACATCCTCTCGTTAGCATCTGCCTCCCCTCACTCATTTAAGACGACTTACCAAGATTGCTCCTAGTGGATACGCTTATTTCCAACTCCTACCCTTCTCTATCTTCCCCTCGCTCACAGGTGAACCAAAAACATTCCATTGCGTGGAGCTTCCGCGCACCTGCCATACCGATTCTTCGTCCTTCTTGTCATACGATTTTCTCTCCTTCCATTCTTTCCACCGCTCGCGCAGCGATCTCTTCTCTTTGTTCTCCGGCTCAGGCTCGGGCTCTGCCATGAGGGCGGCGAGGGTTGATGCCGGGACGCCACTGCCTTTGTGACGCGATTGTGCGAGCGCAGAAGCAGTCTGCGGATTGACAGGTGCTCCAGTTGCGGTTTTGCCATGTTGCGGCGGTGGCTTACGTGAAGGCTTGGGGTCGTAGAATGTTGGTTGGTCTGGGTCTGGACTCGGATTCGTGCTCGATGATGTTGGGGTCGATGCCACGATCTCCTTCGCCTGCTCGCTTTCCTTAGAATCCATGTCGTGGGCGGCCAACACGCACAATGCCAGCGTGTCTAAGGTTTGAGGTACGTGGACTGTTCGCAGGATACAGCAATCTGACGATGCTCAGGCGTGCAGCACAACGTTCACAATACATGTTAGCGAGTTGTAGTCAGCCTTGGCCCACATCTGCAGTCAGCATCGTATCATCGATGCATCCTGCCACCTGCCAGTGCCGAACACCCGAATGCGAAAGAAACATATGCGATGATAGGCCGTCATGGGCGCGCCGAGAACCCCGAGTTGCGGCAACAAGTCGACCCAGCATGATCTCAGGCTTCACAAGATATTAGATCCGAAATCAGACACGATAAGAGACTCTACCCAGGGAGGTATGAAGTCGCGTTAATCACGATGTCGCAAGAAAGATGGTGTTGATGGCGCGCGACATTGATGACGCCATGTACTCGATTTGTCAAAGCTTCGGTGGCGGAAGCTCTCCGCCACCCCTCCGCATCATCTCCAATCCGCCGACGAACAAATACGCCACCATAACAACGACCACCACCTTCCCATAAAACGAATCCATATGCGCTTCCCTTCCTTCCCCACATTCCTCCGCGCCTTCCACACGGTCACCAACACAACAAGCGCTTTTATCCGATCGAGTCCTGCTAGCACGCTCGGTCGCACTATCTACAACACGCCACAGCGCGCAGTCATTTACCGTTCGATGCCAAACATCCCCTTCTTGGGCGCCCTTTTCGGATCTTCTAGCAGTATGGCGGACAACACGAACTACCCCGTTCAGAAGCCAGAGGGCGAGTGGCAGGCACAGCTGTCGCCTGGTACGACAATACTCATCCCAACTACCAGCGCACGGTCACTAACACCACGATAGAGCAATTCCGCATCCTCCGAAAGAAAGGCACCGAGATGCCCGGCTCCAGCAAATTCGACAAGCACTACCCCGACGCCGGCGTCTACAAGTGCACCGGTTGCGAAGCGCCCCTCTACAAGGCAAACCACAAGTTCGACTCCGGCTGCGGATGGCCAGCATTCTGGGATGCCGTTCCTGGAGCGGTTGGACAGAAGCCTGACCCCGGTCTTGGCATGATGAGGACGGAGATTGTCTGCAATAACTGTGGGGGACACCTGGGACATATCTTCAAGGGCGAGCGGTTCGGTAACCCCAAGGATGAGAGACACTGTGTCAACGGTGTGTCGATTAACTTTAGTCCTGATGATAAGAACTAAGGCTTGGGAGTCTGTCTTGACTAGTTGAGTGGTGTATATATGCGGATGTAGTACTAAGTGTATTAGTGACGACGAAATGAGAGATGACGTTGATCAGTGGCTTTGACAAACTCGTGCATGATGTGCAATGGTTGCTGACACGGCTTTCTTCATCTTATGACTGACTCGCGACAAGTACTCGAGCCTCCAGACCACAACAAACAAGTATATATTGTTGCAAACTGATCAGACTGATACATACGACCATAGGATCATGAAAATTAGGCTTCCCGTCCGCTCAGCCATATACAAGCATGATACCGGCGGATTAGTAGTTAGGTGGGTGACCACTAGCGAATCCCCGCTGTTGTATGTTTTTGCTCTTTTTTGCCCAAGGTCTGAAATAGCGACTCTCGAACTCCTGCCTCTCTTTTTGCCCTTTTGCTCTCTTTTTGCTCTTTTTGGCTTACCTAGCTGGACGAGCAAGCTGATGCATCCACCTCATACAAGGAAAAAGCTAAACAGGTCTAGAGACTACATTAACGCTAAGTTATCTATCTTGTAGAGTTTTAAGTTAAGGTAGGCTGCAGGCCTGTTTATTTTTTTCTTAGTTGGCGTGCATCTGTGGATTCATCACACGGCTCGTCACGCGACGCTGATAGCAAACGTTAGTTGTTCCTATATCTATCAACTTCCTTACGCATCCAGTCTACAACAGACACTCCAAGGTAAGATGACATCTAACAGCGAAGACTGCCATAGGACCGATGAAATCGACGGTTGCGCTATGTGCATGAGGCAAGACGGTGAGGTCGTCAAAGATCGTCATAGCTAAGTGTGTGATGGATAGAGAGGAGATTAGTCTAGCGCATTGCTTTTGTGCTCGCTACTGCCTGCGCAATTGCGATGTAGCTAGAGGGGCACTATAGTTCGCGAAGACACACCTAAGGTACTATTAACTACAGTTCTACTTTGTAGAAAAAGGATAGCCTGCATACTTAAATATTAAGGTTAGAACGGGCTAGAATAGACGCAGTAGTAGTAGTAGTAGCCATGTGCATGAAAGAAGGAACCATCGCATGTACGAGATGCAGCAACATCGGATACTGCTCCGAGAAATGCAAGAATGAAGACGCAGAACAGCACAATACAATCTGCAGTACCTTCAAGGACTTCCAGAACCGGCCAAGCGACAAACACTTTCGAGCGCTGTATTTCCCTGCCGATGAGCCCAAGCCACGATTCATCTGGCTCCTCATGGACGGAGACCGTCTCACCTGGAAACCCAATCCTGACGATCTTGCGCAGTATGTTCCAGGATCACCTTCGTAGCAGGACTCGTTCATAACCTATCACGCTGGCGTCCAGGATAATGCCGACCAGAACAGGGACCTCATAAAGGGGTTGTGCATCGAGTATGATCCAGTGTCCCAGCGCCAGTCGCGCAGCCACAAGGGTCCGGCTTTCATGGAGCAGTCAGCCAACATGTGCTTTGCTAGAATGATTGATCCAACAGTTGGCGGTCTTCGCCGTGGTGGTCAGGTTGGACGTGTTCACGGATGGAATCCTGAATTTGGTCAAAAGTCAGGGGACGTGGATTGTACTTCGTTGGGTCCGTTACTGGCATGGGTCATGGAGATGGCTCTTTGTTAGACATCTAGGAGAACGCTGCGGATCTGACTGCGGGAATTGTGTTCATTCGGGACATAATGGGGTCTGTGGGTATGTATACTAATAGAATAATGACTGGCACTCACACCCAACAATAGATCGATTACTCTAGTGGCTTTCAAGCTAGGGAAAATTTCGGCAATCTTCACCATATTCATGCATGCAATTCACTGGTTTACCTGCTTTTAGCGCAGTTCTTCACAGTGCATGCCTGGATCATTGATCAAATACACTACCCTCTTACATACCGCAACAACACTAGCCAGATTACTTTGGCCATCTGTTACTGTGCAACTGCATGCACAACTCCATCAATACCTACACCGTTACAGCTCGCCCTCATGTCACGCTACCGCCTCAGCAACGTCTTCAATGACCAATACGCCTACACCTACACGCCACTCCCAAACCCAGACCCCGAAGCCGAATGCTTCATCTGCAAAACACCCTACTCCTCACACGACCCCGAAGGCTGCCAAGCAATCCAACTCCATCCCTGCAGCCACATCATCGGCCACTCATGCTTCACCGAATGGATCAACCGCGCACCCCAATCATGCCCCTACTGGTCCCACCACCTCCCTCCCACACTAAAACCCTCGGTTGGCGACGAAGATCTCGAAGTCAGACTACTCCGCTGGCTAGTAAACACACGCTGGATCACATCCATGGACGACCGCTACGACTATCGCCTCGAACGTATAAAAGACCCTAGATGGCGTCGAGAAGCGGAGTATGCAGTTGAAGCGCTCGCCGAGGGTACCCTCACAGATAGGCACGTGCATGTGCTGACCTACTGGATAGAAACCATGATATTCGTCGTTTCTGTCAAACGCCCGGCCCTGCATGTGCTTGTAGTTCTCTTTTTGGTTGGCCACATGACAGGGCTTTGCCTCTCTGACTGGTATGGTTGGGTGTGTTCGGGGGCGCTGTATGCTGGGATGCCGCGTGCGTTTTTTGTGGGTTTGTTCTTATTTCTAGGACACGCGTGCGCTTATTGTGCGATTACGCGGTGGGTATTGAAGTTGGGTTGAGGAGGAGTAGCGCTAGGAAACGAAGTGCGCCAGTTGTGGGAATGGCGGAGTTGTTTTGGAGTGGTTATCGATTGGGAAGGAAGTCTAGATGAACAGAAAGTATATATGTACAAAGATATAGGCATGAAGGTTACGGGGTTACGTAGGTTTAATGTCCCCAGAATTTTGGAAGCGTTCACTGACGCTTGACGTACTCGACCGGTCCGTCGTACTTGTCCTTTCCGATTACGTAGTAGTAACCCATGGCAAAGACGACAAGTACAGCGAACATGACTATGGACCAGTTCATATCTGCCAAAGACGGGTTTGGCACCTCGGGGAAGCAGATCAACACGATAGCCAGAGACAGGTATGTGATGGCGATGATGTTGATGTAAAGGCCTGCTTTGCCAAGATCGAACTTCGACGGAAGGAGTGGTTCTCCGAGAACACGTTTCCTGATCATGCAGCCGATGACGATGATGTTGGCGGTGAAGATACCGAGACCTCCGAGGGCGATGACGATGTTGAAGGCGATGGCGGAGCCGATGTTGATCAAACTCAAAAGTGCGGTTCCTACGAGGGTAGCGATGACGGAGTTGACGGGGATGTCCCAGCCTGGTGGTACCTGGCTTAAGATTAGCGAAAGGATCAGGAAGCGGGAAGGATGAACGTACGTAAGCGAACCAGTTGGAGAATGGGAGACCTTGATCACGGGCGAAGGACCAGAGTTGACGGGATGAAGCTGTCACCTGGTTGACTGAGCTGAACATAAGTAATGAGCAGATGAGTACCACCAGGATGTTGGTGGCTACAATAGATCCCGTCGCATTCAACAAGATCTGGATCCAAGGCTGGCCAAGCGGGGTGGCGAGAAGCGTGTCGAGGTCGTTTCCGAGAGTGGAGAAGACAGTGACGGTCATGATGAAAGCCAATGAATAGTTCACAACAGCCGTGGAGACCATGGCTCGAGGGCTGACCCACGCAGCGTCTTTGACTTCCTCAGCGAGATGGACGGCCAAGTCAGGGTCTCCAAGAGTAAGAATGGGACCAAGAATACCGACGAGAGTCGCGAGACCTGTATTACCCCAGCCACTGGGGTCTTCGAAATGGGTCCAT